CTCCACTTCCTCCTCCGTCCTCTGCACCTCCTCCTCCACCACCACTATCCAGAAAAGGTCCTCCTCCTCCTCCACCAACAAGACCTCCTCTTCCTCCCTCTTCCCGAGGCGTCACAAATTTGTTGCAAAGTAGAAGACCTTCTCTTCACCCATCAGCCAAATTTGCCAGTAGCCCGGCGTTACCGACAACCAAGCAAGCAGTATCCCAGGAGATACCATTGCCGACGGACGCTGCTTCTGTGCGACCAGGAAAATCGAGCAAGTACCCCAACGGCTTATTCCTACAGGATTCCCTAGCCCCTCCTCTCACTCAGACGAAGGGGGCACCTCGGCCTTCTCGACCGGTTCCAGCGTCCGAAAGCCCACAGGCTGAGACCCCAGGGTCTATTGAAAGGCCGGTGCAACCCGAGCAAGGCGTCGATAATACCAGTTTCCGAGGTGTGAAAGACACAATATCGATCTTCCAGAAGCATGAGCATAATATGGGCGTTCGTTCTCGGTCGCCTGTGGGGGGGGGGAGTGTGAGCAGAGCCATTGATTGATAAGTCCTCTTGAAGGTAGGATGAATATTGTCAAATTCGACCACAGGCCACTGTCGTGTGCGGTTCTATCTCCGCCATCTTCATAATGATTAATGTATAATGTCGTTGTAGGTATCTAGAAGAATATTCATGCAATGCAATCAATGCTTTGAGAATGCCTTTCCAGGTTGATTCGTCCGTCGCACTTGACTCACAAACCACTGTAACTTGGAATGAGCAACAATCTAGGACGGCGGATGAAAAGGGGGATCGATCGCAATGGAGGATTGGGCGCAGCGGTGAAATGAATACGGAGGGTCCGGGGGAGGGGGGAATTGAGTCCATCAAAGAATATAATATTCGACACGATTGACATAAATCATACAGGGAAAGGATTCGAGATCTTTGCAAAAGAAGTCCAAGCAGCAGAAACACAAAACAAGTATAACTGGATGACAACCACAATCCACCCATCAACTGCTGAAAACCTTCCACTCCACCAACCGCACCTGCTCCCCGGCCGCGGGCGTAAATACCAGTCTGACCTTGCTGGTCTGCACCGTCTGCCACGCAACATCCGTAATTCCATTAGCCACTGGCTTGGCATACGTCGCATTGGACACTGCCGTCCACGCCGCCCCGGTCAACTGCTCCACCCGGTACGAGGTGGGCACCGCGTACCCTTGCGTGGCGTTCGCGAAGAAGGCGATCTCCGCGCGGCCGGTCTGCGTCGCGCTGCCAAAGTCGATCTGGAACCAGATCTCCGTGCCGTTGCCGGCCGGACTATCCCATCCGTTGGCCACCTCGGTCTGCGGGTAGAAGAAGACGCGCCCGTCGATGGCGGCGTGGACCTCGTCGGCGTCCGCCCCGGCGACCGAGACGCTGCCCGCCGGGTACTCCGTGGTGGTCCCCAGCTGCACCGAGACGGCGATGGGCCGGTCAACGGTCGGCGGCGCGACGCGGGTGATGTTGGCCGTCAGCCGGGTCAGCGTCGCCGCGCTGGCGACCGTCTGGCCGTCGACCTCGACGTGCAGGCCGGCCTGGCCGTAGTGGCTGCCGGTCGCGTCCCATTGCACGGCGACCTCGTGGCCGTGGTACAGGATGCGCTCGGCCCGGAAGTACGAGACCGCGGATGCGTCGGCCTGTGGGTTGACCTCCAGGACGTCGTCCGCGCGCGGCCGGATCCCCACGAAGCCCGACAGGATCACGTCGACGAACCCGGAGTGGAAGTAGTGCGGCGAGCGCGTCAGCCCGACGATCGGACTGCCGGTGTCCGCGTAGTAGTCCTCTTCCAGGTCGAGGATGCCGCCGCGGGCTGGGTTGTAGTGCAGCCGGGCGTACTGCAGCAGGAGCTGCGTGTAGTCGGCTTGGTCGATGATCCCCGTGGCGGCGGTGGTGGGGTAGTGGTCGAGGAGGTTGGCCAGCCCGGTGAGCACCTGCGTTGTCTGGTAGGGCCAGGCCGGCCCGTTCCACTGGCACTCCGGCTGGGTGCCGTCGTAGCGGTACTGCACCATGTAGTACTGGTAGCTGGGCTCGTTGGTGCGCAGGCCGTGCGTCCCGGCCAGCAGGTCCGAGTCCAGCACGTGGCTCCAGGCGGCCGCGTAGGTGGCGTTGTCGGCGGGCAAGTCGTGCGCCCAGGGCACATAGCCGACCAGCTCGCGGCCGCGGATGAAGTCCCAGTAGGTGACGTACTCGTTGTTCACCTCGTAGCGGTCGATGAAGTGGGCGAACGTGCTGTTCCAGAGGTCGGCCTGCACGAGGCGCTGCAGCGTGTCGGCGTAGGCGGTGTACTGGTCGGCCACGGCGGTGTCGCCGGTCAGCGTGGCCAGCTGGGCGATCGCGCGCGCGTTGGCAAACTGGTAGCTGTTGATGCTGGGCCGGAAGGCGTAACCCCCCGTGAACCCGTCGGTGCCGTTGGTCGCGTCGATGCTGGCGATGGTGTACTCGGTGGCGTCGGTCAACGGTTGGATCCAGTACAGGCCCTTGGACGAGTCGTAGCCGCCGACGCCAAGGGTGGTTGAGTTCCAGCTCTGGAAGAAGTCCTGCATGGCCGAGAGGTGGGCTGTGGCGTCGTCGGCGACCCCGTCCACCAGGTAGACCTGCCACACCCCGTCGGCGAGGGACTCGGAGAACTGGTTCTTGATGCCGTTGGGGCCGAAGAGGAAGTTGCCATAGTCGCTGGTAAAGCGCCGGTCGCGCGACCAGCGGCCCTCGCGCAGGTGAAAATTGGAGGCATCGATCAGCAGTGCCCACGGGCTCTCCTGCCAACTCACGTCGTTGAGGAACTCGGTCGTCAGATAGCCTTCGGCGCCGAGATCGCGCTGGTGGGCGCGGAAGACCCCCCAGCGGTAATAGTAAACGTCCTGGAGCACGGACTGGTCGGTCTCAAAGAGAGGGATGCGGTCCTGGTACCAGGGGGCGTCGTTACCAAAGTACTTGGTGGTGGTAGTGTTGACGTTTAGTGCGGTGGCCCGCACGAGGCCAGCGGCCAACGCGAAGGAAAGGGCCTTGTTGAGGTTCAACATATCGGTGAATGCTGCATCTCTGACCTGGCCGGATGAGGAGTTCAGTCTCGGGCTATAAATGCCACTCCGCAGGAACGGGTGTCCCCCCCCCCCCCCCCCCTGGGGGGGCGTGCATCAATCCTCCGGTGGAGAGAGAGTCATGCAGGCTAAAGCACCCCGGAGAATTTCCTGATTGGAGCAAATGGGGGTGTCATCAGGAACCCGCGGATTGCAGGATGACCATGGCTGAAAACAAGAGCATTTAACCGTCTAGTGTGCGGGGAAAGCGGGCCAATCCTGAAAGTGTTGAAGATGACGCTTGGCAGGGGAAGGGGGAGATATCCCGAATCAGGCCACAGGTGGTGATGGGCGGTGGATGGGAGAATGTATGAAGTGGGCTATGATTGCATCGTCGTATACATTGATCAAAGGTCGGTCAATCAATAATGAGGACTGAGTGTTGAACCATAATGGTGGGAGGAAGAGAAGAGGAGGGAGGGGGAAGTCAAGGGGAAAAATAAAGATAGTCACGCCCGGGATCGAACCGGGAACCTTCTCGGATCGTTCAGCTGATGTGAACGAGAAATCATAACCATTAGACCACGTGACTGTTATTGTTGTTGGTCTGCTGGTGCGTTGATCCATATCTAAGTTCAATGACTTTTCTTGACCATCCCTCCAACCTGTTCGAATAGAATATTCCATACAACAAGTTATCTCGGATATTCTCTCCTCTAGATAACATTGTTGGCTCCTCAAATATAATATATGCTATGAACTACGGATCATCGAGACGAAAGTGCGTCTTTATCCAGACTAGAGTATCACATTCAACTACTAGGATATATATGATGTGAGCGCTGATGTGAAGGCCAGCGGAACTGCAAACTTGAATGACAGCTACAATTCACCCTGGCAGACAACAAAGGGGATTTGAACGGTGGGAACATGTCAGTGTCAGCGCATCGAACATTGAAATCCTTCTTAAATGTCGAGCAGCTGCTCAACAGCTGAAAAGCTGACCGATCTTCGAACCGTAGCAGTTTAGACTGTCTGCCGAGTCCGCTGCGCACACTCTACTATGCAAACCGCCCGAGAAAGTAACCAAGGCCGAATATCGAGGTTATGACGGAGAAACCGAGTGATCATAACCATCAGATAAGATCCACGGTCTGCCCTCATCATCAACGCGCAATGGTAGACCTCCGCGAACCGAATAGGAGGGTGGATGGCGATGGACGATTCTCAGACTAACCGATTCGGGGCATGTCGGCCGAGGAGTGGAGGCAGCCAGTGCAAGTGAGTACGTCAGCCTCTCCTGAGTTTTCTCTGATATAAACAGAATCTGGCAGCCTGATCGGGTTGGGTGGTCCTTTAAGTGAGTGACCACATCAGAAATGTATTGAAATGCAGCAGCCAGCATGCTCTCTCGCACTGAACCCACCAAATGGCGATGCTCGCGCTGCACGTGATCGGCTTCGGCCTTTCGGCGCTCATCGGCGGACGCGCTGCCGTCTCTCTCGCTCTCCGACACCGACAACATCCCGCCGAAGACCAGACGCAGACGCAAAGCAGCTATCAAGATCAAGATGGCATCGCTACTCCGGAGTCCATACGGCGCTTCTCTGACAAGATCCCCTGTGCGCTTCTCTTCATTGGCACGAGCACCGGGGTCTGTTTGTCGGTGGCCGAGCTCGTTGTCCGCGCTGTGACGGCCGACTCAACATTCATCTGGACACAATGGCTGCGAGTGGCGGCATGGGCAATCTTGGTAGTCACCACCTCAATCCTGACAGTGGACAAGGAATGCATCGCTCGGTTTACGCACGGCTGCTGGGCTGGTGTGAGTTGTCTTGCCATGCTGCTGATGCTCGTGAGTGAGGGATACCGCTATCACGACACGCTTGCCACCTCTGCTGGACAATGGTTCTTCTTGCTGGCGCAAGGATGCGCTGCATTTCTGGCTGGCATCGCCGCCATCTCCATCCCGCGTCGTCCCGATGTCTACCACAACGAGACCCTGGTGGATCGCAAGTCATCGACATCCTTCCTCCGTAGACTATCATTCGGCTGGCTCGATATTTCACTCCCTGCTGGTCAACAAAACCATCTGGAGGTCCACCATGTCGCAGAACTGGAATATTCGAACCGAGCCTCCACCCTTTCCGATCGGATGCGCGAGGCTTGCGCGAGGTGTCCCTCTGGTACGAGCCTATGGAAAGTACTCATTCTCTGTCATCGAACAGCCTTCCTTTTCCAGCTTTGCCTCACAGTCACGAACGCGGCAGTCGCCTTTGCTCCTCAATTTGTGATCCTTGACATCCTACAGCGACTGGAGAACGACCCAAGCGACGCATGGTTGTGGTTACCCATTCTCGGACTCGGAGGCTCACTCATTCTATCCGCTCTGCTTGAGAACTGGAATTATTACCACTCCTCCAACCGGGTCGCGGTGCGGCTCCAGGAACAACTATCAGCAGCGATATACGACAAGACGCTGACCGGAAAGCCTGCTGGGAACGCACCGGGCGACATGACTAATGACCACATCGAGCAAAGCACGACCAATCTCGTCGCTGTGGATGCGAAAAGAGTAGCCGACTTTTCTGCCCTCAGCTTCATGCTCGTCGAAGCGCCGCTTAAAATATCAATTGCAGCTATCGCAATTGGTCGGCTACTGGGGCTGCGAAGTCTGGCCGCAGGTGCCGTGGTTTTTCTCCTTGTCACCACGGGAAATATTTACGCCGTACGCAGGTATGCGGACACACAGAAAGATCTACTCAGGGCACGCGATAAAAAAATGGCAGCAATACTTGAGGTTCTGCAAGGCATTCTGCAGGTCAAAATGTCTGCATTGGAAGATCTGTGGCAGGGGAGCATCAACAGCTTGCGCAACAAGGAACTCGAAAGCCAATGGCAGGTCTTCATCTGGGAGCTCCTGATGTTTGTCACTTACAATATCGCTCCTGTTCTCGTGTCTGCCGCGTGTTTGGGCACATACGCAATCACTCATGAAGGAATGCCAGCTTCCATTGCTTTCACATCAATCTCTCTTCTAAGTGCATTAACTACCCCTCTTGCTATTCTTCCGCAGATCCTGCTGAACGCAACCAGCGCGCAAGTAAGCCTTCGGCGGATCGAACGATTTTTACGGTCTCCTGACCAGTCGTCTCAGTTTGAGCCTGCAGAAGACGTGGTTTTTGACCAGGCCACGCTCTCCTGGACCAACTGGCACCGTCACGGAGACTTTCAGCTGCCGGACCTCACGCTTCTCTTCCCGTCGGGCGCATTGAGCGTGGTGACTGGTCCGTCAGGCTCTGGTAAGAGTCTCATCCTTGCTGCCGTGTTGGGCGAATGTGAGTTCCTTTCTGGCGAGCTGCGAAGGCCCCTGTCATCGACTGTAGCCTACGTCGCTCAGCAGCCGTGCATCCGCAATGGTACTGTTCGAGACAACATCCTCTTCGGCAGCCCCTTCAACCAGGATCGGTATCAGCGTGTGATTTCAGCGTGCGCTTTAGATCGCGACTTGGAGCTGCTGGAAATGAAGGACAAGACTGAGATGGGCCCGCAAGGAAGTCATCTGAGTGGGGGACAGTTGTGGCGAATCTCCCTCGCCCGCGCGCTCTATTCGACCGCCGAGATTCTGGTCCTTGATGACATTTTTAGCTCGATTGACTCCCATACCGCGCAGCATGTGTACGAAAACGCGCTCACGGGAAGCCTTGCTACTGGGCGCACACGGATACTCGCGACATACCATCTGGAGCTATGTCTTCCAGGTGCAGAGTATGTTGTCGCTCTAGATGGAACGGGGCTACGGTATGCTGGGCCTCGGAAGAACCTGAAAGAGATGGGTATATTCAACGATATGCCTCGGAGGGCAATTCAGGCACTCACAAATCAAGATCACAAGCAAGATATCCAAGATCTCGAGGGCTTTCATGGAGACCAAGCGTTGTGGGGAGGTAGTGTTCTGGACCCAGCGCTAGAGCCAGACCAGCGGGTGCCGGAATCCGCGAGCCATAGTGAACTCGCGCAAACCAGCAAATGGCGCATTCGCCAGAGGATACTTGAGCTATCCGGGGCTCGGTATCCCTGCATGATTCTCCTGGGACTGTATCTGACTTATAGCGGGCTCAGCGTTGGACGAGTGAGTTAGATCTGTCTTGTTCGGGTTTCGATCGTGACTAACATGGATAGGGCCTCTGGATGATGGTCTGGAGTAACCATAGCAGTCCAGATTCGGAGAAGACCGAGACTTCCTTGCCGAGCGATTCAACACCAGTGACGAGTGATGTGAAGTGGTTTCTCTCGATCTACTTGGCTCTCGCGATTATCTCGTCTGTGGTCACAGTGGCTCGGAGCTTCTTAGCGATCCGCATCACGCTTCAGATGTCTCGACGACTCTTCCAACAGTTCCTCGATTCAATTCTTCGAGCACCTCTTCAATGGCTCGAGAGGATTCCTGCTGGGAATGTTCTCAACAACTTCTCCACCGATTTTAGCCTCATCGACTCACGACTGGGCTATGATCTCAATTATGCACTCGGGCTTGTTGTCGATCTTCTTGTTATTGTCTTGGCCGCGTCGATTGTTACTTTCCGGCTCAATATCCTCGCACTTTGCTCACTTGCTCTGGCTGTTTACTATGGGCGGCAATTTATTAGGAAGATCCGCGCTGTCAAAGAGCTGGAAAGCCGCATGCGGAGCCCAATCCTCAACCATTTGTGCGCAACAGTAGATGGTATCAGGACCATCCGCGCCTACCGCCAGCAAGCTGCCTACCGCGAAGAGATGCAGACGTATATTGATCGACACTGCCGCGCGTCTTGGAACCTGTGGTTGCTCACCCGTTGGATATCTATGCGAGCCAGTACAATTGGAGCCATCTTCACCACCGTTGGCGCAGCCCTAGTTCTCCGCACCAACGGGGTCACCGCGTCGACGGCGGGATTTGCGATGACCTTTATCATGAGATACAGCACAATCATGTCGCAAGCCATCCGGCAGTATGCCAACCTCGAAATCTCCCTGAATAGTGTTGAACGAGTCGCGACGTTGCTGAACACTCCGAAGGAGGAATACAATAGCCCACCTCCAGCGGCAGCGTCCTGGCCCACAGAGGGTCGATTGGACGTGTCCAATCTGACGGTCTGCTACTCATTAGAACTACCACCCGTCCTCTCAAACCTCACCTTCTCCATCCCTGCCAATACCCGCGTAGGAATTGTCGGCCGAACAGGAGCCGGCAAGTCCTCACTGGCGATGGCCTTGTTCCGGTTTCTCGAAGCCCAAGAGGGCAGCATCCGCATCGACGGCGTCGATATCGGGACGGTCCCCTTGCACGACCTCCGCTCGCGTCTAGCGATAGTCGCCCAAGATCCAATCCTCTTCTCCGGAACCATCCGAACGAACCTTGATCCGTTCAACGAATACTCCAACCGTGAAATAGTCACCGCCCTACAGCGTGTGCACTGGACAGTTCCGGATACGATGATCCCCACAACTGCCTCCACAGCCGAGGCCGATTCCAGCTTCATCGACAGCGAGAGCGATATTCTTCTAGGATCCCTCGAACCGCAGTCTCATCTCTCCCGGAACGTGCTCAACACCAAGGTGTCTGAACGTGGTAGCAACTTCTCACAGGGTCAACGACAATGCCTCTGCCTAGCGCGGGCGATCTTGCGGCGCCCGAAGATCCTAGTGCTCGATGAGGCGACCTCGGCAATTGACAAGACCACCGACGCGGTGATACAGGCCTCCATCCGAGCCGAGTTTGGGCGGAATTATTCCTCGTTGCTGGTCATTGCCCATCGTTTACGCACGATCGTCGACTTTGATCGAGTCTTGGTACTGGACGCCGGCCGGGTTGTTGAGTATGGGCCGCCGCGGGAGTTGATAGCTAATGCAGAGGGGGTGTTTCGGGGATTGGTGGAGAGTAGTATCGACAGGGAGGAGTTGATGAGGATGATCGCTCAGGGTGATTGACGGGTGAATGCTGTTCAGGGCATCAGCGCTCAATCAGGTCAGAGACTGAGCGGAGTCTAGAACATTCTCGTCCAGTCGAGGAGTATTCATGCACGGTGCCAGCGACACGATGTCATAAACCACATACATCGACAGTTACAAATCAATGAGCGAACCGAGCCAGCACCGGATCTCAGACATTTCCCGACTGGGTTTAGTCTCCGCGCGGATGTCTTGGCTGGGGGTCCGACCGGTTCAGGCTTAGTCTCCGTTGCCGCTCTGTTACGCCATCATATCTCCGCCAGCCCTCAACCCTTAAATACCCGGCTGCAGCCGCTCCGGAAAATTGCTTTGCTCGGAGAAGTGGTACAAACACTACCACCATCACTACTACTATTACTACTACTTCGCATATTCAATCTTTCAGTCTATCTTCACGCAATGTCGTTCCCCTACAAGAAGGTCCTCATCATTGGCGCCACCTCCGGCATCGGCAAGTCCCTGGCCACCAAGCTGGTCCAGAATGGCACCCGCGTGGTCGTTGCCGGCCGTCGCAAGGAGAACCTGGAGGAGTTCGTCGCCCAGCACGGCAGCGAGATGGTCGACTCGGCTGTCTTCGACGTGATGCAGCTTGAGAAGGTGATTCCACCCTCTTGCCCACCCCGACCCGCATGTTTCTTGAGCCCCAGCAGATCACTAATCTGGGAGATGTCCTCCAAAACAGATTCCCGAGTTCGCATCCACCATCACCTCCGCCCACCCCGACCTTGACTGCGTCTTCATCAACTCGGGCATCCAGCGGCCCTTCGACTTCGCCCGGCCGGAGACCGTCGACCTCGACATCTTCGACCAGGAGCTGATCACCAACTACACCTCGGCGGTGCGCCTCACCAAGGCCTTCCTCCCGCACCTGCAGCAGCTGCCCCAGCGGACCGCGCTGGTGTACACGACCTCCCAGATGGCCTTGGTGCCCATGATGCGGTGCCCCAACTACGGCGCCTCCAAGGCGGCGCTGCACCACTTCATCCTGGCGCTGCGCACGCAGCTCCGCGACGGCAAGGGCAACGTCCAGGTGCTGGAGATCTACCCGCCCGCGGTGCAGACGGAGCTGCACGACGCGAAGCACCAGCCCGACCTGAAGGACGGCCACCTGATTGGCATGCCGCTGCAGGAGTTTGTCGACGAGGTGTACGCGCGGTTGGTGGGCGGCGAGGACCAGATTCCCGTTGGCTCGGCGCAGGAGATCTTCGAGGCGTTCGAGGTCAAGCGTCAAACGCTGTATCAGGGCATGACGGAGATGTTGGCGGGAATGTTGAAGCAGTTCCTGCGGGAGTAGATTAGAGGACAAAAGTTCATGAGAAAAACGGGCGGTTCGCTTCTGCCTATAGTAATCATATAACAGCATAGACATGGAATAAATAATCCTTACCCCTTCTACAACAAGCCCCTCCTCAACCTGTACCCTCCCTATTCCCCCCCAGTCCCCTGAATTCCGTAGTACTGTACATGTGCCCTCCCACCCCACCTTACGCCCCCACCAGCAATCCCGGCGCCGGCGCCGGAGCAGGAAACACCGCCACGTCCGCGATCTGCTTCCCCCTACACGCCGCGAGAATCAGACCCGCAAACGCCCCCATTGAATGCACCTGTCCCTGCTCCAACATCCCCGAATACCCATGCAAAGAGACCAGCGCCCCCTCACTAGACTCCCACACCCCTTCCCGCTCCGCACCCAACGCCTCGGGCCCCTCCCCTCCCTCCGCATCCCACAGCCCCGTCCGCACATCGAACGGCAACGCATCCACAAATGGGGTCCGCGCCGAGTAATTCCGCGTGTGCAGCGAGTACACGCTCCGCAGCATGAACCCCACGATGATCGTGCGCCGCACGCTCTCGGCGAACAGCCACGCCTGGCGCGGGCTGAGCGTGCGGGGCAGTTGCACGGGAGCCTGCGTCCACAGTCGGTGGCCAAGGCTCATCAGCATGTCGCTGATGGATTCTTGGTACGCTTGGGTTTGTTGGTCGGCGTGGTCGGGGGCGAGGAGGAGGATGCATTGAAGCAGGAGGAGGGCTTGCGCGCTGGCGAGGAGGTCGGGGAAGGTGGAGGCGCGGGTGATATGGCGGTGGAGGATGCGGGATTTCTGGTGGAGGAGGAGGTGCAGGCTGTGCGGATCACGGTGTGATGCGGATGATAAGGGGGAAGTGTAGTGCTTGCAGAGGGTCAGGATGTCGCGGAGGGGTGCGGGTGGGGTGGTGGGGGAGGGCCAGAGGTCCGGGTGGATGAAGTGTGTTTTCAGGGAGGAGGCGAAGGTTAGTGGGTATTGGCGCATGCCGGCGCAGAGGAAGGAAATCACGGTGGGGGAGTAGCCTTTGGTGATCTCCAGGGGGGGAAGGTGTGAGGGGAGGCTGAGGGTCGCGGTGCGGGTGGTGATGGTGTTGGACCGGCCGGGTTTTCGGGGTCGGGAAGTGTTGGCTGGTGTTGGTGTTGTGGTGGTCATCGTCTGCAGGGTGGTGACGTGCACTATGCTCCGGGCTTTGGTGAGACTGACATTCGGGCCGATGGATGTGCTGACAGGCAATGGCACGTTGATGTATTCGCACTCGATGCGGCGGGTTTGGCAACGGCCACAGCGTGGCCAGCGCTGATCGCAGCGCCGTTTGCCGCGGGCGCAGGCTTGGCAGGAGCGGCGTAGCGTGGGCGGCTTAGGGGCTTCGACAACCATTGTTAATCGATGGAACAAACGAATAATTGAATGAAATCCCGAGACGGTGAGTGATAAGAGGCTAGTGCGATGAAGATGCAGTGGTGGGTGAGTCGGTCGAAGCCGAACGGGAGTCGCAGATAAAACGCAATCCCCGAGTCACGTGCTGTTTCGGCCGAGGTTGCCTCTTTTGACATTGCCTGACGATTTATTTAGTCTGTCTGACTCTACCTGACTAGATACTCGTAATTAACTATTGAACTGGATTGCTGCGGAGATCAAACGACTTTCTCTTCTCGCTTTAGGTGAACTTGGTGCTGCTTTTTGCTCCCTAAGCAGTCCGAAGTATGGGAGAAGCATAATGTTATGGGATCAAGGCCCTGATATAGAGCTCAGCTTCAGGCACCAACTGATCACCATGAAAGCGTCTAATGCTGCGCGACCTGCTGTTGAAACTGCAGCAAGAATATTAGCTCTTGAACAGCAAGCTGCTATTCTCACCCAAACTTCAGGAGAATCTATGACCGCAGAGGTTGATTCTGATAATTACAGGCCACATACTTGACACGCGATCGTCTGTGATTTACTTTGTCTTCATTTGCCTATTTATCTACGCCTTGGTCATAAGCCACAGAGATCAACGTTATTTCTGTCCGCTAATCCTGCTCTTAGGCTTGTCTTCGTGTCGAAAAAACAAAGTTCACTTTGCTTCAGATTTTCGGAACCATTATACTCGATTTGTTTCTCACTATCGGTCCCCTTGTCCCTACTTTCTACCCTCCTGAAACCAGCTGCAATTGCCATAGGTCTGGGGTCAACTTGCTCTCTTTTGTTCTTCCCAAATCAGCATCCTATACAGTTCTAGCAAGTCTGCGAGGAACAGTCGATCTGATGGAGAATCTAATCGTTTTTTTCGATTACTGCTTTACAACAAGGACCGAGCAGCTTGAATCTGAAGTTCTTGCAGGGAATAAGAGACTGTTCTGGTTAGCATCTTCAAGTCAATTAAACCGGCTCGGGTATTCCTCCCTATCGACTTTTCTCGCGGCCGGTGGAGTGCGGAGGATGTGGTCAGCTTGAGAGACCCCATTCAAAAAGTGATATTTGCAGGGTCATCCTTGCTGGACTTTCATATTGGCTACCTACAGCAGCATGAGACTATGAAGGAGATACCAAAAGAGTCAGTAAAGCCCACGGTCGGTAACAATGGCTCTCACTCATGTCAAGGATCCAAGCTCGACAAAGTCTTTCAAAATCTGTCTTATGAGGGTTATCCGCTCGTCGAGGAAAATATGCAGGCGCTGAAAGATTCCTCTTCTGAAACACTGCCTGCATGCCAAGGGGCTTTATCTATGATCTCGGAATGCTTCCATGCGATTAATTCTACAAGATGGCTTGGGAAATATCCGACGGTGACTATAACGCGATGATTTCACGTGGGCAGGCTGCCCTGGAGAATTTACAGCGAGCACGAGCCGCTTCTGCATCTCAATTAACAGAACGACTGTTAGATACATACCCTAGTTCCTTCGACGATGAAGGTAACTTCACTCGAGCATTTTATCTGAAAACGCCTCACCCGCTGCAAGGCTTGATGATCGGCATGGTTTTCAAAGAAGAAGTTCTCACACTGGTCGACGCAATGATAGCGTTAATGAGTCATGTTTTTGCTTTATGTGAAACACGGACTCAAAACAGGAATCGGCTACCTCGAGGCATCCGATTAATCATTTCCTGGGCATCGCGGAGCGATGATTCTGTTCCAGATCAGTTTTCCCCCAGCGATCCAGACACCAAGCAAGTCAAGCTTTCTAATGACCAAGATAACATTCTACCAGGGATGCAGCGGGCTAGCATTCGAAAACGGAGTGCATAAGGGCGTTTGATTTTGAGCACCTACTATTGGCTTACCAACTCAGAGGGGCTTTTCGCCCTAGGGATGGTCGCAGTAACCATTGCTCATGGTGTGCCAGCAGTCATACCTTCAAGTGCTGGATTCTACTTCCGCGAAAAGGGACTTTGAGCTCTGATCACAGCTCAGACGACGTTGATTGTCTACATGTCTGACTTCGTATTTTCAATTATCTGTCGTTCAATGGTTGTTGGAGGCCTTTTAGGCCTGGTTGCCTGGTACATAGGCTCGGGACATGGTTCCGGGAATCCTCATGAATTAGGAGCAATTATGGCCGTGGTTGTTATTATTCTGATGTTTAACCGGCTTTCCCTCCCATTCTAGTAATTCCAGGCAATCGCAATCGCTGCTGCGACTTGCCACCTTGTGGTTGGTTATAGCTAATGACACATAAGTCACCAGTTGTCCACGCGCCCCATCGGTCAAGTGCATAACAAAAGCTTGTTGACTAAAATATTAATCGCTTTTAGGCACATTTCCAGCTATGAAAATCCCGGTTCTGGGTATTCAGTCTTCTGGAGGTGACTTGTTTGAGTCATCGTTGGATTTACTGCCGCCTTGATCGTGCAAATTTCCCCACGACCCCACAGGCTATTCGATATGTCTGTAAATCAATTTGGAACGCCATGCAAGGACTAGGAAAGTAATACAGTCTAATTCTTTCTCAGTAGGGGTGTCCTCTAAATAAAGCGAGCTTGTCATTTGGACGGCAGTCGGCAGTTAATTAAACGAATTGCAGAAGAAATGGGTGCCTTAATCGGACCTATTGCGTTACTGAATCTAGAATTCTCAAGTTCCGATTTCGATAGCAAATCGCTCGCTTCCGTTGCAGGGCTGTCCCGAGAGCTGAACCAGGCACTGAGTCGTCTATTATCTCTCTCATCCACTTCGCCGCTTGACTTCCAAGAAAAGTGGGCGAAATCTGTCGGCATGCTCGACCAACGAGACATCGACGATATCATGGTAGTCATCACTGTCATTCAATGTGCACTTCATACTGAAACTCCACTCCCACAAGTCTTGCCTGCTCCTTTGCTCAATCGGTGCAATAATTATTGGGAAAAATCATCAACTGGATTTCACTTTATTGAAAATCATAGTTCGAGACGAGAACTATCGGCGGTATTGTGTCGCGTTCTATTGCTATGTGGAATTGCTGGTAACTTTTGATAAGTTGGTTTTTGTGGTCAAGGAGAGAGTGGGGGAGATGTATATGCTTCCCCACGACGACCATGAGAATGTTTGATTGCGACATCCGAATCCGCTCATGGACCCTACATTATAGCCTTCATGCCGATCCATTTCGTGCGCATACCTTTCTGTTTCAGTCAAGAAGCACACTGAACAGTTGAAGTGCGGAGAGCCATAGCACGGTCTTGTCGGTCTCTATCTTGCACTCACAAAAATAATGGCCATCGATTATGATTTTGTCCTCCGCGTGTACGCAAAAGCATCGAGTGTTGCCCAGGTGGTCTTTCATAAAATCACACATTGTGCATTTATAGAGTGTCTATGTAGATTCAGGTCTCCTCATGGTCCCCATCATGCCCCCGGAGTAAGTTCTACTGACGATCCGATACCACCTCTTCTTGACATGTAGTGGCGGCTTAACGTTCTTTTTCAGATTCGTACATCTTCAAGCAATATAGTGAGATTATTCACTCGCTTTGAGGTTTAGTCTTTCAGTTATAACCATAATAAATATCATCAACCTACAAGACATCCCTACTAGACCTCTAGAAAAGTAAGAAAAGTTAATATTGAACTTATTTACCATATTAATACAGACTCTAGCTGTAGAAGCCACAACAGCTTCTAAGTCTCGGAAATATATAGATACATGTAGGTATTACAAGTAGAAGCAGATATTATAACTCTGAACCCTGCATATCTAAAAGCATTTTCATAGGCATCATACCTATAAATAAAGTTTCATATCTCCCGGAATCTTCCAGATATCGAGACATACTTGAAACCCCCACAAGGTCCAAGATCAGTCATTTGACTCTAGATTAGAAGGTCAAATACCAAAGCGTCGGGGTTGATTTCCTCCACTAAATTGGTTCAGTTATCCTTTACATATGTCCTATCTAAAGGTGGTATGTTTAACCTCACATCTTCGATAATCCCTCATGGATCCCTGCTAGATCATACAGATAGGCGAGGATATATAGTGAGTACCTCGAAAACTATAGAATCTCGATACTCAATTATGATTGTGTCTTTCTATCAATTGGCCATACTGACATAGTAGGAAATTTAGCTGATGCCTGGGCCAAGTTCCAATTAACCGAGACTGGGTCTCGGTACTAACTGACACGAGAAAAAAAATACAAGATTCATTTCAGATGACATGAGGAATTCACATAGTTAAACTTTGAAGGAAGGCAAGCTGTTGATCTATCACGTCTCGCACAATCTCTTCCCATGAGCGCCATTTAATTCCAAGCTCATTTTCCGCCTTCGAGGTATCGGTAGGTACGGAAGCACCTTGGGCGCCCTCTGTGAGTTTACCACCAATGTTGGGGTAGGCTTCCCTCACAATGCGGGCCACATCATTCCATGTCGTCGGCTTTCCTGCGAGTAGGTACTTGGACCCACCCTCAATTTCTGGCTGCAATGCCTTGATATGCGCCTCAGCAACATCTTGAACATGTACACCGGTGATAGCGAGATCTCCAGCTGGCGTTCCTTTCATCACAGTATTCCAGAAGATCCCATTAGATCCTGCTTGAATCCCTTCGGCGGAGACTTGCATTAAGTTGTGCCCATAGACGTACACCGGATAAAGAGTCACCAAAGAGTAATGCGGTTTGTTGGTCTTCCAAAAGTCCCATGCTGCCTTATCTGCAAGCAATTTGGAGACCTGGTACAAAGTCATTGCTGATGTGACAGGGTCGTTCGGGTCGACAAAATTTGCATTTGGATCAACTGTTAGGTCCCAATCGTTTGCCTCTAAATTTGGTATCAGTATAAGTCTCGTTATCGTATTACGCAGGAGCTCTGAGTTGTGTAGGGATATCACCTTTAACAACAGCACCTTCTGGTATCCCGTCAAGAGGAAACAAGGAAACGGCTGAAGACGTGATCACAACCTTCTTAATACTCGACACTTTCTCCGATTCTTTAAGAATGGCCAATATTCCCTTGATTGCGGGGGGGAAATAAGCTTCCTTGTCTATCCCGTGGGGAACCGGTGACGCAAGATGCAGAACATAGTCCACCCCATCGAGCTTGCCTCTAAAGACAGCCTCGTCAGTGAGATTAGAGATGATGACAAACTCTGTCTGGTCACTGTAGTCCGACAGCAACTCTTTGAGCTTATCTGAGTTCTTCCGAACGCCAATTCGAAGTCGGTACCCCGCCTTGAGAGCTTCCAGGGCGGTGGCGCTACCGATAAAACCAGTAGCGCAAGTTATGAAAATCAACGGAGCGGACATTGTTAAACCTGGAGTTTTGGGATTCTCAGCCTCTGAGTGCCTCAAACAGGAAAAATCATGGTATAAATAGTTAATTTGAGAGTGTGGACATGTATTTGTCACTCACTGTGGTTGACTCCGTTGATTTTGTTAGTACGGTGGAGAGGGGCAGCGATTTGATCCTTTGGATCCTGCCGTTCATATGATTATTGATACTTTATAGGGCCATTCAGAGTTGATATTCAAAGCTTCGCATGGTGATTTGAGAAGGCGGTACGTGGTAGGAGGCACTCCGCTTAAAGGATTCAAATTCCTGCCCCTCTCCACCGTACTAACAAAATCAACGGAGTCAACCACAGTAAGGCGTGGTGAATGCTAGTTGCAATTGCAGCTGCATTCACCACGCCTTATGCGTTTAGTCCCCACTCTTCGTTAGTGCACCGCACAGTATGAGTCTGAATCTACCTCAATTAGGGTGGAGACCTATCATTACCTCGACAAACTTCTAAAGGGATTCGAAATCCTCTACGCGACTAATAAATAGCCCATGAAGCTCCACATGTTGCACAATCAATTGTTCCTGATTTGTCTATCATCTTCTATTACAAGATGTTCTCACAGCGATTCACAGGTATACTGCGCAAACTGTAAATAGATGACGTTTTCGCCCCCAAGGTTCCAGGTTTGAGCCGAAAGCAATACGAGAACTCCGTTAGGAGTATCACCCGCTAATTGCCTGAATCTTGATCCACAGTACGGGCTGGATTTTTCCGCTCCTATTTCGGGCTGGTTGATCATGTATTTATTCATTAAGTTATGCAAATTCACGACAGATCGACAACTGTCCCATCTTGGTTGTATCGCCTGTCGGGACTTATGCGGGCCGACAATTGTTGGATTGCAAGTACTCTCAAGTATTCAACTAACTGCATTGGTCTGGTGGGCCCTTGGGGCGGGCCGTCTATATGAATCCCTAAGGATTAGAAAAACGCCCCTTGCTTAAATAAGACTAGCCCCGTATTTGTACCTCATCTGTTATTTCAACCGTGGAAAACCTGGCGCCCTCATCAACTCTATAATTGGGGGGGGGATTGCTAGAACCACGACCCGAGTACCACGAGATTCCGCGGTGGTCCAGCGGAGTCAGGTTTGTTGGAGTTTACCTCTCTTCTTGACCAGGAAAGAAACGAGTTCGGCATTTTCGCGGCACGAGGCCCGAGCTGCTTACGAATCTCTTCTTCTCACCTTCCAGATTCAACAGGCTATAAAATTACGGTTATCTCATTCCATAAATCCAGAAAACTTCTTTCAAGGACTATCAAAACGATGCAAGTGGCCACTCGAGCGATTTTTACCGACCATAATGGCGAGCCGTACATTGACACAGTCAATGAATCTTACGAGCCTCTTCCAGCTGAGGTTTTGGTCAAAGTTCAATTCTCCGGTATCAACCCTGCCGACCTGGGTCACGCCCGTGTTAGATTCAACAATACTGTCGCCGGGTATGACTTCTCTGGAGTAGTCATCAAAGCAGGCTCCGACAAAAGCGAGCAATTTCAACCCGGTGACTGCGTTCTCGGATTCGCTGCGCCTGCAATGGATAAGCCAAAGCAGTACGGTGCGCACCAGGACTATCATTGTGCTAGACATTTTATCTACCACGTCCCCCCTTCCATGCCTATGGAAGATGCCGCTTGCCTTATGGTTGTAACTCATACCGCTGCCGATGCTCTCTTTAACCAGCTTCAGCTGTCTTTTGAAAATGAGTCACAGCCTCTTTTGGTATGGGGTGGTTCAAGCGCTGTTGGAAGTGCAATCATCCAGCTCGCTAAGAAGGCAGGATGCCACCCGATCCTCACAAGCGCATCCCCTAGGAACCATGGAAGGCTTCTAGAAATTGGCGCAACAGAGTGTTTCGATTATAATGACCCCGACGTTGTGCAGAATATTCGATCTGCTCTTGTTAAAATCACCACCAAGCCACTCGTGCGAGTAGTGGATGCTGTCGTATCCCGCGGACAGCCTTCTTCAACCAGCCTTTGCGAGGCTTGTATCGATGACCCAAGTACTTCTTTGTTCACTTCTCCAATCCCTGCTACAAGCGATGCGAAAAATCATTGGAGTCGCACTTTTGCTTGTAGGAACGTTCCTGTCGACTTCAAACTTCCGAACGGGGTTGTGCTTAAGCACGACCCCGACCAGCTTATGCAAGACAAAATCGACCAAGCTACCGCCTGGGCTATTTCGAATTATGGAAACGGTTACTGTATGCCCAATGTTGTTGTGGTGAAAGGTGGGGAAGATGGGATGCGTGCGATGCGTGATGTTTCCGCCGGCAAGGCCAGCATGCAAAAGTTTGTGATTGAGCATCCTATCTAAAAACATTCAGCTTGTACGTTGCTAGTCTAGTAGATTCTGAATCTATATAACCCTATATCCCTTTATGTTCCCATAATCCTGAAGTTCAGCATTGAAGTCGTTATATAAACCAACAGATAGTCTTTTTTATATCACAGGTGTCCTTTCCAGTCCGCCAGCTGCTTGTAAATTTAAGACTAAACCCTTTTTAGGGAAGGTGTTTTATCGGTCCTTCTCTGAATAGCTTCGTCGCCGATCAAATTAGTTACAAACTGACATTCATTAGCTCCTTGCTAGTAGTGTGCGGTTACATATTCCTCACGTTCTTCCTACAAAACATTATCACTATCCAGGCCGCTGCTATTCTGATTGGAAACCCTTAGTCAGTTTTCACTCCGACTTCAAGCTCACTTTCAACAGAGGTGTGTCTGTATTGCAGATCCTACCACTTACCTATATTGCAGAGGTTATCCCTGTTAGACTGAGAGGTATATGATTACTTTTATTAATTTCTGTTTTGTCGCTGGTCAATTGGTTGGGTCTGGAGAGGTAAAGGCCTTTTCTTCGCGAGCTGACCAATGGTCCTACCGCCTACCTCGAGCTATATAGTGGGACTGGCCCCTTCCTGTGCTTTCTCTCCACCTTGGTGGTTGGTGGGTCGTGGGAGGGTAGAATACTCTGCAGAGGCTTACATCTTTAACCTGTGGGGTGCCAATTGACATTAACTATGAAATTCTATAATCCAGGCTACAAACAATCAAGAACTATTGCCTAGCATAAAAATCATCTACCTTGACTGCTTTAAAGGAACAAACCTCCGCCCAGGGGAGCTTGTGTCGGTTGTATGGCTTGCCCAGACAACTTATGCTTTCAGCTTGGTTTTTAACTCAGTAGTATGTTTGGAGCGCGCGGGCAACAGATAGTCAAACAGCTGCTTCTTCACTCGGGGATTTCTGGCTTGGGCTGGATCAGTACAGTGGGTATGTTGAATAAGAGTTTCTGCCCCTCTTCTCTATCTGATGGGAGCCTGGATTAGGATAGGTTGAGACTGATTATATGACCATTGAACAGCATCATGGTACCTGAATTCAAGCAATATTCTCACTGTTCTAAAATTTAAAAATGCACGATGTTTGATATTTAGGAAGCAGCGGCAGAATAGAAGTAGCATATATTCAATCAATATTTCAATATACATCGAAGTCATAGACTCGAATTGAGATAGTCAAAAGAAACATCTTGGATACATAGTCCAACTAAGGTTGCTGTCCCAATTCGATCGTGTCACCCATTGATATTTGGAGAGTCTTATAAACTGGTAGAATGAGTGAATTCGAAACACTAAGTAAATCTCAACATTCGCCTATGAAATAATGAAACCGGCCCTTAGTCGCTTTGCTACCGCTAGCTTGCACAGCATAGTTGATTGAGTGATCTTAGAAGAGGGTTTCAGTTATAAAGTGGCAGAGCTTTTTGACCGTTTCAATAAGCGATCGGGTCCAGAGTGAGAGCAGGATGGAATATTGAAGCACTCTTGCTGTTATGTGAAGAAGAAGATTAGAGAGTAGAAATGGAAGGAAATTGAATGTTCTATGTTCTTTGTGTCAATGATACAGAAAAGGTGAGAGCGGACTTGACTGCCAAGTTGCGTAAAACATTATTACGTATTTGACTTCCATCTCCAGATCATCTGGACAACATACAAAACTCTCATTGGAGAACCACTTGCTAGTCGCATGCTAATCTTAACTTAATATAAAGACCAAGGTATACGTACGAACTTCAAAATGACTGCAGTCTAAAGTTCCATATCGGATGTGCAGCTGGATATGAAAAGCAGGATGAGTATTTTGCCGCTTGCTTCGTACTGATTTTTGACTCGGTTAAGTGGGGGAGGGTGGCCAGCTTGGCCGGGAATTACGTTAAGTAGTTAGTTAACTGGTTAACTAGTTAGTCAGGTTGGTATAGACATGATTAATCGTACCGGATATATAATATCTCCTTTCTCCGAGTATTTACTAATCCTGGTGCTGCAACAATTTTCAAAGGTGAACGCCACCTACATTATTGAGCTATTCAACAACCCTGGAGTCGTGTAATATACGACAATCCTACCCTAAGATCTACTCAACGGACAGACAACTGAAAGGACCGATAATGATCAGTCCTACTGCCTGCTATCGGTGTAGGCAACAAAAAGTAAGCTTCCTAGGTAAACCTTCATCGTGAAACTGTACGGACTCGCTTTTTCTCACAGCGGAGATGTTCTCGAGATTTGCCCATTTGCCAGCGCTGTCATGAATTTGAGGCTGATTGCGACTATCCCCTGCCCCCTGACCGAAAATTATTAGCCGCACAGCGAGCAACCCGTAGAGCAAATAATCATCATGTCCAATTGTAAGCTCAGTACAATCATCGGCTATCCCATCCTTCTAATGGCATACCACTAGGTCGAACGCCATCTCGGAGATCGATAACAGACTGGGCCTCCTTCAGACTTATTTCTCTCATTTTATCCACTCAGCCATTTTATTCGACAAAGAGGCCCTATATTTCAAGTATAGGAATGAGAATATTCCGGAATATTTGTTACAAAGCCTGCTTGCATTTTCATCTGTTTTGGATCCAAGAGCGACGCGATCGAATGCCAGCTCTTACGCAACAGATTTATATATGCCATGGCTTGGTGACGATCTCAGCTCTCAATGCAACTCGTGGGCTGCACATCATGACGCAAGTAGTGTTATGCCGGCCTTGACACCTTGCTCGCCAGTAAACTTTACTGGCTTCCTTTCACCTGTCTCTTTACTGGTTTGCTCGCGGTCAAATCGATAGAGCGAGGTCACTTGCAGGTAGGCCATGATTTCCCAAGGTACAGAAACTCCTTTCATTGGTTTTACTTATTAAAGATAACAAGATTCCGCTTTCCAATCGTCTCTTCATTTGATGTCTCAAGGGCAAGCCAACGCCATCGAACTTTCACCGCAATCCGCCTTCAGTATTTTTGGGGTCTACTGGTCTCTTCGCTGTTTTGTACAGGAACCCCGATCTGCTGACTCTTGTCTTGTTATCGACCTCCCTGACAAACTTCTATTTACACCCATTAGAGGAATTTTACAATCTATCCAACTGGGTCGAAATATGTGTGATGATGGTGGATACAAGGAGTTATGGCCTAATTATAGATTCTTGGCTCTGTCGGGATGCTGGTAATCTTACCATCCTCCGTATGCCACAGCCAGCACTCGTCAGTTGACTAATTGCAAATTCATAGGTTCCGCGTGCGCGAGTTCGTCCATGCTCTGCACGCGGTTGAAGATCCTTTGTCCATGTTACCGTCGTTGGCAAAATTGGATCTCCACACGAATGCTTGTTTTAGCTTATTTAATTCTGAGTCGGCCGTCGGTCCATGTCCTGACCCTATGTCGCTGCACCGGTCACTTGTCTCGGAAATTCTTCACCACCAGTGTCGAGCCGTCCCACATTTATACATTTACATTTCCAACCTGCGGAAACATGCCCATCACCACGAGTTCCTACAATTGAGTGCTCTTATCGCCATCCGCCATATATTTTCACTTACCAAGGTGGTGAATAATCTACTTGTAACATTCCGGACCTCGCAACTTAGCTCGATTCCACCATTTGTCGGGTTTTCAACTTATCTGGCTGCGTCACTACAACTCGGAGCCCTCGTGCATTTACATTCATTGCCTGGCTGCAGGGCTCGCTTGTTGGCTGCCCTTAGGTCGTATGCCTTGATCAATCTTTTTACTCTAAATCGATTACGATTTTTATGGGCCCCAGCACAGATCATGGTAACCTCTCCAGAACTCACAACCTCCGCTTTATCCCACCGTGACTGACAAATTATGCAGTGGCAGAAGCTTTCGAGACTTCTTTCCCGTGCTCTCATTTCAATCACGCACATAGAAGGCGTTGAGCTTCATGCCATGTCGATTCCGACCACAGACGAAATAACTACCATTGAGTTGCAAAACTTTGTCTCTGGTCAGTTCTCATCTATCTTGTCAATTATTGATATCACGGAGCCTTTCTACATCCCCTTTGAAGCGGTTGATACACAGGTCACCTCTCGCTGTTTCTCAAGGTCAAACCCTTGTGTTCCAGAGGCTGTGTCTGAGCCACAAGATCGTCCTATGCATGGCCGTGTGGTGTCGGAAATCAACGATCCATATCAGGATCATCTCGATCAACTATGGGTCAATTTCTGTTAATCCGTTTATCTTGGTTGCCTCAGTTGATGACTATGCATACCGTTTGTCTAATGCTCTACTGAACAAACCTCGATTCATTGAAATGACGAAACATAATGATATCACCAAGCTGTTGGTTTTCATTTGGCTGAAAAGCTCCGTAGAACCAAATTTCGCGATAATTTACTGTAACACCAATCTACGATGAAGTCAAAACGTCGGACCTCGGCTCGCATAAAGCTAGCTTGCACAAATCCCCTAATGAGTATTTGGTTTCGAGTCGGGATTTACTTTAAGAGATTATGATGTTTTTCGGGCTCTGCTGGTTTGGGGTGCTCGCTCAATCTGGCCCTCATTTGCTTGGATTTTATTACCTTCTTCACCCCCGGTTGTGTCCACCGCCCCTTCGTTCTTCTGTATTGGTTTCCTTATCATGAAATTCCAAATATGGCATCGAGAGGCGGCTTGATTTCATTTTCTGGACTATAATTTCCAGAGATCTTAGACGGGCCAAGCAATCTGCCGATGTGTTTATCCCAATTCAATACGTGAATTCATGCGGTTTACAACCGTATGACATGTATCGGGTATTTCGGTGCTTTTGCGGGCCGATGGTAGATGTTGGTTCCGAGTTTATTCCAGCTTGGCGGTTCGTTCACCTTTAGTTCATTGTGAGCCTGAATTGGTGGGCTATAACTTGAACTGGAAAGCCTTTGGGGGCATTCCGAAGTCGGCACCCGGATTATCTTCCTTTATGAGCGATAATTCCGGCCAAGGCAGCCACACGGCAACCTATTCAAAACTGACGATATCTTTGAAGTAAGTGACCATCGAGGCGGTCGAAAAAGTATTTTTCTTCCAGAGAAATCGAAAACCCGGCTTAGATAAAGATTACAGCGCCAATTTCAGGTCTTCTCTCTTTTCTCGGTATTTCAGTATAATGCATTGTCCCAGCGTTAAGTAAAATGTGATAGTCCATGTATTGTCAGGCGTAGTACGGTATCTAGCTTTGTGAAGTCCCAGTTGACCTACTCGGTTCCGAAATAAGGAGGTATCCCTTTGAAGCATAGGTGAATCGGGCGCGATAAACAACTTAGATGAAACTCAAAGTACACCAATTTGGGTCTTGAGCGTCTAAGCATAGATCTCCGTTCTCTGGTTGATGAACTCAAGTAGCAGATGCAAACTCCTCCATCGCTTCTCGGACAGCCTTCCTTTCCTTGATCCTGTCAAGCCACTGTGCCACCTCAGGGAAATCCTCCTCTAATTTGACTTCCTCCTTAAACATTTTTGGCACAATCTCATACGAAGGTAAAAATGCGAGATCGGCGTAACTGTATTTGTCGCCAACAAGGTATTTCTTGTTTTGCAATGCCTTGTTCAAGACTCCCGTCACACGACGAATCTCGTTCACATATCGGTCCTTTGCACTTTGGATTTGCTCAGGGTGAAACAAGGTGAACCAGACCGCTTGGCCAAAGTAAGGGCCTTGGCCCGAAACTTGGAAAAAGAGCCATTGCTTGGCTTCAAAATATTCGGCTGAGTCGCGGGCAAAGGTGAGGGAAGCAACGTGATCATATTTCTCAAGTAGGTACTCTAGAATAGCACCAGACTCCCAAACCGTTAGATTGGTGTTTGGGTCTTGAATTGCGGGGAGACGGCCATTTGGGTTGATAGACTCATAGGGTTCTTTCTTCAGTTCCTCGAAAGGAACACTTTTGGTTTCGTAAGGAATATCGAGCTCTCTTAGAAGAATAGCAACTTTGAGTGGATTTGGGGCATTTCCATGGGTGTAGAGTTTGATGGGTTGCAGAGACGGCATTTTGAAGACGGGGAGAGGAAATAAAACTGCTCAGAGATCACAACCTAAGACTGAAATTATGCACTACTTCGTGCCTAGGCTTGAATTATATATTGAGGCCCATTCTGTGATTTGAAATCAACGGATACGATGACAAATGCAAATGTGACCACCGCAATTAGTTGCTAGGCGTATTCGGAATTTTCGTGAAAGTAGGAGAATACTTATCTGGCCCACTGATTTTGTCATGAATCCAGATATTTCCAAATTCCCCACGATGTAATAGTACTCTCGATCAAGACTTCGTAGGAACTGATTCCTAATAGCAACCCTCACTAGCATAAATGACGATAACTTGCTCAGGCATGATACGTTGAAATCTGGGGCAAGTTTGAAGCCAGTAATGATTCACAATGATCCAAGACCGTCCTACTTACGGCAATTTGAGATATTGGCAGTAAACTAGTTCGCGTTAAGTACTTAGGACATTTCATTCAGTACCCATTCAAATTCTTATAATAAATTTCGTGAAGCTATTTGATCAGACATTTCAGCTCTAGAAGTGAAATGCACACATGTACATTTTCCAAGTGAAAAGATTTCGCTTGACAATTGTGTTCACATTTGGATCCCCTCTACCTTTAATTCCCGGTAGCAGTGACGTGTCCAGTTGGTGAACTCAACAACAAGGTGCTGACGATGCTGTTCAAATAGAACTTCGGGAGCCGAAGCAGGGAAGTAGATGCAAAGGTTGACATCAAACCCAGAGCCGTCAGTGTGAGGTCGAAATTGATGGAGCACGTAACCATTGATCGAGCCATCGTCCGTATGTCCATAACCGGTCATTCTGAGAGGGAAATCTTCGCGAATATCGTTCAGCTGGAAAGGCTGAGATGGTGCCTCGAACTTGATAAAAAAGCGTGAGACCCATGGACCCAAGTTCTCGATCACTTTTTCATTGCCCTGTTCATCAGCGGAAACAACCCAATGCTCAGGTTGACCTGCGAGCATGTTGGAAACGTTTCGCTGGCAACGGTTGCGAAACCAGGGAAGGAATTCTTCCATAGTAATGCCTTTCACGGAAAGTTCGATACGAGCGGGCTTAAATTCGCCTGTTGTGTTCTCGGCGAGCACTCTCTGCCAAAATCTATTCGATTCGTCGATATCAGGCTGGACGAGCTTTTCCGTGGCTTCAAGGCCCAGGTGAGACTTGATCCTTTCCAATGCACGGCGTGCAAAGCGAAGTTCATATTCATCGGCTGTACCAGCAATGGAGGGACCGGCAGTCACCTCAGTACTGAAACCGGTCGGGTATCCGAGGACTTGGGAAGGCATTATGGCGAGATGCGCTGAAGTGATACAAATGACAATGCAATCTGGAGAGAATAGATTCTAGTATGTAGGCCGTTGTACGAAGGGAGGTGGCGGAGCGGCTTCGTAAGGAGTATTTATGATGCCGACTTCGGGACCCAGGAGCTTCCGGAAGCATTGAATGTAACCAAGAGGTGGCGAACGAGAAAGAGACCTGCCTCAATCTCGGGCACTCACCTAAGTTCCATGGAGGTAAATTATTTGGCCAGAAGAGTAATGTGGTGTGGTAATAGTAGGCGATGGCTCGCTAGAGTCAATTCTCCACAGGTCGCTGTTCCCCGCTATTCTCCACACGGACGGCCCGCATAAGGACCGATAAGAAGAATGTGACCAGTGTTCCGTTAGGCGTTTGCTGATCCCCCCACTTTATCGGCCCGCACAAGTCCCGACAAAACCTTAACGTTATTACCAGTGCAGCTATTAGTAATATTCCATGCACTTGCATAACTGAGTCGTCGAATGACTTAGAATACTTCAAAATCGATTATCTCAACGAAATACCCATCATTTTTACTAGGTATAGCAATTTATACATACATCATAACCTTAAGCACCGAGGTCGACCGTAGAATCAGCTCACTAAGAGTGGTTCACCCGTTCAGTTCGGAGTAAGGCTTCGCTATGATGAAAGCTGAGGGGAAAAGGATGAAGATGGCTATAGATAGAAAGACTGGAACTGAGGCTGAAGTCCCTGTGCGAGAGACACCCACGAAGATTGGATTAGTAAGTCTTACATCTTACGAGAGAATTACAATGACTTACTTAATAGGGTAGTCTCAAATCTGATACCCATGTCAGGGAACAATTCATGCATCATTTCCTTTAAAGGAAATGCTCGTTTATATGTTGTCCTTGGTCTAACGAATATCAGATATTTTAGAGAGATGGTTTAAAAATTGGAGTATTCTAGCGTCAATCCTTTATTCAGTAGCACCGAGTACTGGTCGTAATACATCAACGATAAACACCAAAAAGTCGTCCTTGTATTCAGTTACCCTTTTTACCATGGGACAATCGTTCCATCCCAAGCAATAAATTGGGGGTGATCTTTCAGCTTGAGTTCCTTGAGTACCTTGACGTATCCAGCAACAGAGGTCTCAACAGGCATACCCCCTGAGCCACCCATATCAGTTGCAACCCAGCCTGGGTGGAATGAGAGCAAGGTGAACTTCTCTTGGCGCAGCTCATGGTGAAGCTGGATCATCATCATGTTGCCAGCAGCCTTGGTCAGAGAATAAGGACCAAGAGACCCGTGATCAAATTCACTCTGCTTTTGTAGTGATCCGCAAAGAGAGGATGTCAAGACAATCTGTCTTGTTTCGCGAGCTAGGAGAGCGGGAAGAAAAGCCTTAACGATTCGAAGAGGACCTTTCACATTAACGTCGAGATATTTGTCAAACTTCTCGTCCGGACATGTGAGGAGCTGGTCTTCCTCGCCGAAAGCACCATTGATAATGAGGGTGTCGATCTCCGGGACTTGAGATGCAGCTTGGGTGATGGAGGACGGGACACTTTGATCGAGGACGAGGTATGAAATGTTGGTAGCACCAAAGTCGGTTTGTTGGCGAACGGTGGCGATAATTTGCAGGTTGGAATCCGCGCTCAATTGTCTTACGAGCTCGCGCCCAATTCCTCGCGAAGCCCCGACAATTAAGACAATTTTTGGAGTCATGGTACTCTGTAAAAGGTGAAGGATCTTTGCGTGGAATTGTGTAAGAGTTGGAATCAACACTTGACGAAAGCATCGGCTTTAATACACTAGAAATATACCGAGAACCTTCTTCTAAGAATTTTCTGTTTTTCTTTCTTTAATTATTGATTCAACCTTTTTCCAAAATATGATTTATTATTGTCACTAATCTGTTTCCGTTCTTTTTCTGAGTAATACACACTAATCCCGATAGTCAGCTTATATCGGGCCGCCCCGGCTACAGAGCTGTATCGCGGCAAGTCTTGCCGGTATGCCAAGTAATTTTCCTGAATCTTAGGTTCCAAAGCAGAGTACACGAAAACTGTTTCTCGCCGTTCGTGCATAAGTGGAGATCAGCAACATCTATTGGGCTGCGGGCGTCTTATGCACATTTCTCAGTTGAGGGACCTCATTATGGGTACGGAAGCCGGGTACTTCGTCATTCCGGGTTTATCTTTCCTTCTATGTAACCGGCGATCGGCACTCAGGCCCATATAGCTGCACGATTGGTGGGATCAGTCGGTAGGATTGTTTCAAACTAGTGGCGTGCTATTCAGCGTATTGAGCGGATTATGCAGCACGTCGAGTAAAAGTAGAGATACCTAATTACGTTAGGCTTTTGAAGATTGCCCAGGCTCTTGAATATATAAATGCGGTCCTGTGCTCCTTGTCTAAGCCTAAACACTTTCATCATTGGTCAAACTTACACAATTTGAACTCACAAAAATGGCCAGTCATCGCGATGTCGCAATCATTGGCGCTGGGCTCTCGGGCCTCGTTCTAGCGTTGTCTCTTCACCAACAGAACATTCAGTCCACTGTTTACGAGCTCAGGCCTGCGCCTCTCGATATTGGAGGCGCTATCACAGTCTCGCCCAACGCCCTTCAGATAATCGACAAGCTGGGTATCTATGAAAGTGTTTTGAGTGAGGGATATCCTGCCGAGGCTTTTCACTTTCGTTCTCAGGATGATAAGCCTTTCGATGCGTACGAAATTGGCAGCGTGGAGAAATATGGCTACCCCGGCCTTCGCGTCTACAGAAGAACTGTGATCAAGGCACTCCTCGGGAAATGTGCTGAGAAGAACATCAAGATCGTCTTCGGGAAGAAGTTCAAACAAATTATATCGGAGTCTGAGACTGGGGTGACATGGGAATTTGACGATGGCACAGTTGGCGAAGCTGATACTCTTGTCGGTACCGACGGTATTCACTCTCGTGTTCGGTCTTACCTTTACCCGGATATTGAGCCCAAGTTTATGAATGTCATGGCTATTGCAGCGACAATCAAGACTAGCCAAGTTGAAATGCCTGAGGATTACTCCTTGCCTGTCACAATCATGAGCAGAACTCACGGCGCGTACATCCTCGCCCCGAACTTTTCTGATGGCTCTGAATTGGTCATTGTAAAGCAGAGAAGAATCGAAGAACATGACCGGGAAGGCTGGAAAAATATCTTGGCCGACAAAGAAGGGTCTGTTGATTTCCTTCGTCAGGGAGTGGAGGATTTCCCGGAGGTTGTCCGTCAAGCTGTCTCAGCTGTCACACCAGACTCGGTATCCATCTGGCCCTTCTATCAAGTTCCAAAGATGGAGAGGTGGACGTCAATTGGAGGTCGAGTCTCTATTCTTGGAGATGCTGCGCATGCCATTCCTCCGTCGTCGGGACAAGGAGCCAACCAAGTCTTTGAAGATGCCTATACCTATGCCCTGGTGCGTGGTCAGTGCGACAGAGATTCATTGGCTTCTGTTTTGCCCAAATGGCAACGCGGTCGGCAGGAACGGATTGACCGACTGATTATTCTGGCCGCACAGATGAATGTCCGTCGCCTGCCCGAGTCTACCCAAAGCGAATTCTGCAGCGAGGCTGTGGGAACAGAGGATTTCAACATGGAGTGGCTCTTCAAGCCCGATTTAGATAAGATGTTTCAAGAATGGCTTGCTGTCTGAGTTTGAGGGGTGTCACAGTCATCGAAATCGGCTTCACCGGTACACTTTTATCCTATTTGAATTCTATAATTCAGATCTCGTGGATCACCGCCGATGCGGTTCATAGTGCCGATGAGATTGTATTTATCGTCCCGCGGAATAATAAAATTCTATTGCTTGCTGGTATTGTGGAACCACACCAACAGTGTCTCGATTATATCCTTGAAGCTCCAATCGTCAAACGTATGCGACAACGATGTGAGGACATCTTTCCACAACTTAAGAACGCGCAGACAGATCCCGATTATCCTCTAGCGCAAGGGTTACCCCCTTTCCGAGGTACAGTAAATAGGGAATGTGGGCCTATATTTTAGTTTCGAGTGCTACTGTACGACAAACAGCCGCGGTGGTGTAGTGATATTAACATTGCAGAGCCCCCGTATAGCCTTATGCTAGCGGTGTGGAGTGGAGATTCCTGGTTCGAGTCCCAGTCGCGGCATTCTTTTTTCTTTTTGGCTCTGCACGCGGGGTAAGGACGTCTTTGGGGCGTCATTTGGGGGGGGGAGAGTGTTGAGGTTAAGGTCCGTTGTGGTGGGCTGGGGGGAGGGTTTTGGAGCTGGTGGTCGGGGGGATCTTGGGGCGGTAAATAGGGGTCTGATGTATTTCACTTGCAACGGGATTGGGCTCGCCGTTTGGGATGAGAGTGGTGAAAAAATATGGCTGATGGATGGATATGCTGGACATACACTTTGGATCTATGGCTCAGTCCTAAGCAATTGAGCCTTGTTCGACTGGAAATATCTAGGGTAAACTCATGATAGGGCTATCTTGCAAACTGTGTGGTGCAATCTTTCTTGATTTGGCCGCCCTGGAAACCCCTGTATATGCACCAAGCTTACTTAAAATTCGTGCAGGGTCAGTAAAGTATGGTGCCTGAAACAGTGGCCAGATTGGAGTTACCCCGTCGATGTAGCTCTATAAATGATGCCGCTTGAAAAGCATGTGATGTGTTTATACTACTGGGATAGAGATGCCTATGCTCTCCATGGCATTCACTATATTGAAGGTGAAGATGAGCATGGCTGCGAATGTTTAGACTCTCAGCACTCTTTGTGATACAGTCCCTTTCATGCCGTCAAGAAACTTCAACATTACTCTTCCCATCATGACTGGCGAAAATAGCTCGGGTGTTGTTCTGGTGGAAACTCGCGTCGTTCCGTCCCGGCCGCGCCCCGCCCCGCCCCCACCATCGTAGCCACCTCTTGCTCTGCCCAGTATAATTGTACAAACGGAGTGGGCTAGTGATCCCGCTGTGTAAAGCCTGCTTCTATCTTATCGGATTCCAGTAGCCTTGACTAGTTCAGGGACTGATATATAGTGGCCATATCGTCGTTTCTCTTTCTCACGCCATGACTCTGGGATTCAAGATGTGGGAAGGACCCTTACTGGACGATTACGTGCAATATTCTAGCCAGTTACTGACCACTGACTCAATCCTCACACTCGTATCTATCCTAGGAAACAACAACCCTCACCCCTTTCGAGCTCCGTTTCGGCACCCCGACAAAAACATCATGATCGTACGCCACATCCTCCACGGTCGTCTGGTACAGTCTCGCTCGGGGGAGCACCCGCACCGCGAGGGCCGCTAGCGCCACATATAGGTTACAGTAGGCGAGACTAGTCGTCGTGAGCCAGGTTAGCGTTGATAGCGTCCCCAAAACAGATGCACCCGAGTGAACTTGCGGCGGCAGTGACACCTACTTCATTCCAACGCATGAGCGGCTGCCCCGGGAGAACGAGGTCATACTCGTTTCCAGTCTGCGACGCTGAGCTTCATCGGCTTCGAGCCATCGCTCCACCCTAAAACTATGCGAGTCGGGAAACACATCCTCATTGTGGTGATTGATCGCATTAGACATGCCCACGGGGGTGCCGGGGGGGATGTCGTAGACGATCTTCCGTCCCTGGAACTGACCACGGTAGAGGAGACGCTCGGTCGGCGCGATTCGCGGGCTGCGCGGGCTGACTCCGTAGGCCAGGCGAAGTGCCTCGGCGATGACCGCGCCCAGGTAGGGCAGTCTCTCAAGCTCGTTCCAAGTTCGGTTGCTGGCGTCGGCAGCTTCAAGCTCCTCGACAAGGCGCGCAAGAGTCTCTGGCTGGCTCAGGAGGTAGTAGGTCGCTATGGTGAGGGTCCACTGCAATATTGTTAGAGTACTGGGAGCGAACCAAAAGAACTGTTGGAGGACGGTTACTTGCAGCAGTTGTCTCCGTCCCGGCGGCGTTCAATGACAAACCATCCCCTGTCAACCGGTAGTCGGTTCTTTCGGCCTCCGGCAATGAAGACGTAAGCAGGGCGTGGAAGATGGTCGGCCGGCTGGGGATGGTGCCCGCCTCGAACTCCTGTCTCGCTTGCCGGACGCGAGCCGGCATCTTCTGCGTCGACTCGTCCATGTACACCTGTAAGGATGGGGACAGCCATCTCCACAGGAACGGGACCAAGGGTACCACAAGTTTGGTTACAGGTATGAATCGAAAAAGAAAGATCGTCTCCAATAGACCCACCACGGCGTCACGGAAGTTGGGCTCTCAGCCCTCCTGCGCCACAAATCCGATGGACTCGCCGAAGCAGTAGCCGGAGATGACATCCGCGGCGAAGCAGCTATACGCCCTGGTTATATCGAGTGGTTCGTGGTCCTTGGTGCCTGGGAATCGGGCTGTCAGCGAGATCGTCACGGTAGGTATTGACCTTCATCCTACCGAGTCGGACAATCTTATCGCAGAGCTGATCCGCCAACCTCTGGATCTCAGGCTCCAGCCGAGCAATCTGTGCCCGCGAGAAGAATTTGTTCATTGCGCTGCGTCGAACGCGATGCTGTTTATGGTCAATGGTGGCGAACATCGCCTCGGCGGACGGTCCAGTTGCAAAGGCGACATAATGATGCTGTTTGTTTCGCGCGCGCCCGGCGGTAGAGTACACCTCGTCGATAAAGCTGGGGTCGTTGAAGTGGATTTCCTCTGGGTTAATGCGCACCACCGGGCCTGGTCTCTACGCGTCAGATGCATTACCGAGTATGGCAGCGGGACAACGAACCATATATTTCGTGCAATCGCCGGATCTCGTGGGTGAACCGACCTCCTTGAATCAAATCGAACCAAGCCTCATACAGGAATGTGGCTGCTGCGAGCTTCGGCCCTGGGATGTGGCTGAGAGGGTGGAGGGGGGAGACATTGTATAAGGCGCGGACGAGACGAGATGCCGCCCAGATCCCAATTAAGTAGAGAAGGCCCGTGGAGCTGAAGATTGTCGATGAGATTGAGAGCATATTGTGAAGCGTGCGTGTCCAGATCTTTGCCGTTGTCTGGGCTTTCTCTCACCGTCAGTCTCGGCTTATATTATTTCTCCACCGTGAGGGGACATGCATACGTGACATCCAATATCCCGAGTAAGCCCGTGCTGTTATCGGATCCAGTATGGTCATTGCTGATCTGCAAGGGTATTAAGCGTGTAGGCCAATCATTCCTCTAAAATCAAGGTAGCTCTCGTCCCGTGCTCCAATCGAGAGGCACTAATGCAGACCCCGCAGCAATGGGAAGTTGAAGGAAAAAGAGTGGACGAGGATGGTCTCTGGTCTGAATAATGGGGCCCCGAATTATCGCTCACGAACGCCACTGTTGTCTGCCTATCCATCTTTGCGATATTCATAGTTATCCTCTTGAGGCTAGTTATGTACGTGCTAAATCGTTGATGTCATCACTCTTGATAAGACCATCTAAGTGCTTCAACTGACCAAGGACAGCCTCCCGCTCCTCTGATCCCAGACTCGGGCCATCACCAACTCCCTCGACACGCTGATCGTCCAGAGGCTTCTTCTAAGCTATATGGATCCTGTTGAGAGTTCCCGTCTCTGTGAGGAGAAGCAGTATCTGGCGATGTTGTATGCAGCGTAAGCCGTATCTCATTGATAGTTGGACACTCAGCTGTGCTGGGTGTGGAATGTCTCACTTAGTCATCTATACCTGCATAACTTAACTAAGTTAAGTTAAATCAGCCACTAGGCAATCACCCGCTCGGCTAGGCATCGGCCCTGATCTTCTGGTACTCCCTCCCCGAAGAGCTGGCTAGGGCTTTTTTGTGCGGTGCCACGTCAGGACCGTTCAATTGCAGTAGCGCATGCAGCCCGTGGCATAGCACCACCACATCCTGGATCTTAATGTTCGACACCCACCCGGCGTGTTGGGTGAACTTGTGGCATGCGTCTCCCGCCAGCACAATCCGCCCGCCCCAGCTCCATTGCGCCAGACTCCCTTCCTCCAGATTCGCTATCCCCTCGATCAATCGCGTCACGTACACATCCTTCACCTTCAGTGTCCTCGACACGGGGAAATCGGCGAACTGTGCCGCATAACGTTACGCCTCTATGTCGGCTTCGGTGTAGCGCATTTGCTCCGTCGCCGGCCCCGTCGGTGTCCGGCTCGCACAAGAAGACCCAGCCTCGCTCCTGCCCAGCTAGGAATATGACAGACATGTCTTCCGACTGTGTGTCGGAACCGTGGCCAATCTCTACGTCAACGGTGCTCGGTCGGGGAAAGCTGTCATCACTCACGTGATAGCTAAGCGAGCAGGTCGCGACCTCCCACTTAGGGAGCGGATGACTCGCGAACTAGGCAGATCAGCAACAACACCTTAAGGCAATAGATTGGCACCTTTCGCCTCACAAGAGCTATTCGTTCATCACGCTAATTCACCACCTTAGCCCTTACAACATTTTCACCGGGGGGCGGGATTCCTCCACCCGTCGGTCAAACTGCTGCGATGGTGATATTCATCTCGGGAGGATCTGACCGCCGCATCTGATGATCTCCGCCCAATCACAAAACATTCCCATGTGTTATCGGGATGAAGAGGCGGGCGGATGCACGCATTTTGTTGAGAAAGCATTTGCTGATTATTGCATTCATGGTTACAATGCAGTCAGCAGATGATAGCGAAGCACTTTTTGGTTCCCGGTACAACGTTCTGAACATAAAGCACGTGATCTGGTTTTGCTCTACCGTGGATGCTCGCTACAACGAACCTCGGCGTAGCGAATTCCTTAATAGAGTAAAACTCCCCGCCCTCGAGTTCTCCGCCTACATGCAAGATTCGTCGTTTCTACCATATAACATCATCTGTTTAATAAAGCCTTCCCTCTATACCAAGTTTGTTATATCAAGGAATCATATGGTGAGAGCCAAGAAGGTCATGAGGCGGGGACAGGAAGGAACCGGAACCGTGTTTGCCTTGTTTGGTTACTTTGTCTTGTATGAACCACCGATAAGCATATGGTTCGCCCCCCACAGAATTCTTGTCATATAGCATCAAATTGCTTGAGATTTTCGACCTCAACGGCTTTCACAATATGGTGTTTTTGAGGTTGTATCTAAGACTAATCAGGTCGCTAACTAAAAATAAACTTGTAAAAATCGGCCCGGTGTGCTCTTCAAGGGCTTCAAGGTACAGAATATACTACAAAAAAGGAAGAAGAAGATAAAGAGAAAAAATATAAGCCTATTATACTCTTGACTATCTCAAACATCTTGGATAGTCTATGTAAGCTTCAGATATAGAGAAAACTAGTAGAATTAGACTGATTTACCCTTTTTTCAGCTTCTTAGACACAAGGAACAGTCCTTGAAGATGTTAGAAGCAAACAGCGAAAAGCAGACAGATATACACAGCTTTTTTAGATAGATTATAATAGCTATAATACTTCCTAGACCTTATAGAGACCAGCCCACTGATTAGCCAGTTCAGAATTAATCATTCCTCGCTGCAACAAATTCCTCATTGCAACGAAATTCCTCGCTATAACAAATATGCGAGGCGTTCCCAATGGTTCGTTATAGCGAGGATCCGCATTATTTTGCTCTTACTGCCCGGATTTGAGTGATGGCGAGTGCTATTGAGTGAAGGATATCTGAGCGGTAGACGCATACAAGTTAGCTATCTCATGTGTAGTAGCCTCAATGTTGCGCCTGCTATTGTGAACTCCATCATCGAGCGTCATATATCCACCCCAGAATTGCCACAGCCTTGTCTCTGACTGGAGTGCAATGCCAGCTACAAGGAATCCGTGGAATGGAATCCGCTTACCCGACAATCAGGTACTCTTAACAATCAGGTACTCTTACTTGTTCGCTGGTTGCTGAGACAGACGATCCTTAATGGAACACGGGCCTCGCCGGTGGCAATGATGGATTCTCGACAACTGAACTAATGATTCAAGCCTGATGTTGGTAAGCCGGTATTTTGAGTACTAGCCCTGAAAAAGATTCCCTTTTGTTCAACATCCTGCCTCGCAGAGCAACTTGCAAAGAACTCCACATCGCAGTTTAGCACAATGAGTCATAGTCCATAGCCTAGAATATGATATTCAAGTGTATAGAAGATCTCTATCAGAGCGGTAATATGTCCAAGCGAGCATTATATCTGATAATCGGAAGCATCTCGATCGCATTCAGTGGTCGTGATGAGCTGTAGATGAGATGTTCAGGGAGGGCCCGGGTAGAAGGATACTGGCTTGCTGGAGGAGTCGTAGGGACAGAAACCACGCCCAGTCAACCAGCAACAGAAGTGATCTGCATGACGCTCCTTCCTTGTTCGTCAATTGGGGCATTGCAAGCATAGTCGCCCTGGGCCGAGTGGCGTTGTCTTCTGTTAGAAATCACCAGTGGCGTCAGGCACTCCCATCCGGTTGATAAATATTCATCCCGGGCTGTGGAGATACGGACAACACTAGGGAATCCGTTGGCTCGAGGAAGCCGAGCATCTTGCAACAAAGAAATCTGGTCGAGGGATCTTAGTGGGTCCAGAAGCTACCATACATTGAAAGTCGATCGCTACTGTGATTCTCATTCGAATCGGCACCAAGGCACGATTGCAGGATTGCAGGATTGCAGATTAGTTGGATGGTAAAGTGCTTTGATTGAGACATAGATCTACAGTCTGGAAAGAGCAAGGTCGCCTCCACACAGAGTGCCCTGGTGCAAACCGCCAAGGAAGATATTAGTTGCAGCTCAGGCTGCAGTGTGGGTGGAAAGAGAAGAGATTCATTGGGTTGGCCACTAGATCTGTATTCTACCCCATGGCTGATTGATGGAGCGGAACGAGACGATCAGACTACCATGGTTGACAAAGACACGTGCGACTTTGGCTCAAGATCCTTGACGGCCATGCGATGTTGAACAAACTGGCTCGTCTTAGAAACAGGGAGAGCAGAACATCATCTCGGGGTTTCCCCGAGGAGCATTTAGACTCTTTTGCGGGTAGTGGACTAAGATGGTATTGTTGACCGAGGATTAAGGTTCGGGCTTGTCGGAGATTCGATGAATGTCTTCTGGTTTCAGGTTTAAAGTCGGTACATGGCCAGTGTGACGATTGGTCGGATGCAAATCCCTACAGCAGGTGCCGGTTCTAGATCGCTGCGAAGGAGATTGGCACCACCGGGCCTGACTTGTCACATTCCCACTCCGCACGCAGATCAGTTATGTCAGGAGAAGCTATCTGAATCCCCGGGATGAGCGCACACCCTTTGAGTACCCTTAATTAATCGGATACGGATTTACCCGCAACTGGTCTCAGCAGGAGGGTCCAGCTAGGTCGGCGGGTTGCCCGATCGGGGAAAGCAGCCCTAAAAATGGGCAATTGCGGGCTGCGCTAGAAAGCACCAAGTGGGCTCCGGTCAACAAATCGAGGGCAAAACCTGCATTCATCAGACGACAGGGCTGTCGGCACTTCTCACTCAGTATAGACCAACTCAGCTGCGAGCGATTAACAGCGCTGAACTCCCGTTCTGGAAGCTTTCGAGCCGATCTCTTGCTGACAGCCCTCGGCTTTGAAACACGCCCAATCCAATGGAGCTTTCCCTGTTTATTGAGCCTTGGATGGCCTCAACTTTGAGACTTGGGTGTACTGGTGCGGGAGAATAAAAGAGCGAAAGATGCCCTGTTCTCTCCATCCTTCTCTCTCCATCATTCCCATCGTTCTTTGCAATCAGACAGAGCTGTGCTCGTTCTACCCTCGTTACCCAATCAATTATCACGTTCTTTTTTGATTTCTTTTGCAATCAATCTTGTCTTGCATTTCACAATGAAGTCGGTCATTGCTCTCTCTCTGCTTACCACCGCCCTGGGCGCCCCGACCGGTAGCGTCAGCACCGGCACCAGCACCGTTGACCTGACTACCCTGGAATCTCTGTTCCCGGTCAGTGGCGCCAGCACCGGCACCAGCACCAGCGACGGTCTGGGTGCCCTGGAATCGCTGTTCCCCAGCAGTGACAGCACCACCAGTGGCCTCAGCAGCCTCTTCGGTCGTGCTACGACTGGTACGCGGGTCCTTTCCCATTTAAAAGCACGACTCTCATCCTGACAAACCCTCACTAGATTCCTCCACCGCCAACGATGTCACCGACAACACCGGCTGCAAGGAGCTCACCTTCATCTTCGCCCGCGGAACCTCCGAGACTGGAAACATGGGCACTATCGTCGGGCCGGAGGTGGCTGCTGACCTGCAGTCGCTGACCAGCAACAATGTCGCCGTGCAGGGCGTCGATTACGCTGCCGACTGGGCCGTATGTTCCCCCATCCCACCCCTCTCCACCAATCTTCCTTACATTCTCCCACTTCGGCCTCCACACTAACCGACTATTCAACAGGGTAACGAGAGCATGGGTGCTGAAGGCGGCCCCACCATGGCTTCGTTGGTCAAGCAAGCCATCAGCCAATGTCCCAACACTATAGTCGTGGTGGGTGGCTACTCGCAGGGCGCCATGGTAGTACACAACGCTGCTAGCTCGCTGAGCTCCGGCGAAATCCAGGCAGCTGTACTCTTCGGTGACCCGCTCAAGGCCGAGTCGATCGATAACCTCAGCTCCTCCAAGGTGAAGGAGTTCTGCGCCACCGGCGATCCCGTCTGCGAGAACGGCAGCGATGTCTCGGCCCACCTGTCCTACGGCGACGATGCGCAGACCGCGGCGCAGTTCTTGATTAGCGCGGTCGGTCTGTAAAGGATTTCTCGCGGAGTTCACTACGCGATGTGTCCTGGGGGGAAGTCCGGAGAGTGGCGAGAAACGGCAGTGTTTGGGTTTGGTCCTGTGGTGTATATAAGAGAGACCCCCGTGCTTGGGAATATGCACTGGGGTTAGAGTCTAATCAAAAATAATTAATTCTGTTCTCTATAGCTGGGATACTTGCCGGGCTAGAATCTGGTTCGCCTTGTATTAAGGTACAATGAAGTGTACGTCCGGGGTTTGAGAGCTCAGAAGTCACTGGTAAGTTGGAAAGTGAAAGAAAGAGAGAGATCAATCTCCCCTTCTGGGTATTCTCTCAATGGGACAGACTCAAGAATATGGCTTCTCTGGCATTGACCTGGTTTCCGCCGATACCCCAAACCCGGATTACCAGCACTGCTGTTTGGGGACTGCTTCCGCTGCGACAAATGCTGCGTCCCCAACTAGCGGTGGATTGCGAAACTCCAAGGTCGAATGCACAGACGGGGGAGATTCTGGCGCTGATGCCATGGATGTATTCGTGAGATTGGTGGCTGGGAAGGAGATCCCCTCTAACCCCGAGAGGGGTCTTTGAGTACTACAGTTAGTGGTAGTAGTCAGAAGGTGAGCGGGATGTGAACACAAAGGCCTTTGTGTACACTGTCGTTATCTTGCTTTTCCTTATGGACAGGGAAAATACCCTTCAACGCCGTTTGTTCTAGGGATTGCGACAAGGGATGACCGAACTTGAAATCCAGAGTACTACAGAACGAGTCACAACGGGTTCAGAACATCCCTCGAGCTCCACAGACATATAAAATCCTTCTCTCTGCTCCCCCTTCCGTCCTCTCTACCCCTTACCATCTCAGCTCAATACTCACGTTCACAAGACTGCAAAGCAAGCACCCGAGCACTACCGAACGACCGACCAAGTTTGCATCAAGGACATAGCGACAGGGAAGCAGACATGGCCGAGTCGAAAAAGATCAGATGGAACAACATCCCACCCACAGCCTCCGCATCCCTCTGGGCCCGCTACCTCGGACAATGTTTCCCCGCGCAGGAAGACTACGAGGTGACAGTCACTGACCCGATTCCCTGCCGGAGTAAGAACGACGTGACCATCCTACCTTCGCAGCACGACGAGAACCCGACCTTCGTGGAGGCGATCCGCGTTGCCACCGCCAACGGCGAAGCCATCCTCATTCTCTGCCTGGTCAGCCCCAACGTGAAGACCGGAATCCCGGGCGTGGCTCGCTGCAAGCAATACATGGAGAATCTCTGGCCGCCCGCGACCCCGACCCGCGAACTCCCGTTCTTCGGGGTGGCAATCGTGGGCAATGCGCTGTATCTGTACTGGGAGCCGTCGCCGAGGGCGAGGGACCTGGCGCAGGTGGTCGAGGAAACCTCGGACTGGGAGCTGGGTGGTTGCGAGGGGTTTTTCCAGGCGTCTCTGGATGACGGTCATCTGGCGCTGTTTCTCTCGGTGTTCAAGTTCTATATCGGGCGCTGGCGGGGCTGGGAAGAGGCGGATCTGGACGCCGTGAGTGTGGAGGCGGATAACAACATCGAGGCGCTGCGGGATCTGCTGGATGAACTGCCATTGACCTTCAGTTCAAAGAAAACGCGATTTGAGTTGAGTGGCGAATACTAATTCTCTGAGAGAGGTCCGGGCAGCAACGGAAGCTGTGTTGATCTATCCTTTTCTTGCGCACGAACCGCAGGTTATATACTCAATGCTGAAGCTAAATGGAAGAGTTTCTTTCACAAGTTGATGGTGATGCTATCTAGCGCACCGTAGTATAATAATGACTGTCCTGTTCCCGTAACTTTACTTTGTACCGCTAAACTATAACTCTATCACGGCGAGAGATCGATAAACCGCCAGGTAATCATGCTAGTAAAGCTTCTGCTTTTGGACCCACACATCACCACACAATCAGCAATTCCACACCGGCAGAAACTGGCTTTTGGCCATAGGAACGGATTTACACAAGCTTAAAAGCAGCGTCTTTTGCTTGGCATGATTCAACAATTATCATGCCCAGTCAGTTACACACATACACTGAGATTAGGGCACGCACGCCCCCTTTGCATTCTAGGCGTTGAGCATTACAACAGCATTCATAATAAAAGCAACAATAACAACAACAACGACTCTACATCCGTCGTCGACACAACCGCCCATCCAGTCTCTCCACCTACGACTCACTCCCGACTGCCGTCCGCGCATAAAAGATACCCTCGGGATCATACCGCCGCTTAATGCTGCACAGCTGGGCATAGTTCTCGCCGTAGAAGACATGCTGCCAATCGGGCTGGTGGGCGTCCGCCTCGTTGAGGTACGCGCCACCGCCGGGGGTGAGTTCCTCGAGCGGGGGCAGCAGCGTGTCGGTGATGAGTTGCTGGTTGAGGGTATTGAGGGTGGTGTTGGTCTCGCTGTAGGCTCTATCCTGGTCATCAGCCGGGGGGGTGGGGTGCAGGATGGAAAGGGGCCAACCAGAAACATACGTCCCGATCACCAGATCAATGGCCGCGTCCCGCCACGCGGGATTCACGGCATTCGGCGGGGTATTGCGCGGCAGCTCCCGCGAGGCATTGACGGAGACGCCGGACAGCACGGCGCCGGAGGCGAGGATCGAGCGGAAGCGGTCGACGAGGATGGCGGGGTCGGAGTCGAGGAGACGGCGCGGGAGCAGCCGACCGCCGAGGTTGTAGGCGGAGATGTTGACGTCGGGGGACATGGTCTCGAAGCTTGTGTAAAAGGTGGGGAAGGCGGCGATAGAGTAGGTGTAGGGCACCCGGAGGCGGGTGAGGGCGGCGAGCATCGGGTCCAGGAGGCGCTGCAGCTGGGGCTGCGTGCCGCCGGGGAGGGTGAGCGGGGTGGCGCTGAAGCCCGCGGCGGTGAGCTCCCAGATCGCGGCGCCGCGGGCGTCCAGCAGCGGGCCCAGCGTGCTGTTGAAGAAGAGGTCGACAACGGTGTTGTAGGCGGCCAGGGCGGCCAGGGCGGCGGAGTGGTTGGCGGCAGCGGGCGCGGCAAAGGCAAGGGTGGCGGCGGCGGTGGGCAGCTCGCGGTGGGCGCGGCTGGTCATGGCGAGGACGACCGCGTAGGTGCCGCCGCCGCCGCCGGCCAGCGCCCAGTACAGGTCGGCGTGGCGGTTGTGCGGCGTGGCCACGAGGTGATCGCCGGTCGCGGTCACCACCTCCCACTCCAGCACCTGGTCGGCTGCCAGCCCATGGCGGGACACCAGCTGGCCGTGGCCCCCGCCCTGGCTGTATCCGCCCGCCAGCCCGACACTGCGGCAGTTGCCCCCGACGACGGTCAGGTTGCGCCGGCTGGCGGCGGCGTTGGCCTCGAAGATCTGCACCCCCGCCCCGACGCGCACGGCAGGCCCGCGGTAGCTGGGCGAGCGGTACTCGTCGAGGAAGTCGATCGTCTTTAAGTGATGTGTCCAGATGGCGACCGCCCCCGCCCCCGTGGATTTGCCCAGGTAGTCGTGGCCGGTGTTGCGCACGACGATGCGGATGTGATGCGCGCGTGTGAAGGCCAGCGTCTGCTGGATGTCCGCGGCCGACTCGGCGCGCACCGCGTACTGCACGTAGGTGCCCACGATGCAGCGCGAGGCCGGACCGAGGAAGGGGTCGCAGCTCTGGTTGGCGTACAACCCAGCCATCACGGAGGATGAGCTTTCATAGTGCGTGTGGGGGAAGTCCCAATTGGCACGCAGGGCGTTGCACTCCGTCACGTTGTAGCCCGTCCACGGGTTGTCGACATGACAGACGCTGCCGATCGGGGTGGTCGCGATCAGACGGCCGTCTACCGTGCGATTGAACTCGGCCCATTGCGCAGGAGTGGGCCAGCAGGACTCCCCGGGGAAGCAGTAGCAATCTTCGTTCGGGTTCGGGGTGGGAGACGCCAGGGAGAGCTGGAGGAGGAGGAGGAAGAAGAAGGCACAGCGCAGGTACCGGAGGAGATGAGATGCCATGACTTGCAGTCAAGAAAAAGGTTCCAAACGCAGAAGAAAAACACCGTCCGGGAGTTTAGTAAAAGAAAAGCGGTGCTTTTGACCCTATATGCTTCCTGTGCAGCCTCCCCCCGAGGAGAGGAGGAGGGTAATTTATACACCTACATGCCTCCTCAGTCGCGTTTTCTACTATACGTATAATCACATCCCGGTTCTTCCCAGCTCTGCACGATCAGTGCACACGCCCTGGCTACCGGCCGTAAGGGAGGAATAAGCAATCGGCTCGACGGCACTTTTGGCCCCCATCGAGGCCCCTGGAGGGGAAGGCTGTGCAGCCACGAACTGGCATTCTAGACTAGCAGCGTAGCGTTCATGCATATCGCTATCACCAACTGCACTAGACTACCTATCATAATCATGTACTGTACATACAAATCAATTACTGGGACCACCAGCCGACCTGCACCAACGGAGCCGCTTCCTCCCGCAAGGGCGCATACAACTCGTCAATCCGCCTCGCCAGCTTCGCCGAGAGAGGTCCCGCTTTGCGTGCAGTCAAGTACTCGTCCAGCTGCGTCACTGAGCTGGGCCCAATGGCCACCGCGTCCGTGCTCTGCAGTCCAGAGTGAAACAGGAGCCAGCGCAGCGCCGTCTGGGCCAGACGGGAGGTCGCAGAGTCCTTCTCCTCCTTCTTCTCCTCCTCCTTCTTCTCCTCCTCCTTCTTCTCCTCCTCCTCCTCTACCGCCGCCTGGAGCTGGCGCACCGCCTCATGAAAGGCGGGCTTGTCGTACCACATCCGGAACAAGAACCCGATCATGTTGCCATCGGCCGGCTCGAACCGCGTGCCCTGCAGCTGCGCCGCCGTCTGCGCGAAGGTGAGCTTGCCCGTCGCAAACCCGCCGGCCAGGGGCGAGTTGGCCACGAAACGGATCTGGTGTTGGCGCAGCAGCGGGAACAGCGTGGTCTCATAGTCACGGCAGAAGATGTTGTACTGGCCTTGGTAGATCCGCGGCAGGATGTACCCGTGCGCCTGCGCGACCTCGATCCATTCGCTCAGCTGCGCGGGCGAGTAGTTGCAGAGGCCCAGTTGCTCAAAGTAACCCGCCCGGTGGAAGTAATCGAAGTTGGCCGCCTGTTCGGCGATCGGGGTGGCTTGGTCCGGGGCATGCGCGTAGAGGGTCGTGACCTATGGGAACCGGGGGCAAACCAAATAGATATGAATCAGTGACCGGGTTTTCTGGTCGGAGGAACGAACGGGAAAAAGGGAGACAGAGGATGAGGAAGGGATGGATCTATCTATCTAGTATCTACCTTGGGGACGCCGAGGTTTTCCAAGCTTTTGCGGATCGACTCCTCCATGTTCTCTCGGCGCAAGGCTTCCGGTCGGAAGAGAATCTTGGTGTCAATGACGAACTCAGGTTGACGGATGCTGCCCAGGAGGCGTTCGGCGGCCCCAGAGTTGGTGACAGGATAAAGTAGAGCTGTGTCGTAGTGGCGGATTCCCGCCGCCTCCAGCCGATCGACCAGCGATCCCACAGTCTCTCGGGTCCAGGCGCCAGCGAACCCTTGGGTGCCCATGACATACTCGGGAGCAGACGACATCATGGGTGATCGATACTGGGTAACAGGGGAGAAGGGTGGATGCTACCAATACCAAGAAGGACAACGAGGGTAGACAAGGACCGGGTGAATGGGGGATGTTGGGGGATTTAAAGGGTCGAGTTGCGTGATGCGACGAGTGACCCTTGTATATTTCTACCCTACTAGTAGTCAGTAGACTCGGTCCCACCGCATTGTGTCTTTGTTGGTTCAAAGAAATTCGATCGATTGCACTAATTAATTACATGGCCGCAAACAACACTAAACCTAGCGGGGCCGGACTAGTCCCGGCGGCACTGGTTAATGAATGCCCTCACTTGGCTGACCAAAGGCCCCGTCCAACTGAGGTGGGGAGAGTGACCCGAGGGGGCGTGATAGACGGTGAAGGTGTTGCCCTTCTCTGCCTGCAAAGCAATCATCATCTCCTGGTAGGCGGGGGGCAAGGTCTGGTCGTTATCCAAGACCAAGTATGCGCAGGGGAGGGCGGAGTAGGCATCATTGGTCAACACCCCGGTGTTGACCGGAGATGCAGTCAGCGTCGCCGTCCATTTGGCCGCTTCGTCCGCGGGCAGGTCGTGGAACAGGTACTTGTGCGCTTCAACGATGGTTCCCAGCCCACGAACACCATGTTTCTGAGTCCCATGGGGGTCAATTAGGTTCATGGGAGGGGCACCGGATTCGGGGGAATATTCAATCACTTACGTGAAACTGCATAAATGGGGGGGTTACAACGGGCCCCTCCTTGGGTTGGAAGAAGGTGTGGACCGATTCGCCGACAGGCACGACAAAGGCACCAACGTAGAAGATGCCAATCACGCCTCCCGGCTGATCATTAGCCTGGCGAGCCTTAGACTGCAGCCGAGGAACAGCCGCCTGCGAGGCGATCGTGCCCCCGGACGAATGGGCGAGCAGAAGCACCTCCTTGCCTTCCTGCTCGATGAGCTTGGTCAACACCTCGTCCACCACCTGAACGTCGTCCAGATCCGTAGGATACCCCTCCGGAGGAGGTCCCAGATCGAAGTCAGGGTGGGTGACGTCTCCCACGTGCAGCTTGCTCAGGTCGCATGTTGGTCGCAGCGGACAATAGGCCTCGAACCCGCTGGACTGCAAGGCCTGCATGAGGGCTTCGTAGGGGGCGGGGGTGTGATAGGAACCCGTGCAGATCACCACGGCCAAGCGTGCGTTCTCATTGGCAGACATGATTTATTATGACAATAAAGATGATGAAAGGCAATCCACAGACAAGGCACTGGTTGGGCTTGGGGGCAAGAGAAGGCAGAACGAGAAAGCCTTTTGGTGGTGTAGAGCAGGAAGAGGAAACCAGAGAGATCCAGCTACTAGCCATGTCGGAGGGGGTTTTAAAACCATGGTCGATCGCAGGAACAACAAAGAACTGGACAGTAAGCCCTAACCTGTTTTTGTTCATTAGTGCATTTAGATCCTTTGGGAGTGAATCTTACATGCCACTAAAAATGCAAGGCATTCTTAGCCGCTTCAGCCGGTGAATCTCGGGTACTACAGAGTACATACAAACCAATTTCAGGCCCCATTCTTAGTCTCAGCCCCTCACTTAGTGTAGTTCGTCCGTCCCAAACCAATGAAAGTAATAACTACTCCATAACTTATCGAGAAGGGGTAAAATTGGCCCCCAATCACCATCTGACCTGATTTTTGGACGAGGTGGTGGTACTGCCTGTAATACTGTGTACTCCGTATAAGCTGCATCTTTAGGGTAAGCGCTAAGCTCTTCCACGCCTGCTCTGCAATTGCAGTGCATGCATGATACTGTACGCAGCGCTGCCAACCCCCAAAATGCTGCAACACAGCCTACACTGAGAGAACTAGCAACCAATCCTTGATCATGGTACATACTACTTGAAGGTGGTGGCCTTGCCGTTCTTCCTGCAGGACCATGGGTTTGTCCTCTTCTCTCTCTGTCATTGTCTTTGCTCTTTGTCTGAGGCACCAGTTGGCTTCCATACCTCCCCTCGCTGCCCAGAATGACACCCGAGGACGAAAGACGGGGCTCCAAGTTCATTGCGACGGCCGTAGTGCTATGGGCGCTGAGCGCCATCGCCGTCGCCTTGCGGGCGATTGCCATTCGTATTCGCAAGAGCACCTGGAAGAGTCATGACTACCTGACAGCGCTCACCTTGGTATGTGGCCTCTCAGCAGGCAGCATGAGGCACGAAGACTGACTCTTCTCCAGGCGATGTTGACTTTCTATTTGATCGACGTCTTCGTCGGTAAGACCCGAGGCTTACTCCCACGTTGCTTCCAACATCATCCTCGACTGACTGCCGCCCTCTAGGGATTGTGGACGGGGGATATGGGTGGAACATCACAACCGTGCCGATGGACAAACTGACGCTATCGCTGAAGGTCAGTCCACACAAGCGTTACAGTGAAAGACTTCATTCGACTAAGTCCGTACTCCGCAGGTATTCTTCGCGTCGGAATGGTTCTTCACCATCGCGGTGGCCAGCTTCCGACTGGCGATTCTATGCTTCTACCTGGAGCTGTTCCGGGGCACCTGGTTCCGCTGGAGCACGATCGTCATCATGGTGATCGTGGTGCTGTACTTGATCGCCTCGCTGCTGACCATCACGCTGCTCTGCCGTCCGATCCGCGCCAACTGGGATGTGACCGTTGCCAAAACGTGCGGCAACGTCACGCAGACTGAGTACGCCTCGGCCGGGTTCAACCTGGCGGTGGATCTGCTGATTGTGACCCTCCCCATGCCGATTATCTGGCAGCTGCAGATGCCCAAGGAGAAGAAAGTCGGAGTCACGGTGGCGTTTCTATTTGGGTTGGTGTGAGTGTGTGCCCTTCATCGTCGTTCTGTTTCTTTCGCTCGCATACATACATACGCATAAAGTCATGCGATCCAGTAGCTAACCCCCCCGACACAGAACCGCCGGCGTCAACATCGCGCGCATTATGCAAACCAAGCTCTGCGAGGCCACCAACGTGACCTATTGCGCCCTGGACGCCTCCATCCTGATCGCGGCGGAGATCTCGTGCGGGATTCTCGTCTCGTGCGCGCCGACGCTGGGGCCCCTCATCGCCCGGTTCCGCGGCGCCCCCAAGTACAGCCGCGGGGATGACCACCGAAAAGCCAGCGACCAGCGTGCGCTGCGCACGTTTGGCTCCTCGGGCCGCTCCTGGCCCCGGCGCAAATTGCAGCTCGACACCACGTTGCTCGGCTCGGTGGATGAGGATTTGGGGATGGCGAAAAACGGGGCCCACACCATCCAGCAGACGCAGATTGTTTCGCGGGAGGGTGAGCAGGAGGGTGGGATGCGCGGGGAGATTCGGGTGCAGAGTGAGCGGTGCATCTTGGAGAGTGCAGGTGGTGAGAGAGGGGTCGGTGGGGAGTACTAGTGTAGATTATTTTTATTAGTATATTTTTCTCGTTTTTTGACTCGGTGTGATGATAGTCCAAGAAGTCTGAGAGTAGGGAGTCCTCCGTCGAGCGAGGTGGATACAGTAGTTCTTAGAAGGTATTCCGCGGACATTTGTATTGTATGGATGTATATACAGTACTGTACTGTAAAACACAACACTACTCAATTGAACCAACCAAGTATACAGTAGTATATGCAGTGAGTGACTAGAGACTAAAAGCAAGACTGCACTAGACAATGAGTTCATTCAACCCATAGAAATATCCCCAAACAACTACTCCACCGGCCGAAACCCCCATGCGGCATGAATATCAAAGCGCACATAACACCCCGACGCAATATCTTTCTCCGCCTGCACCCCCAACGCCTCCACCTCCTCCAACGAGACCAATTCTCCGGAGCGAATCTCCCGTAATTCCCCCGCCCGCGCCTTCGCTGCTGCCCACCGTCGGATGACCGCCATTCCGTTCGCGGTCAGCGCCCGACGGGTGGCGGGCACCCGATCGGCACTGACCCTCTCGCCGTCCACCTGCTGTAGCCCCGCCGCCCGCATCGCGGTCTCCAACCGGTCCCAGCCGTGCGCGAAGTGGTCCCTCAGTCCGTGCTGGAACAGCTGGCCCAGGCGGCGGGCGGCCGCGACCGTGCACTCTGCCACCGAGCCCCCGCGCAGGTGCACCACGTTGCTGAAGTTGCACTCCTCCCACTGCATGGCGCCCCCGGGCTTGAGCAGCCGGGCCAGGTTCGAGACGACGGGGATCCAGTCCTCGGGCGCCAGCCCCGCGGCCACTTGGCGCACGTGCACGAGGTCGTAGCGTGCTTCCCACTCAGAAGGGATCGGGGCGCGGATGTCGTGCTGGTGGAGGGTGATGCGGGAGGGTGATGGTGATGGTTGTTCTTCTTGCGGCGTTGGGAATAGGGCCACTGAGAGGTCGCTGCCGTCGAGGAGGGCGTGGGCTAAGAGGGGGTCTGGCGGCGAGGCTGCGACTTGTCGGAGAAAGCGTGCCGTGCCGGTGGCGAGATCTGCGATCCTAAATGGGGTGGGAGGATTGGTTGAGGCGTTTTGGGCAGTCAGTGATTCGAGGACTTCCGGGTGGATCAGATAACCCAGATTTCTAGTTTAGTAGTTAGTAGTTGGTCCACAAGCTGCATCAGCCGAAGTACGCAAGCAGCCTTGTAGGATTCCGAGTTCGTGCCTGCAGTGGCTGCCTGCGGGAAGGAAGGCAGGATTGCTTACTCAGTCAGCAGATCGAATTGCTCGTCGAGCCTTGAAATTGTCGTTATCATGTATGATGTAAGTGAGATAGGAATATAAATTACTACGACTACGAAACGTAGTAGTAGAGACAGGATCGGCTTACCGCTGGGACTCCTCCACATCGCGCTGCAGGTTCTTCGCGTAGACGTCCGACATTTTGGCTAGCTTTTCCTGGAGAGGGGAGAAACACGAAAAGAAGGAAGTAGTATAGAGACGACACGAGAGATACCAGAAAAGATCTGCCCGGTCTCGCATAGGTAGTCTGCTCCTCATCCACCGAGACTCAGATCCGTCTTCTTATGCATTTCGATAGCCCCGAGGCGCCCTTGGCTGCAATTAGTTGCAGGCGCTATAATCTGACGTTGGCAGTCATACATATTGACTGTTGTTTGTTGGTTGGACCTCGGGTGATGGATTGTTACCCCCACTCCCACATACTAGTCAAGAGGCTGAGTAGGTAGGCTCAAGCTGTCAGCTCGGTTCGGCACTCGACTACGATAAAGAGAATACGTAACAGGATTTTGTCTAGCTCATGGTTTCATCTTGTCACAGACACTAGATTAGATATATCACATATGGGTACTCTTTTCCTCATACGGCAGGTCGTATTGGGGCTGATGCATGGTCATGAATCACCTACATATCTAATTACGGAGTACTCCGTACCTGGTACCTCAATTGACCATCCCTGCTAGTCTCTCTCTCTCTCTCTCTCTCTCTCTCTCTCTCTCTTCCCCTCACACCCCCAATCAACCCCTCGGGGTGAATTCCAACCAGCACGGCCCCGGCTGTGCGGTTAATTGATCCTTCATTTGCGCCTCGACCTCCTCCCCGTTAGGGCTACCGGCCGCAAAGCCAATGCGATACCGCGTCACGAGCGCCGCCACCACCAGCCGGATCTGCGTCAGCGCCAAATTCTTGCCCACGCAGCTTGTTTGGCCTGTAGTGGATGCGGTTGTTTAGCTGATTTGCTCAACCGGAGTGTGCCTTCCATCTCACAGCATAGGTAAACACTTACCCACTCCAAAGGGGGCGAATGCCCGCCGGTTGCGGACCAATTCGGGTTGGCTATACCAACGTTCGGGGATGAACTCTTCCGGTCGGGCGTATGCGGATTCCACTGGGGGTTAGTCTGTTAGATGGATTGATGCTGACAGAGACATGAATGGTAATGGTTACAAGGTTGGTAGGTAGAATTATGCACATACATCGTCCAATGGTATACCGAGGGGCACAGACTTTCGTCCCCCCTGGGATAAACGTGCCGTCAATCGTCAGGCCCGCGGGAGGCGTGACGCGCGATCCAAAGGTCAGCACGGCAGGGAGCAGCCGCAGGGTTTCGTTGATCGTCCCATTCAGGTGTGGCAGCTTGGAGAGCCCGACCGCATCGTCCAGGGCGTCCAGGCGGTGGACTTCCTCGTAGATGCGCTCCGTGTGCTCCGGGTACCGGGCCATGAAGTAGAAGAGGTGGGTGAGGGTTGGGGCGTTGGTGTCGCTGCCCGCCACCACCAGCGTCGCCGTGTCGCCGCTGAGCCAGAGCTTGCGGCGCTTGTCGCTGGTGGTGCTGTAGTCCTCGATGAAGAACGAGGCGATGTCTTTGTCTTTGACGGTTCTCTGTGAATGTGGTGGCGCGGTTCAGGGGTCAGTAGAAGCTCCTCTCACAGGCAGTATGTAGTAGTATATGATAAGGTCTCCAATTCACGCACCTCCATCCGTCGCTTCATGCATTGGTCGCAGAAGGCCAGCATCTGAAACCACCATTTCGCCCACCACAACCCCGGAATGAAGGCGAAGGCCAGGCGCGGGATCCAGATCGCCGGGCTGAAGGGGCCCAGCAGCGCCAGCGCGGAGCGAAACAGCAGAATGATGCGGTGCCATTCCTGCTTCTCCATCATGGCAAAGTTCTCGCTGAAGGCAAAGTCACCCATCGAGTCGAAGGCAAACCAATACATCACCTCGTTGATCAGAATGGGCTGGCCTTCTTTCTCGTGGATCAGGTCCACCAGCTGAGACACCTTGCGCACAATCCGTGGATGATATGCCCGAATCGCTGGTAGTGTCGGTTTTAGTTGTTGTCTCGTCCACGAGCAGAAAGGGGAGCAAGCTGGGGGGAGGGGGCCCTACCGGTACTGCTCAAGGCATGGGTCCAGATACCTCGTCGCACGTTGTGGAGCTCGCGGTCGCGAGTGAAGATAGACGAGACGCGGGGGTACAGGAGGTCGTACCAGTCCGAACGAGTGTTCTGATTGCCAGGACCATCCATCGCTTCGTGGGCCATCGGGTGGAAGACGGTAATCTCTGCGGGTCCTGCATTGCTTGCTGTGAGAGACAAGCCAACATAGACGAAGATTGAGCGCAGGGGAAAGGCGTGCCCTACCGGTTCGAACAAAAGTGCCGTACTTCTGGTACCAGTCGTGGAGCACATGGTGTCCGCGCGAGCTCCGGCATCGCCAGACATGCCAGAGCTTGCTGACCGCTGCTAAGCGAGGACCAGGGAAGTGTCGCAGTTGGTGGAAGAAGTAGCGATAGATACTGATGCTGCTGAACAGCGAGAGGAGATGAAGAGAAAGCAGGACCTCAGGGCGTGAGGAAGCGGGATGGCAGATCGCGGACTGCTGGCACATCTTTTGGTAGAGATGCAGCCCTCCCAGTATCCCTATATGTGTAAGAACCAGCGTCTTCACCTGAAGATGCCACTCGTTATGAATGAAGATAAGATGGTGGGCCAGAACCCCACCAAGAAGGGCAACAAACTCTGCAGGGAGTGTATACATCGCGCAAAGATGGGTGAGTGATTTGAATGATAAGTAGTAGCTCAAACCACCGCGGAAAGCGAGGGGAGGCACCCATATATGCACCCGAAGAATTCTCGCTCCACGCCCTATGCACCACACTACTTGGCTAACCACTTTGCATGCTGCTTACAATGTCTCACGGTCATGCCTCTCTGCTTTCTGCCTTGGCTAGTGGGGGCTAGTTGGTATGCTCTCTCTAATCATAATCCCCAATGACCTCCATCCCAGTCCTAGCAGGGAAGTCAGTCAGCTCGATCGTGGCTATATATACCACCGTACAAATCCCAACACCAGCAATGTCGCTGCATCATCTCGTCGGAATCATATCTCCAAGACTGGAACAAAATGGCCAACCATCTGATCTTCACGCAGGGACTCAGAGTCAAGATCACGCCTGGTCAGGAAGCTAGGGCTCCTCGAGGCCTCCAGAGCTTGACGATCCCACAGGATTCTCCCGCCCTCCTTCAATTTTTCAGCCTCTTCCAACCCATATTTCGTGCTTTGCTTTTTTGTGGCTATCACGCCTATACCATCTATCTGTTTATCTACAGCGACTTCAAAACGATTGTGGTCCCCAGCACGATTTTTGGGCTGTTCAACTCCCTCGCGACGACAGCATATACTCTGGAGGATACGACCCCCATCACATTTGTCTTGCTCTTCCAGCGGCTGTGCTCGATTCTGCTCTGGGTGTTGCTGGTCTTTATCCCCTTTTCAATCAACAACCAACGGACCCCTTCCGCCATTGCGGAGGACACTGTCAATAAGCCATGGAGACCCATGCCTCAGAAACGCATTTCGCCTCCCCAAGCGCGGCTTTTGATGTGCTTCTTCGCCCTGCTGGTCCAGTTGCACGGCCTTTTTTACCACCGCGTCGGGCATCGGCAGTCCACCTTCCTCCTGGCCCTCGACATCTGGTACAATACCCTGGGCGGGGCGGACAAGAGCCCTGTGGTCCGCAACGCCATCAACGCCGGAGGGTACGTGTGCTTCCTGTCCGGCGCCCTGGAAGTTGCCCTGGGACAGCAACTTCCCTTGCTCGTCCATAACCCCCTGCGCCGCACGGCGCTCGAATCCCCACTAGATCAATGGCTGCTTATGATCGCGGGAGTCGTGTTCAGCACCGTGCACCTGCAAGACCTGTACGACCAGCAAGGCGACCAAGTCCGCGGCCGCCGTACCCTGCCGCTAGTGATTGGCGACGCGCCTGCGCGGTGGACAGTCGCCCTCGCAATGCTGTGCTGGGGGATTGCCTGTCCGGCCTATTGGAGGTTGCGCAGTGAGCTGTTCGCTCCCAGCCTGGGTCTGGCGTATCTGGTCGCCTGGCGAGTCCTGACGGTGCGCACCGAGGCAGACGACCGCACCACATTTCTGCTTTGGAATTGCTGGGTGTCGACAATATACATCATGCCACTGATGGCGCAGTGGAGCCGTTGAGATTCTTGCAGCCGTTGGTACAGACTTTACTGGGCAAACGGAGACTCCGTGGTTTAGTTGGGAGTGGAGAATAACCGGAGGTGTGTTAAACTGTAGATACGGTACACCTAAACTAGGACTAAGTGATTCGAATACATTCAAGGCAGAAATCAGATAATTGCTCGTTCTCTTCTTGGTTAATGTTGCGATGCATGCATGCATGCATGCAGACCTATCTGTCAACGGCCCTCACGCTAACTTATACCAACTACCTAGTAAGTATACCGTGTAAGCCTCAGCCTCCGGATCCACAACTGGATAGTCCAGCCCTCATTTCCCCCTCCGCCAATCTTTAAATGCGCCCTGCAAGTCAGCCATCGTTCTCGAGCTCTTTTTGGGGGCCGTGAGCAACGTCACCGTAAGAGCCGGAATAGAGCCCCACTGCCCGTGTCCAATATCTCCCGAACTGATAAAACCCAATCCCGGGCGTTCCCCTCTCTATCTTACTTCGGTAGCCCCTCTCCTCTTTACCTTGTACTTTGATCTTCTATGGGTTTCTTTGGCCTGCACAGAAACCATGCTCTTCACCGAGATAATTATTGAAGCCGCCCCGTCGGCTGTCCGCAAGGCTGTGAGTTCCCCCCCCGTTTCACTGCACAGCGCATGCCTCCCTCGATTAGGCAGTCCCCTTCGTTTTGCTCCAATTAGCTTATTTCGACCAAAACACAAATCCAAATCAAAAGTTCCTCGATTTTGCAGCCCTGCCCACGTATCACACCAGCTTCTTTCAGGCCATCACCCTCCCCGATGGGGGGAATCTCTCCGCGCAGCCCGGCGACCATCTCACCTGCACCATCGACCACATCCCCTACCCCGCCATCGTGGAGGTGAACGAGCCCTCCGAGTTCACTTGGCGGGGGTATTTCGGCTGGAATTGGATCTTTAACGGCTTGCACAGTTTTCGGTTTGAGCCGCTGGCGGCGGCGGCTTCCGAGGAGGGGGCGCAGGAGCGAGGTCAGAGAACGCGGCTGGTGCATTGTGAGCAGTTGGGGGGTCTTCTGGCGGGGGCGCTGGCGCTCGTGGGGAGACAGAGGATGTTGGCGGGATTTCAACGATTCAATGAGGACTTGAAGCGATATGTGGAGCAGCAGCAGTAGCAGCTTAGCAAAGAAAGAGGGGGTGCGCATGAAGATGTATAGTGTAGAGAGACAAATATGATTTGATTGACAGGGGCGGGCTTAGTCGACCCCTTGGCATGTATGCATTAGTGTACTGTATCCTGGTAATGCTGTATTGAACTTTACAGCCCCCCGATGTGCAGCATACATACATACCTATCCAGTGTCAGGGCCAACTCAACTACTAGGTAGGTACCTAACTACTATAGCACGGTATCGAGTATAGGTATGTACTTTTGTTTCGAAGTCACTTCTAGCAGGCTAATTCTATCCCATCCTCTTGGGCCTAAGCCCACGGCCACTTTCTACAGACTACATAGTATGTACATCCTCCAAGCCAGCACAACGGTGGAGAGACCTCACCCCCACCACTACAACAGACATCACACCCTAACTTAATCATTCCCTCTTTCCCTTCCACAATCTCCAGACATACAGTACCCTCCCTCCAAAATGGCTATCCGCCTCCTCGTCTTCGTCCACCGCCACCCCTCCCTCACCCCAACTGCCTTCCGGGACTGCTACGAGACCCATGTCGCCCTCCTCCAACGGTTAACCACCACGACATTTCCTCTCTCCCATCGCCGCAGCTACCTAGCGCGCAATCTCGTGGATGCCGGCTCCGACACCCTCCCCCTCCATCAGCCGGTCGACATCACCTACGACGCCATAGCGGAGTTGACCTTCGCCGACCATGCCGCCCTGGCAGCCTTCCAGGCTCGCATCACCGCCCCAGACGTGGCGGCGCAGATCGCCGCCGACGAGGAGACCTTCCTAGACCGCGCGAAGCTCCGGGTGGTGTGGCTGGGGGATGTGGTTGAGAGTATGGGTGTTGCTGCTCAGTACCGAGTAGAGTAGGTTCGGTTGATGGCCCAACAGCAAGATGGAATGTCGGGGTAAAGGGATTCTACGTATCGCTACTACAGTAATTAGAATATCTGGTCGCTCGCTCTATGTCTCCTCAAGGTCTTCCTATCTCCTGCCCAGTTGTAGTATAAGTCTTATATAAGATAGAAAGTATGAACTGGTTATCTGAATCCGTTTAGCTTTCTTTGAAAGATCTAGATCCAGAGCAGATCAGGGGCTGATTATCAAGCAAAGTATAGTTATAACTTATATAAACTCGGAGAAATGATTAGTATATATCTACATGTCGACACCGGGACACAGACATCCACCACAACACCTTCAGTCTCGGTTACTTTCCCGCCCTATGCAACAATTAATATGTCTTTCAGTGCTGTCCCATGATGTTGGAGAGTGCCAGAAAGCAACCTGAGCGCTGTACGCCATGCCTCAAGCATTGAACGAAGGGTAAACAGCGATAAACAACTCTCCGGAAGCGGATAGCCGACAATCTCCCACAATGCGACCGACTGGTATTGTTGCTAAGCGTGGAATTTGTAGCCCATATGGTCATCAAATCGGCGTTCCTTATCAAGTATTGGACACTTTGACCGAGTGGTTAAGGTGCTGGCCTGCTAAGCCAGTGGGTTCGCCCGCGTGAGTTCGAATCTCACAGGTGTCGATTCTTTTTTGGCCCGTTCTTTTCTTCGACGAGAACGTCACCATTTGGTGGGGATGAACATGGTCTAAACTTGTTCGTTCACTATCCATACTGACTTTGATGAAATTGCCCGTACTCTTATGATTGATCAGGGCCTGGCATCATCTTTGCTGCCCGCATCCATTGATCTTCAGATACCGTACACTTCGACTCGCATACATAACCACCCACGCGATGCGACACATACAACGCCCCACAGGAATGCTATTTCCCAGCGTTTTTATCCCATAGATAACGACGACAGCTTGCAGGACAAACCGCTGGCATGGACTCATCGCAATGACTGACCATACAACACGTCCAGTATCCCAACGCGGCGTCGTGATGCCACATGGAGGTCGTTTGTAAAAGCGGTAAGCTACAACCAATGAAGGGGAAAATTATACTCGCCTCCTATCGCATTCTCAAATACCCTGGTTCGTAATGATGGGGCCCGGCTGTAGCTGTAGCTGAAGCAAGTGCAATGAGCAAAAAAGACGCGTTTTATATCTGAGGTAAGGACTACGATTCAGCTCCCCCCCCCCCCCCTCCCCGACAGAGAAATCCAGGCTTAGGCGGTGCATTATTGCCATCAATAGATCATCACTCATCAGCTCAGACGTACAAGCACCCCCGGATCCTCTCATTGCGGGACAGCCTCGTAAAGCGCAGCAGTGGTAGTCAAATGCAATCCCTCCTGCTGCGGCTTCCACACCTTCACCACGCGGAACCCTCCTTTCTCCAGCAGCGCAACCCACTGCTCCTCCGTGCGCTCCAAGGCCGAGAAGGTCTGCATCATATGCAAGTCCAACGCGGCCGCGATCGGCGACAGCTCGCCCCCGGCAGCCGGCGTGTGCTCGTTGATCAGCAGCACGGAGTCCTCAGCCATCGCCTCGCGGATGCGCGTCAGCACCTCCAACGCCTGCTTATCGGGCCAGTCGTGCAGGACGGTCCGCAGATAATACGCCTTGGCGTTCCTGACCGGCTGCGCGTCGAACATGCTGTGGCTCTGCGCGGCGATGCCCGCGAGCGGGCTCGGGATGTCGTTGATGACCTGGGGCAGGTCCTGCAGGACCAGCTGGCCCGGGAGCTGCGGGAAGCGCTGCTTAAAGGCGCTGATGTCGTGGCCGATGCCGCCGCCGATGTCGATGAGCAGCGTCCGGTCCGGCGAGGCGACCTGCAGCTTTTCTTCGACCGGGTAGAAGTTGAACCATTCGATCCCGTCGGCGGTGCGCGTCATCGACATGGTGGAGTTGAACGCTTCTTGGTCGTCGGGATGCTCGGTGAGCCAGTCGAAGTGGTGCTGCCTGGTGCATTGCGCGAATTGGAAGGGGGCGTCGCAAGCGTCGGCGGGGTTGCGGTAGTCTTTCGCTTCGAAGTACTCGTAGAGGTGGGCGGCTGTGCGCATGTGCAGATAGCTAAGGCAAATGGTGGTTAACGTCGTCTGCAGGGGTGGTGGTGGCATGAGAAGACAGGACTGGAAATGGTTCGTACAAGTGCTTGATGAGATTCGCGGTGGGCAGACCAGAGGAGAGTTGCGAGGCGAGAGGCCCGGGTTGGTAGCTCTCTTGGCTGGGTCGCGTGAAGATCTTCTGAGCGCAGAGGTAGCGCATGACGCGGACTGCCGGGTGGAATGAGATTGATCCTCCTGCATGCTTCGCGGGGAGGTTAGGACTTACACAGAAGCTCCTTGTCGCCTTTGGTTCGGCTGTTCAGCTCATCCAGCGTCAGTTGCTTGGTGCCCTCAGCGACAGCGAAGGCGTCGAAGATACCCATGCCTTGGGCGACTCGTATCACTGAGAGCGCCCAGAACTAGAAGTAGGTTGGCAATTAGCACTGGTTTCTGGGCTCACGAGAGAAGTGGGATTACCGAGAAACAGTGATTGAGAAGGGTCACCGGTGGAGGCTCCAGCGCAGCGCGCAACTTGTCCAAAGCTCCAAGAAGCTGCATGCGAGCAGCATTGTCAATGGATTCGGGGGAGGGTAACTTGGACAGTGCAGTGGTGACTGCGGATGTCACTTCGGTCAAAGTATTAGACATTTCGAGGGTGAAGTGAGCAGGGGAGAGTAGAAGCGAATTGATGATGGGCTGTATGGAGACAGAAAGACAATGTGTGCCTATTTATAAGGTTGAATCAACGCTCTGGCATTGTATGTACCTTCTCGCTTGTATGACCGGCCAGGTATGAGGGTATACGGAGTAGCCGACAGCTGAAAATGATCGGATTGTCTGGATTGGCTACTTCGTCCTGTACAAGTGGGGCGTAATATTTTAGGGTAGACTAAGCTTAATGAGAAGTCCGTGCGTGTCAGACCAGCCTCTCTTGGCATGCTTCCAGGGTTTAGGATACATGTGAGAGCACAGATTGAGATTGGGTCTCAATATCTACCAGGGATTGTTTGAAGTGAAGTGAGCTAGATTGACCACAGTTCACAGAAGCTCATCAACCCATAGAGCGGCTTTGATAAAGGCCCAGATGAAGCACGATGCACAGACGAATGTCTTACATGCTTCGCACACGGTGAATCGAGGTGAGCGGGGGCAGGTCATCCACAAGTAAAGTCCCAGGCCTGCAAGCAGTGAGGAAATGAGAGTCAATCCCTGCTCCTGGTAGTAGCAGCCAATCTCGGATTCTTTATACCAAGCATAGCCTGGGTACCAGTAACTGACGATCAGCTGCTCGGTGATCCAGAGCAGGACCTGAACCATCAGGAAGAATTGGAGGGCACCACGGATAGTCACGGTCTTATCCAGCCATCTGCGTCGAGGAATCGAGACCTCTCTAGGCTGGTCGTGCAGAGGGATGTAGAGTCCAGCCGCCTTCGTACTTGTGGCAGAGCCCATTGTGGTTTTGGGTCATAGAATGAGCTAGCTCAACCCGTTTGACAAAATCCTCTGCGGGATGGTGACCTCGCTGAGATCTGCAGATAGTGGCGAACGGGGCTTAAATAGATGACAAGCAGGAGTCGGACCGTTCTCGTTTGCGGTCAATACCCCTTATCAGGTGCGTAATCTAAAAAAGAAGACTATTGACAAAGACAGAGCCTTTATCAACGATTCTTTGAGAGCAGTTCAGGAGAACATTTACTCCGGGACAGACCCGAGTATTACAGATTATTAGAAGACACGCAACAATGAAGCCGATGAATGTTTCCTCAGGCTTCTGTGGATTGTTATTGTTTCTCTGATTCAGTCAAAGTACTTGTCCAGGTATTTGAGATCATGTTAGTGTGCTTCCAAAGCGAAAAGATGGATTGGAATTTCAGGATGAGATAATCTGTGTGCAGAAGATGGAATTGAGTTGTCAATGCGTCCACTTCTTCCCTGCCAACGACTGCGCTTTTATACCTCGTGCAGGGGCTTTAGTAGTTGGTGAGGCTATACCCAATGCGGAGACTCTATGTAAGCATTGACGATTGAGCCAATCAGAGAATGAGCTGACTTTGGATTTAACCGGCTTCACTTTTCTGAGCATCGCGGCATATCGTCAGAAGTTATAAGTTATAAATTTAATACTCCGTCTTCCTTCCACTGTGCTTCCTGTCTTCATTCTCTCCGACGTGTGCTTACTGAGCTCGGAGCTTCAAAGATCCAGTTCAAAAACTCCGTTCTTGAGTGTTGCGGCTCTACCCGTCGCATGTTTCTGGCCTGTCATCCTCTCTAATACTCTACCCGCTTGTGAGCCTGTTGCCAATGGCTCTTATCAGGAACAGTATCATTGCATACAGCCACACAATGAGTCGAATCATCCAGTTGAGACTGACTGTGAGCCGTACTGCGCGCACATCATGTGACTGGGGCCAACACAGCCTCACGCTAAGGCAGATGCCATCCAGATGTCGTCAACATCACTAGTTTCTGCACGCTAATTGCTTAGTGAATGCAACCCCTCCTTCAGACGCAGACTCACGTGATGTTCACCAACATGCACGCAGACCCTTTCTCTTCTCTCTCCACCAATCTCACCCGCCTAGGAGGCTCAAACCACGAAGTCTGCCATGGATTCCAATAAATCAACCCTAGGGACTGTCAAGGGTGGTAAAGGGAGACAGAAACGATGGGCTCCTCGAGCCAGGACGGGGTGTATCACCTGCAAGTACTGTGCCCCCGACCTGCTGTTCCTGCGCAGGATGACCCCGGCGACTGACAATCCACAGAATCCGTCGCATCAAGTGCGATGAAACCAAGCCAAGGTGAGAGCTACAGTCTCCGTCCCCAGGATTCCTTCCTCTCATGGCCAGTCGATAGTTGCAAAAAGTGCGTATCCACCGGCCGGCGCTGCGACGGCTATGCGCCGGTCCGCCAGGGGCAGCTGCAGCAGGCACCGTCCGCCTGGGACTTCATCTCCACCGACTCCACGGAACTCGACAGTTTTTGGTTTTTCCAATCGGTGACCACGTCGACACTGGCCGAATACTTTGATCCTGGATTCTGGTCCAAGCAGTTATTGCAATTCGCCCATCACTACCCGGCTCTGCGACATGGCATCACTGCTCTGGCCTGCCTGCACCGAGACTATATCGGGCAGGATGTCCGATTCACGCCAGCCGCCACAAGAGAAATCCCCAGCAAGAGTTTCGCGCTGAAGCAATACACCAAGTCCATCCACGCTCTATCGCAGTTATGCTCCAAGCCAATCTTAACGCTCGAAGACCGAGTCGTGATCCTGACCACCTGTGCGATATTCGCCTCCATGTGCGGCATTCAGAGCCTCCAGCACCAAGCGTACATGCATATCCTCAACGGACTGAAGATCATCACATCCTGGGAAGCCGAGCATCGAGCCGTCACGGTGGGTGGCGACGAGGTGACCACCAGCATGCTGGTTCTGATCTTCACTCGCCTCGACTCCCAGGTCATCCCATACATGTTCGCCTGCCAAGGCTCGCGCGTTTGGATCGACCGTCAAGTCTCCCCAGGGTTCGCGGAGGCCACCTTCACTACTCTGTTCGGGGCATACGTCTGCATCGAGGCCATCTACAATAGTGTCCTTCGACTGGGCTGGAAATTCAACAAATGGAGCCCGAGGCAGCGCGACATTTCGCCCGAAGAACGAGCGGTCCAACTGCAGCACTTGCAGGCCTGGGACGGGCGGCTGGCCGCGCTTCTGAAGGCTATGCCGGCGGGAACCGACAGCTCCAGAGCAGTGGACCTGCTTATGGTGCGACGAGCTCTGACTGGGCTGTCCTATCAGGTGGACCTCACCCCCGGTGAACTAGCTAGTGACGACTGTATTGCGGACTGTCTGGGGTTGCTGGATCGCATTACACGACTCCTGGGGGATGAGGGTGACGACCATGGCTTTCAGCGCATCAATGCCTCGTTCACGCTGGAGATCGGGATTGTTGAGCCTCTGTTTTGGATGTGTGTTCGTTGTCGAAACCCAGAAATCCGACACCGAGCGTTGAGGCTTCTCCAACGGTACCCGCGCCAGGAGGGAATCTGTGACGGGATTGTGGCGGCTCGTACCGTGGCAAAGGTGATCGAGATCGAAGAGACAGGATGTCCCCGGGCCGGTGGGACGCCGGAAAATAAGAGCCCGTGTGCCGCTGCTGGGAAGTGGGTGTGTGAGAACCACCGCGTCGCGATCTGGGACTATGTGGTGGAGTCTGCGAGTGAAGTTGCCGTGGTATTCAAAACCGTCGAGGATCTTGCGACGAATGGACCGGGGATCAAGCTGCTGTATACGTGGTGGTGATGCACTCGAGATGCATAACAGGGCTATAATAAATAGACATGGCTTTGTCCTGACAGCCAGTGAGTCGGAAGATCTGTCAAAGTACTCAGACGATGGCTGACCGACGGGAGGCTCTCAGTCAACCCAGCAACCCTAACTTCCAGCTCCCTACTCCACGATCGCCTCGACTCATTAGACGTTCCCCGCCGCTTTGCATTTATCCTGTCTTGTTGTATGTCATCTCGTGTTCTGACCGGATCATATTAGCCCCAAGGGCATCTTATTACAAGCTCCGTATGAGCTTTCAGCTCCGTTTGACTAGCCCCGTTGAACCAGGTGTCTGACCATGCACCAACTCTTCAGCATTCCGTAGAGCTACTGCAGCAACAGGTTGTCTAATCCGGTCTCCAGCTGACCAGAATGCACGCCAGTGTTTCCCAACGGTCGCAAATCTGTTTCAGCGGGAAGTGAAGGGTGATCTGCAGGGTGGAAAAGCCTTAAAAATCCGCCATCCGAAACGCATGTACCTCGGCAAACCAAAACCAGTAGCCCAGCCAAACCTTTGAACATGGATGCAGATCGACATTAACCGGAGGATGTCGGTGCCTGACTCAATGGACCAGCTGAAGCATTACATGGAGACGCGCCGATCAGGGTCTCCAGGCATATCTCCTGCACAGTCCTTCGGATGTGAAAATACGAGAAGATAGGACCGGCCTCAATTTTAGGACCATCGACTCCTTCATATTTGATCCAGGCCCTTGAGCACCTACCGGCGCTGTCCAGATACTCAATCATTCGGACCAGCAGGAGAAAATCCACCGACCAAGAAATCTCCTCACCATGCGCACAATCGCCCTGCTGCTGACCGCCGCGCTTCCTGCGCTCGCCGCGAGCAGTGCCAACAGCGATGCGGTGGCTGTGTGCGAGTATTTGTACACCACATACCCCCAATACACCGTCTGGGATCCCTCCGGACCCGATGCTCTGCAGACTTTCTGGAATCAATCCTATTATAACCAGGCAGTGTCCGAGTACTGGAATGGGGTCAACGCGCTGAATCGACCTGCCTGTACCTTCTTCCCCGCCAACGCCCAGCAAGTGGCGACGGCCGTGCAGCAGCTCAACCAGCACCCCGATGCTCCCTTTGCCCTCAAATCCGGCGGCCACAACTTCAACGTTGGCTTCTCGAGCACTAAGGGCGGGGTGTTGATCTCCTTCCACGAGAACCTCTCCTCCATCACCCGCAACCCGGACGGCCAGTCCTTCGACGTCGGGCCCGGTGCGCGCTGGGGCGACGTCTACGCCGTGACCGAGAAGACCAACCAGGTTCTCGTCGGCGGACGACTGGCCAACATTGGCGTTGCGGGCTTCACTCTCGGCGGCGGCCTCTCCTACTACTCCGCTCAATACGTACTTCCCCCCTTTCCCATCGCCCCTTTACACCCTCATCCAACTAACCCGGAATTAGGGCCTCACCTGCGACAACGTCCTGAACTTCGAAGTCGTCCTCCCGAACGCGACCATCGTCAACGCCAACCGCACCTCGCACGCGGACCTCTGGTGGGCGCTGCGCGGCGGGGGCAACCGCTTCGGCATCGTGACGAAATTCACCTTCCAAGCGCATCCTCTCGGGGACGAGGGGCGCATCTGGGGGGGGATTCGCGTGTACGCGGCCGAGAAACGCCAGGCCATCTTCTCCGCCCTGGCGGAGTTCATCCGCGACTACCCGGACGCCAAAGCGGCGGTGATCCCGACCTTTGACTTCGGGCTGCCGGACGCGGTGATCTCCAACCCGATGCTGTTTTTCTTCTATGATGGGGCGAGGCCGCCCGCGGGGGCCTTCGCGGGGCTGGATGCGATCGAGGCGCTGATGGACGGGACGAACACGACGAGCTACACGGATCTGGCGAATCAGGCGGGCGGGGCGAAGATCTATGGGATCAAGGCGGCGGCGAGGGTGAATACCTTCCCCAACCTCTCGCCGCAGAATGTCTCGGCCTTGCTGGAGGCGCATTGGGAGACGTACCAGGCGATGATCAAGAATGATTCCAGTCGCCAGATTGATCTTCAGATCGGGACCTTCACGCCGCAGCCGCTGTCCGTGCGCATTGCCCGCGCCTCGCTGGCTCGGGGCGGGAATGCCTTGGGGTTGCGCCCGGAGCATGGCGATCGCTTCTGGGTGGAGAATGATCTGATTTGGATCAATGATCAGTGCGATGAAGCCTGTCCGGGGTATTTGAAGGAGGTCGGGGATCGCCTGGAGGCGGTGTTTAATGAGACCTTGCGGGGGGAGAAGCCGACGAATTATCAGGCCGGGGAGGTGGATTTTGTTTCGTAAGTACTTACTACTTTACCCCCGTACCTCATTGTCCCCTCTTGGAGTGAGGGTTTGTTGATGTCGGGCGAGGGGCTAATGGGGAGGTGTGTTGCAGGACAAATCCGTTGTTCATGAATGATGCGGCGGATGATCAGGATGTCTATGCCAGTTATGGGCCGGAGAACCAGGCTCGGCTGGAACGCATCGCGAGAGCGTATGATCCCACCCGATTTATGTTTCGACAAGGGGGTTGGAAGTTGTCAAGTTGAGATTACCTTCTGCTGCACGAGATCTTCTTCTTCTGGCGGGTTTACAGATGGAGAAAGTCGGATACGGGTCCGTGATTGTGCTTCTGCCTATGTGATATAGTATTCACAATGAGACTTTCGTGGGAAATGCCTCACTTCGCTTGGATTTATTCATGCACTCTGTTCCATTCCAGTGTCTTATGAGACTGGTAGTACTCCCACGGCTTCTGATAGACCACCCCCCCATCCCATACACATCCCGAACGTCCAGACCAGGTCTACGCAGGCAAAACCCAAGTCGTCACCGACTCAGCCGGCACATTCCCACTCCACTCCCCTCCCGACCCCAACGTCACCGTCACATACAAATCGTTCCCAAAGGTATTCTGGATGACCACCGTGCGGGTCCCATCCGGATTCAGCGAGGCGATTGATTGCACCCCGCCGCCGTTGTCGTACGTGTAGCTCCCTGTGCCGTTCAGCACCACCGCCCCCGGCGGCATAAACTTGCTGAACTGCGCCATCATGTAGTACGCGGTGTTGAGCGTGTAGCTCGTCGCGCTGTTGACCGTGACCAGCCCCTGGCAGGTGGCGCAGCCGCCCGACGAAAGGTGCGGCCCGTCGTTGGCGTCGGTGCCCAGCGTCCAGGCCATCACGCCGGCGGCGTAGTTCTGGAGCGGTCCCATGGTGAAGTCCGCCGCCTGATCCCAGGCCCCGGACGCCGGCGTCCAGCATTCCGTCATGTATTGCTCGATGTCGGGATTGGTGAGGTGGAAGGTGGACAGCACGGTCCAGTCCACGTTGCTGGCGTAGCAGTGCCAGGCCACGGCGGGGACGTACTGGCTGGCGCCGCTGTCGAGGATGGTTTGGGGGTAGGAGGTGACGTCTTGGGGGTTTGGTCCGTCAGTACGATCATTCAGGTCTGGCATGCAAGGCCCATCAGGCAGAGGGATGGGGGTTGGCAGTACCTGTGTTGTGGTCATAGGCCCAGACCTTCGTGCTGAGACCCGCTTGCGCGAGGGCCGGCCCGACGTATTTCTCAATCAGATCCGCCGACTCGTACGCATAGACATACATGGTCGGGTAGCCGGCCTGGCTGTTCAGGGGTTCGTTCTGGATGGTGATGGCGTCAACGGGTGCCCCCAGAGTCGCGTACGCTTGGAGGTACTTGACGAAGTACTGGGCGAAGGCACTGGCGTAGCCCGTGCTGCCGGTCCCCCCGCTGGTCAGGTAGCCGTCGTTCAGGTTGTTGTTGGTCGTGGTGCCGTCGATGACGCCGTTCAGCTTCATCCACCCGGGCGCGCTCCACGAGGAGCCAAGGATTTGGAGGCTGGACTGCAGGGTCTTCATGGTGGCGAGCAGCTTGGCCATGGCGGTGCCACGGTCGCCGAGGTTGAAGCCGCTCAGCGACGGATCCGCCGCGTTGTTGTTGTCGTCGTAGGTGTACGCTGGGTCGCCAGACAGGTCGGAGGCCCCAATGGTGTGACGCATCAGGGAGAAGTTGGCCCCATCGGAGGTCATCAGCTCGTTCAGCAGCTGTTGCAGCGTAGCTGAGTTGAGGGTGTTGAACGAGGTCACAGTGGCGTCGGTGACAGCGGCGCCAAACCCGTTGATGGTCTGGCGGTGCCCCGATGAGGTATCGTCGACAGTCAGCTTCCAGGTAGACTCGGAGCCCGGACTACCGGCCCCTTGCACTGGGGCCGCGATCGAGGACAACTGGTAGTTGCCGGCCGAGTTGGAGCTGTATGCTGTGGCTCCGGAGGCGCGTTTCTCCGTTGCTGCCGCATGGCCGAGGGCCATGAGGCCCATCAAGGGACCTAGGGTGACAAGCATTGTGGTATATGTGGTGGTTTGCCAGGAGATCGAGATGCAGGATCTTGAGCGATTAGACCCTGAAGATAAATAACCAGATGGCATGAAGGGGCAGGGGCGGTGGCGACGGTCTCCGCGCCTGACTCGCTTCCCGGCAGTAGTGGTTTCACTCCCCTTCCTGTTTGGGGGCCATGGGGGGGGGCCATGAGGGAGAGCCAGTCATGATGCAGAAGGCCAACGCTTATTCGGCATCCGTCGGAGCTGACTGGACATTGCAGTTGATCCTGATGTTCCTTGCATTGCTGTCTTAATCCTCGTAAAGGGACGGTTGGGTGGGATCAAAGCACCTGGAAGCCATCACCAGGTTCTTCAGTGAGTGAGTGAAGGCCAGCTTCCGATAAACCAGACCTCTTATCACATTTCCTTCAGCGGGACATGAGAACCACTCCAAGAACGCAGGTCAGGCGGAAAGAGAGAGTTGTGGAAAGTAATGGAGGATAACGATCGAAGGCGGGGAGAAACTGCAACCTGCCAAGAAGGCCGACCATCGGGAGATGCCGAGACTAACCCGAAAAAGGATTATCCTGTTATCACGTGACTCTGGTCCATCTGGTGAGGTCCGAGGGATGTTGTGTGTTGCGATGACCGACAGAGAAACCGGGGAGGGATCATGTGACCCCCCGCCGGAGCTTTGGCCTTAACTGCCTGAGTGCCTGACTGTCTTAAGGCATCAAGGACGCAACCCCTCCGGATTCTTCTTGTCTCCTCCACCTCCATCCATCACCATCTGCCATCACATTCTTTGTCCTTCATTATCTCTACCCCAGCTACACTCACTGCTTGACCCCTGAGTCCCCTGACTAATGCAGGTAATGTCCATCTGCATCACCCCCCCTTGCATATTGTACCGTCTCGGTGTGTATTTTTCCGTCAACCCCTCTTTCCCCGCTCGTTGCTCAATTTAATTTTTAATTACTTGCAGTCTGCACCAATCGCTATTTTCACATCCACCGCTAGACTCTGCATATTGCCCATAGTCTCAAAGATCAGGATGAGCCCATCAACTGGGGAAATTGCCGCTTGTTCTCGGAAATGCCATCAGTATCCATCATGAGACCATGAGCTCTGCGGGAGCGGCCATGGTTGTAGATACTTAAAGCACAGAGTGACGGCAGAAAGAATCTTCCTGAGCTCCTAGCAGCATTTCTTCTAAGACAACATGAGGTTCTGGTCGTCTCTCCTGCTTGGGGCGAGTCTCCTCACCGGGACTCGGGCAACTACCGATGGTCTCACAGACCTGGTCTCCTGGGATCCCCACAGTCTGACCGTGAAGGGGAACCGACTGTTTGTCTTTTCGGGCGAATTTGCCTATCCGAGACTTCCGGTCCCTGAACTATGGCTCGACATTTTCCAGAAGATGCGTGCCAACGGATTCAACGCGGCCAGGTTGGTGAACACAACTAGCTATCAATGGGTCATTCTTGCTGCTGACATGGACTTGTTTGGTGTTGTAGTATCTATCTCTTCTGGAATTACCATTCCCCCATCAACGGGACGTTCGACTTTGAGACAGGTGCACATAACCTGCAGCGTCTCTTCGATTATGCGCAGGAAGCTGGCATCTATCTCATTGCCCGGTAGGCTTTGCGGTCCAGACCCTAAGCCCATATACTAACGGAACCACGTAGGCCCGGCCCTTATGACAATGCTGAGATCAATGGCGGCGGCTTAGCTCTTTATCTGAGTGACGGCAGCGGAGGCTCCTTGCGTACGAGCGACGCCACGTACACGGCCGCATGGGAACCGTGGGTGGAAGAAATCGGCAAGATCATTGCTGCCAATTCCATTACCAAGGGCGGACCCGTCATCCTGAACCAAATCGAGAACGAGCTGCAGGAAACAACGCACAGTGCAAGCAACACGCTAGTTCAATATATGATCAAACTCGAAGCTGCCTTTCGGGCCGCAGGGGTTGATGTTCCCTTTACCCACAACGAGAAAGGAATGCGATCCGAAAGCTGGTCCACAGACTACGAGGACGTGGGCGGTGCTGTCAATGTCTACGGTCTGGACTCCTACCCGGGTGGACTCAGCTGTACCAATGAGGCGACTGGTTTCAATGTGGTTCGGACCTATTATCAATGGTTCCAGAATTACAGCTACACCCAGCCCGAGTATTTTCCCGAGTTCGAAGGAGGGTGGTTCTCTGCTTGGGGAGCCTCTTCCTTCTATGACACTTGCACGAGCGAGCTGAGTCCGAATTTTGCCGATGTATACTACAAGAACAACATCGGTCAGAAAGTGACGCTTCAGAGCATTTACATGACATATGGTGGCACGAACTGGGGCCATCTCGCAGCACCCGTTGTGTACACGTCTTGTGAGTCTGGTTATCATGTTATGGATACGTACAGGCGTACTAATCGGATATAGATGACTACAGCGCCCCGCTGAGCGAGAGCCGAGTGGTCCGGGATAAAATGAGTCAGACTAAGCTTATTGGACTGTACACAAGAGTGTCAACCGGTCTGCTCACTGCAGACATGGAGGGCAACGGAACAGGATACACGTCCAGCACATCTGCTTATACCTGGGTGCTTAGGGACTCGCAATCGGATGCTGGGTTCTATGTCGTGCAGCAGGCAACGACGTCATCACGTACCTCTCTCACATTTGACCTGGACGTGACTACCTCGGCGGGCAACTTCACATTGACTGATATCAATCTCGACGGACGACAGAGCAAAATCATTTCGACAGACTATCCGCTGGGTCACAGCACCATTTTGTATGCCTCTACCGATATCGCCACCTACGGAACGTTCGGCGACACGGATGTGGTCGTCTTGTACTCTCGTGTCGGCCAGAAGGCATCATTTGCCTTCAAGAACCCCGGTCGCCTCAACTTCACTGAATACGGCCCCTCGGTCAACCTGACTCGCAGTTCCGGCAACTCGACTACGCCATCGTACACCTACACGCAGGCTAGTGGTACCAGCATTGTACAGTTCTCCAACAAGACCATCTTCTATCTCCTGGACACCGACACGGCATTCAGATTCTGGGCCCCGCCAACCACGAATGATCCGTACGTGACTGCCGACCAGCACATTTTTGTTCTAGGGCCCTACCTGGTCCGCAACGCCTCCGTCGCTGGAAGTGTCGTCAACCTTGTTGGAGACATTGACAATACTACCACTATTGAGGTCTTTGCTGGCTCGTCTGTCAACACCGTGAAATGGAACGGCAAGCGGCTTTCGACGACGCAGACAGCTTATGGTAGTCTGGTCGGATCCATCAGCGGACCGTCTAGCACCATCTCGCTGCCGGCTTTGAGCGGCTGGAAGGTCCGCAATTCGCTGCCTGAACTAGAATCCGACTACGACGACTCCAACTGGACTGTCTGCAACAAGACCACGACGCTGAGTCCTGTGCAGCCGTCAACCCTACCAGTTCTCTACGCGTCGGACTACGGTTACTACACGGGCATCAAGATCTACCGTGGACGCTTTGATGGCGCAAATGCCACTGGCGCTAGCCTGACTGCTCAGGGCGGTGTTGGTTTTGGATGGAACGTTTGGCTCAATGGTAACCTGGTTGCTACTCTGCCGGGTGACGCTTCGGCGACGTCGTCGAGTGCAACGTTGGATTTCAGCAACCATACCCTCAAAGCAACCGACAACCTGCTCACTGTTGTGGTAAGTCAACTGCCAACTACCCACCGGTCATGTATTGTGCTCATCGTGTATTATAGATCGACTATACCGGACACGATGAGACGTCCACTGCAGAGGGCGTCGAGAACCCCCGCGGTCTGCTCAGTGCAAGCCTGACTGGCGGCAACTTTACCAGCTGGAAGATCCAGGGCAATGCTGGAGGGGCTGCCGGTAAGCCGTGCGATGCATTCGGAAAACAATGGACCTCTAAACTAATGCCTTCCCAGGAGCCTACGAGCTGGACCCCGTTCGTGCCCCCATGAACGAAGGCGGACTGCTGGCTGAGCGCCAGGGTTGGCATCTTCCAGGCTACAAGGCCAGTTCGTCGGATGGATGGACCTCCGGCTCCCCTCTCGATGGACTAAACAAGTCTGGTAAGTCTCCAGTTCGAACGGCACTCCGTAGAAGCACGCAATGCCATGCTAACTAGGCGATAGGCGTTGCATTCTACCTTACCACGTTCACTCTCGACCTGCCCAAGAGCTACGACGTCCCTCTTGGTATCCGTTTCACGTCACCAGCCACTGTGAACCCCGTCCGAATCCAGCTGTTTATCAACGGCTACCAATACGGAAAATACGTCCCTTATCTGGGACCGCAGACCACGTTCCCCGTTCCGCCTGGTATCATCAACAATCGGTCCAAGAATACTATTGGTATAAGTCTGTGGGCCCAGACGGATGCTGGTGCTGCTTTGGAGGACATCGAGCTCGTCACCTACGGTACCTACGAGAGTGGATTCGATGCTGGATCGGGCACCAGTTTTGATATGAATGGCGCGAATCTGGGCTATCAACCTGAGTGGACAGAGGCTCGGTTGAAGTATACTTAATCCTTGATTGTCCCAGGCGTGACAGATCAGGTGTGCTTTAGGTGATCCGCTTGCCGTGGGGTTTATTCTTTGTTTCGGGTTGATACTTTCTGCCATGCTTATTTCATGTAATCTGATCAAAATGGAAGGTGATAATAATAACGAACTAGATTGCTGGAACTACATATCCTACACCACGATGGCAGGCATTAGTCAGAGTGCTGAGCAAAATACCAAGAGCCACCTTGGCCACACGCTGCCACCCCCCATCTCTTCCACAATCTTTCCGCTCACTGATCATCCAAGACGAACCGATCCAGGAACCGGAAGGTATACAAACCGTCCAACACTTCCTTGGCCAGACCCTCCGTAACATTCGCCGCAACATAAACACCATCCCTCCCCATCTCAATCCCCGCCGATCTCAACGCCCTCTGCCCACTCCCGATCGCCCCAACCGGCTTACCATACTTAAACGCATCTGCCAGAATCTGCAGCGGCCGACCAGGCGGATAAAGCGTCGTCATCGTCGCATTGCTGCCCGCAGCACCACCAAACAAGATCTCCACCCCATCGCCCACCACGATAGCATCAAAGCCCGACGCATCGGAGAGCGCATACGTAGAGTTAACCCCATCAGCATACGTCTCGGCCACGACCGTCACATCCACACCATGCGCCGCCAACCGACCAGCGAGCGCCCCGCCCTGTCGAATCGACTCCCCTTTCTTCGTCGAAGCGAGGAAGCCAACCTGCAACCCCTCCACACTCAGCAACCGCGCCCCAAATGTCCCGACATTCACCGTCTTGTTAGTCGTGTAATAGGTATCCTCCGGTTCAGGCACCTCCAATCCCAACCCCCTGGCCACCCGCCTCGCCAGCCCGTGATCAATCCGGTTCAACTGCGCGACCACGTTCTGACGGACGTGCGGACTCGCCACCTTGGAGTTCTCAAACACTATCGCATTCACCAGCATCTGCTGCTCGGCCGGCACTAGCGAGTTCCAGAACAACGCCGGCTGGGACCAGTGGTCCGCGAACGTGGGACTGGGGGCACGCGAGAGGGGCCCCCCGGTAAGGTGACGGTACGGCGAGGTAAAGAACCCGTTGCCAACAGTTTGGTTTGCCTGCTTGGGGGCAGTGTCTGCGCCCATGCTGGTGGGCGTGTAGGCCCAGGGGTTCAGCGGGATCTGCTGCTGGCCGAAGCCGTCGCGGTTGTTGTTGTGGACGGGGTTGCGGGGCCGGTTGACCGGCAGTTGCTCGAAGTTCGGGCCGCCGTGCCGGTTGACTTGCGTGTCGAGGTAGGAGAAGAGTCGGCCTTGGAGGAGGGGATCTTCTGTGAAGTCGATGCCGCGGACGACGTGGCCGGGTTGGAACTTTTTATGAGGTGTTAGTGGATGAATGGGGGTTGATGAGGGCACTGGGGGATAGAGAAGGAGGAGGGACGTACGCCGACTTGTTCGACTTCGGCAAAATAGTTGGTGGGATTGGCGTTGAGTTCCATCACGCCGAGCGGGGTGAAGGGGACGAGTTCTTCAGGAACCATCTTGGTGGGATCGAGGAGGTCGAATCCGAAGCGCAGCATGTCGGATTCGTCCATGATTTGCGCGCCCAGCTAAAGATTGGTGTGTGTTGTTGTCAGCTGTGGTTTCGTCGCGCCCTGCAAGGGAGGATAGGATAGGATCATAAGAACTTCAAGACTTACCTCCCACTTAGGGTACCGCCCGTTCGCAATCGCATCGTGCAGGTCCTGTCGGTGGAAATCACTGTTCTTGCCGGCTGTGGCTTGCGCCTCATCCCAGACGAGACTGGCAACACCCTGGAGGGATCGCCACCGGTAACGGATCACCTTGCTGGTGCCGTTGGCCGTTACAAACCGGAAGCTGTGCACGCCGTAGCCGTTCATGTGGCGGTACGAGCGAGGGATTCCGTGGCCGGACATCAACCACAGGGCACTGTGCAGAGCAGTACTCTGCTGGCTGAAGAAGTCCCAGGCCGAGGTGTGCGCCGTCGCCGCCTGCGGAATCTCATTGTGTGGCATGGGTTTGATCGCGTGGACGAGATCGGGGAATTGGATAGCGTCCTGGATGAAGAAGGGGGCGATGTTGACTCCGACGATGTCTATCAGACGCCCCTCAAGTCAGTGCCCGGAGCTGAAGAGGCTATTCATGCGAAGATACCTACCATAGTTTCCCTCGTCTGTATAGAAGCGACAGGCGTGGCCGTGAACATCCCGAGCGGTATCAACACTGCCTCGGAACCCCACCACAGTCGAGAATCGACAAAACATAGGCGTCTCTTTGTCGGCGGCACTCAGGAAGTCGGCGGCAGTGACGTTGGAGAAGTTGCCGTACGATCGGAAAGTACCATAGGCACCGGCACCACGAGCATGCACGACTCGCTCGGGGATCTAAGCAAGGATGAGAACCGGCGCATGCATGAATGACAGCACGAGCAATCAAGACAGATGCACCTACCCGTTCATGATCGAAGCGCTGCAGCTTCTGGCGGAAGATGAAGTCCTCGAGGAGAGTCGATCCCCTGGACCCGGCCTTCAGACTCCATTGGTCCTCGATGGGAGTGCCAAAGTCAGTGGTCATGTAGCTGTCGGTGTCATTAAGATAAAGGGTCTGGTCAATGGGCTGTTCGACAACCTCAATGGTGTCGGTCGGGTTGTCTGCCCGCTCAGTGAAGCGAGAGGGAGTGCCCATCTCCCCCGATAGGAATGGGCATTGAGCCCCAGCAAGGCCGGCAACAGCCGGTAGGAGCCAAAGAGGGCGCATGATGCGCGACCAGTAGATGTCTTGTTGGTTCTGCGGTTCTCAATGTGTCCTCGATGAATTTTTCGGCTGGCGATTCTGACAAGCCATCTTATATATGCCCCCATCCACTCGCGACAGAGCACATCAGACGACTTAGTTAAGCTGCCGAATCCAGACTCGGCTCTCAATAATCAACGCCAGACTGTCTGGCATTGGCAGCGCATCACAACCTGTTTGGGCGAACAGGGCCCACTTGCTCCATCCTAGCGACTGACGCAACGTCGGGCGGCACGACGATGGGCAACGGCTTCATCGCGCAACACGCTCGACATGACCGCGCCAGATAGAGGTGAATGGTCGAACCTCATGGAAAGGTTGCTAAGGACAAAGCCTCACCCATCGTGCCACGAGGTCGGTCTGCAAGATCGCCTAACCGACAACGACTAGCAAAAACAAGTATACCGCGCCGAATAGCCGGTAGAAGCCAAGTGAAACGCCAACTTCCGATTGGCAAGCGTTGCCAGGTACAGTATCTGGCCAGAAAACCTGCTCGACTTAGCCAGTGTTGCTTGGTAAGGGCCTTAGCGGAATGGATGGGGATGGGTTAGGGCTGGCCACGCCCGACGGGGATGGATGGATGGCACTGCTTGGTAAGCCCAACGACCTCGACCGTTCCCCCCCAGACCCACTGCACAACCGTAAGTCCTTAACTTCATGCTGGGCAGATTAATTAGTTTCGGTGGACTCTGATTGGATGGACACTCTCGATTATGGTCTGAACGAGTCCCCATTTTCCAGCCTCTCCCTCCCCGGCAATCATTCCACTTGCTGGGAGGAGCTTCTCTAGAGTTCTGCAGTGCAATTGCCGAGGCAGGAACAAAAATCTGCGATACTACCAGCCTCAGCCTGAATGGGTCCTCCTGAATCAGTCAATGTCATGGAATGTGTCGATCTTTTTTTGGTGTCCCCGGAAAGCTGATGTGTCGAACGAAGATGCAGATTAACATGACAGTCCACCGTGGACTGTCTCATGTGGTTTCATTTTCACGAAGATCTCTATTCAAGCATCGATTTGTTTTTCTGGATGACTTTTGAGTGCTGTTTTAGATTGTGAAGCTCTGCTACGTTCGCGCACTGGGACTTGGTCTAGTGCTCTGTCACCAGTGCCTTCTTTTGATCTGCACTGATTGTAGTGCCAGCGTAGAAGAAATATATTTCACGGAGTTAATACCCCTGACTTGGATTGCGCCACTTCCCGCATTCTGTTGACCTTTTCCACGCTCCGGTTCTTTCATTGTCATCAACCATCGGTACATGTCTATTATGATTTTCGCTCATATGATATGACGCGCTGCCCCTAGAAACTACCTCTATTTAGCTCTTCTTCTATTTTTTTAGCTGAGTGTCTTCGACTTTTCTACTTGCTTGGCACGCCCGCTGCCGATTCACCGCCCTGGGAGATTCGGACACGGCCTCGCGCGACCGAGTGCCCCCCTATACTCAATAGTAATATTACAAAGTGAGGAACATGCACAAGGCCATCATTCCGAGTACGATTGCATCGCTGTCGTGGAGTCGCTCGGGAGGTATTGCCCGGGAGGTTATCATCCTATTGTGATTAGGGATATACTTCGCGGTCGATACCGCATTGTTGACAAGCTGGGATGTGGAGGTTATTCGACTGTTTGGCTGGCCCTGGATACTTGCAGTCAGAGTGGATGGTAAAGTGGATTTTACCTAAATTAGAACAAAGTTCGCAGACGAAATAGATAGATTCGAAAACAATATATTCTTATTGGCTAAACGTAACAGTGAATTGTATCGTAAATGACTATTGTCTGTCAGGACGGCCCCCCCAAAAGTGAAGCCGTGTTAAACAGTCATCTTCGTTGGTGGCAGTATTATCCCCCGGTAAAGATCAAAAGAACGCTTCAGGTTTTGGAGATCTCAAAAAGGTTTCCACTCAAGGTTCTGTGGCACTGACACTCCACCACCTTCGTTCAGGCTGAGATGGCGATAGTGTGTCTATGAGCCAGTCAGAAGTATTCTTCCTTGAAATAGCGCAGATCCTACCCTGCAACTTGACCGCGTCGCAATCTCTTATCCGTACTTATCCCTGACTCATACTGGAGCTAGGTTGCCGCTCCCCGCTAAGTCACGCCGGCTGACATCTCCTTACATCTCTGGAATTTTGGTTTTGAGTCTAGCAAAACATTAATAATTTTGACTGAAGTCTGCTATGCTATAACTATCCCGTGGGTCGTAGAGCTTGCGGGGTTTGGGTGCCCGTAGTCACTCTTCGATGCAGTTGTTTAGTATAGCAACGCCCGGCTACCAATCGGCCTCACCTCAAACACTCTTCTCATCGTTGGCTCAGCTTAGAGAACACTATTCTTCGTTGAGAACCCTTCTCAATGACACAGCGATTAACGAGTGCGTTCAACGTCCTCAGGACAAAACAATGAGGGCGAACAGAATGAGGCAGTCAGCTTTAGGGCTCGGGCCCTCCCGTCAGCCTCGTCAGTTGTCAGTTGACTAACTATAAGCTGACATCCATAGTTACAAGAGGTGAGAAGCTTCTTCTAATTTCCAGACATTTCTAGCATGTCCTAGTAGCATCTACCATCTTCAAGAGCATTCTAGTAGCTACATGAGCTTGACTGCCCAGCACAGCTTTAGATGACTAATGGTGCTACTATGATATTTCATATATAACCGTTTCGCCACCTGGTTAGCTTCGATAAACACTCACTCCATTTACTCACGCAATAATTCACTAAGTATCATCATCATCATCTCCACCAAACCTCATCATGCCATTGACAGTGATTGTCTTCCTCCAACGCAAGGTTGGAGTCACTCCACAGGACTTCAAAAACCACTACGAGAACCACATGCTTCTCGCCAAAGAGATAGCCGGCAGCACATTCCCCACCCTCCACAAACGCCTCTACCTGACACGCACCCCGCAGGATCGCGCCTCCTCGGACCCATCCAACGCCAATCACCTCCCCACCGTGTTCGCAGGCCAACCCGCCGACTTCTCTTGGGATGTCTTGGTGGAAATGGTGTTCAACAACATGGAGCACTTCCAAGCCTTCCAGGCTGCGCTGGCTGCGCAGGGCGAGCGTATCGCCAATGACGAACAGAACTTCCTCGACCAGAGTCGGATGTATGTGGCGCAGGTTGATGATTCGTTGGAGACCAGATCCTGATGATGGGTTTCGTTGTGGCCGGGAGAGCCCGGGGGGTGGGGGGGGAATTCAATTGAAATTCGTCGGTGCTGGTCAGTTTGTGAGGTAATCTGTGCTTTATTCTGACGATGGTGAACACTTGGCAAGGGTATCTGATAAGTTACGAAGAATACTGCTGATGCTAGAAGTGAAATCGAAGGGCTGTGGAGTCACTTGTTTTGGTTCTGGATTATATAGGATGATCATTCTTTCATTACTAATACTCTCGCCTTCCTTTTCAAACCATTCTGTTACTCAATATCTCCTTCAGAAGAGGTCTACTTGTTACGACATATTAATGAGTAGTGGAAAGTGGCACCTCTACTACTCTAGCAACATGAATACAAAGTCGGCTTCTATAGAATTAATGGTCTCATAAAGAGAATTTACAACTTCGTATACTGATAAAGGTTTGATCACTAATAATTCAATATGTCGAAGCATTGAGGATTAGATAGTCTTACAGAACGTAGTCTGACTTACATCGGAGGCTAGAAGGATTTCATAAAATTGATAAAGCAGTGAATCACCATCAGTCTCAGAGAGAAACTAGAGAAATCTTTCACGAGACTGTGAGCAGTTAATCACCATCAGCCTTTAAGAAAAGAATAAAGAATAAAATTGCTCGACAGATCCAGTTGTTCTTGATCAGGTGTCCGAGGCTAAGATGGGTACATGATGCTTTCACTTTTCAACCCTGTGCTGAACGCCCCACGGAACAAAAGTTGAGCGTGTTTTACCCCATGCTTATGCCGAGCAATGCTCGGAATTGAGTCCCGAGTGTGTCTATCGCGAGGCACATTCTGATCGTGTCATGCGATTCCAAAATCTGAAGGCCGGTGCCAAGTTTGCTAGTTAGTTAAGCATGTTGCTGATTCATCCGGATAATGCAAGGCCCCTGGGGATAAAGCGGGCATAAGCCTTAATGCCAGCCATTTCTAAGCAAGATGAGGTCATGACAATGACAAATCAAGAGCGGAACCCAACCCAACCCTATCGAATTGCAATTGCTTCTCTTCTCGACCTCACATTCAGAATCCCCAATCATATTTGACTCAAGCTTACCCTTCAAGTCAGCACCTTATTTTCTTTCTCTTCCGTCTGTCCAATCCACCTCGCACATACTCCCCACACACACAACCACACGATGAGCCTTCCAACCACCTACAAAGCGGCGGTGCTCCCCGCCCCCTACGCCCAACACACCATCGAGGACCGCACCCTCCCCACCCTCGAGGCCAACCAGGTCGCCATCAAGATCACCGCCACGGCCGTCAACCCGGTCGACTGGAAGATCCGCGACTACAACGTGTTTCTGAAGACCTACCCCGCCGTGCTGGGCTCCGACGCGGCCGGCGAGATTGTCGCCATTGGCCCGAGCGTCACCAGCCACGCCGTCGGCGACCGCGTCTTCTTCCAGGGCATCATCGGCCACTACCCGGCCTCGACTTTCCAGCAGTACTGCGTGATGCCCGCCGAGCTGGTCGCCACGACCCCCGCCGGCATTTCCGACGACCAGGCCGCCGGCATCAGCCTGGCCTCCGTGGCCGTCGTCACGGGCTTCTACGACCAGACCGGCCACGGGATCGCTCCGCCGCCGTGGACCGCCGAGGGCGGCGCTGAGGCCGGCAAGGGCAAGGCCATCGCCATTCTGGGTGGTGCGTCCAGCGTCGGCCAGTATGCGATCCAGTTCGCGCGCTTATCCGGGTTTGAGCGCATCATCACCACCGCCAGCGCCGCCCACCATGAGTTCCTGAAGGGGCTGGGCGCGCATGTCGTGCTGGACCGGCAGAGCGCGACCGCGCCGGACTTCGTGGCTGCGGCGGGCGAGGGCGTGAAGTTGAGTTACGTGTATGATGCCATCTCCGTCAAGGAGACGCAGAAGTTGGGGGTCGAGATCGCCCAGGCCACGCAGGGGACCACGCAGGCCGTCGTGACTGTGCAGGCGGTCGACCAGGAGGCGGCGCAGCTGGGCCAGTCCCAGGAGCCTAAGGTCGCAGTGAAGCCGATCCTGGGTCTCGGCAGCTCGCCTGCTCTGCGTCACTTGAGCGAGCCGATGGTCAAGGCGCTTGGTGGTGAGGAGGGATGGATTGCAAAGGGCTTGTTCGTGCCCAACCGGGTGCGTCTGATTCCGGGTGGTTTGGGTGCTGTTGAGAAGGCGTTGAAGACAAACAAGGAGGGTGTCTCGGGGGAGAAGGTTGTTTTCCGTCCTAATGACGCCTAGGGATTTTGTTCTTGTTTTTGTTGAAACATATAAACTACTAATAATTTCATGAAAGTCCTCACATATGATTTTGATGTGCATCGTACTTAGTATGTATGGACGTAATAAGCTTGCGTTGCTTGGCCGAGAGGTCCAGAGACTCCATATTGTCAGTGGCAAGAGTCATATCATAGTGGCTATGATGGAGAGGTTCGACTGGGCGGTGTCACAGCTTCATCTCCAGGTGGGTGTGTCCTGCCAGCCCTATCAATGCTATACCTCTTTCCGCCTACAATCATCTGATGTTCGAATAGCAGTCACAAGAAGCTGTGACAGCGGAGAATCTGTATTAGGGTCTTACTTTTGAGTTTGAGTATAAAGTACAAGTGAGGTGTATCCGTGGAATCGCGACGGCCCTCAACTATGAAGACCACAAGTGCGTTCACGCATCAAGTCTCTTCTCTTCTTATCCTCCTCCTCATCCCAGGCAATGAACTCATGGAGTCCCGATCCCGCGGGAACCATGGGCAACACCGGGACTTTCTTGTCGGTCACCGCTTCGAGCAAAGCAGGACCGTCAGTGTTGATCAGCCAGTCCAGGGCCTCGGCCACGTCTTCCGGCTTGGTGACACGCCGATGCTGGACATGCATGGCCTTGGCGAGCTTCATGAAGTCCGGGTTCTTCATATGGCAGTGGGCATATCGGTCTTCGTAGAACAGGTTCTGCCACTGGGTGATCATGCCCTGTTCTTCGTTGTTAAGCACGATGACCTTGACCCCGATGTGGAATTGCGCCGCCGTGCTCAACTCGGTCAATGTCATTGCAAACGAGGCATCGCCGTCGATGTCAACGACCAGAGCGTCTGGACGGGCCACTTTGGCGCCGATGGCGGCGGGCAGACCGAAGCCCATCGTCCCCAATCCGCCCGAGGTGATCATACTGCGCGGGTGGCGCCAACGAAACTGCTGCGCCGTCCACATTTGATGCTGACCGACTCCCGTGGTGATGATCGTGTCCTGCTTGCGCTGGGCCGTCAATCGGCTGAGTTCCTCGATCAATGCTTGTGGTTGGATCAGATGCGACCGTGCCGAACGGTCATACATGTTCAGCGGCCAGCGCTGCTTCCACGCCTTGATCTGCCCAAACCATGACTGCCGGTCGGCGTGATTCATGTCTTTCTGGTGAATCCAGGGTAGCACGGCGGCAAGGCTCTCCGAGACATCGCCCACCACTGCCTCGGTCGCCTGGACCACCTTGTTGATGTTCTTGGGCAGGATATCGAAGTGCACGATCCCGCCCACTCCAGCGGCCGCCGCCGCTCGCGCTGCCGGCGCAAACTTCTTGATATTCATCGTGACCCGGTCGTCGAATCGCGCTCCCAACGCGATAATCAGATCGGCCTCCTGCATGGCCTTGTTCGCATACCCCGATCCGTGCATACCCACCATGTGGAGTGCCTTCTCGTCCAGCTCATCGAACGCGCCCAGGCCCTGCAGAGTCGTGGTAACCGGGATCGAGGCCCTTTCCGCAAGCTCCCGGAGCATTTGCGGGCCATTCTCGGAGCTGATGACACCTTGACCGGCATAAATCACCGGCTTCTTCGCCCCGTTGATGAGTTCTGCCACCCGCGCGATCGACTTGGGCGCGGCAGCCCTGACATTCCCGACGGTCGGAACGGAGGGCAAGGCCGACGCGGTGGGGATCGCCTTGCGCAGGATCGCGGCCGTGACATCCTTGGGGAGATCCACCAGGACAGGGCCGAGTCTGCCACTCGTCGCGATCTCAAACGCCTCGTTGATGCGCTGGGGCAACTCGGAGACGTGGCGGACCATGACGTTCCATTTCGTGCACGACCGGGAAATCCCCAGCATATCCGCTTCCTGAAACCCATCACTGCCAATCAAGGAGGTGGCCACCTGGCCGCAGAAGACAATCATTGGCGTGCCGTCACATAGAGCATCCTGCATCGGGGTGACGACGTTGGTGGCCCCGGGGCCGGAGGTCACCAGCACGATCCCCGGTTTGCCAGACGCTCGAGCGTACCCTTCAGCCATATGTCCGGCGCCTTGCTCGTGTTTCGGGAGGATGAAATCGACCTTGGTGGAGTTGTAGATGGCGTCGAAGACGGGAAGAATGGCTCCACCGGGGTAGCCGACTATGTTGGGGGGGTACAATGGTCAGTTTGGGGAGGGGGGGGATCGAGCACGCTGGTGAGCACGTACAGATGTGTTTGACGTTGTGTCGCTGCATCATCTCGTGGAAGATCTCGCCGCCGGTCATGCCGATAAATCTGGGCTAGGTCAATGGGGAATCTTCCTGAAGCACTTCCGGCATTGACTTACGATTCATCCATGTCCGAGTGTGATCCGCCTGCTGCGCGCCTGAATGGCTTTTCCGATACAGAGTTGTTATGCTTGATTTGCGTGGCCGCCGACGCCTGGCCCCTGGCAGTGGGCACATTGTGCATCAACTTGGAAGGAATAGCAACAGCAGATCGAGTTGAAGCCCGAGAGAGGGCATTCGATGCCCGAGAGATATGTCGTATTCTCTGCATGGTCCGCATTGATCAAAAAAAAAAAAAAAGGAAACGAAAAGGAAAGAAAAAAGAAAATGACAAAAAAGCAGTCCTGGAGCGGAGAGATTGGTGTGTTGAGAGAGGAAGTAGAAAAAGTGACAGCGATAACACAGTTAACTTATCAACAAATGAGTCTAGACTGACCGGCGGCCACAATAAGAACAACCGAAAACGCGGGGAAGCGCGGATGAGTCACTCCAATGAATGTCTTTTTTTTCTCATCTTGTCCGATCTCGCTTCTTTGGACCGAAGTTATATGTTGCAGATGACTCATTTGAGCTGCGACATCGGCTCCAAAATATTGGCTTGTCTAGGAGGACGATCTCCCGACGATCTATCTCCCCCAGACCTAGTCTGAGCAGCTTGCGCTTCAGCACGACGTCTCCTGCGGAGAACCAGCTTCCGAGGCAACACTTCAAAAATGTGACACAGCTTAGCGATATTTCGCTGGACGCGACGGGCAGGTTCCCTGCAGAATGTAGATCACATAATCCGAATTCCTGCTGTAGTTGACCAAGTCGTCCTCTTAATTTCTCTCCTAGGATAGATTCATCGTAATTCTGCTTATGCTCCGTTTGAAGGCATCCCCCACTAACGACCAGGCTATCACCGGCTGGGCAATGCGACTGAGGGTGAATGGTCAGTCCGTGTAGGAAGTGACTCCACCATGGCACATGACAGACCTTACCCGATTTGGTTTCGTTATAGCCTCAACTATTCTATACTGCTGCATAGATCCTCGCCAGGTTTGATAGCTTGAAGATGCAGCTTATGTCTGGCAAGAGATGCCGGGAAACAAGGTATATAAGCAGTGTCTGAAGCACAAGTCGCCAGCTTCTTTTTGCCAGTCTTTCTCAATTCTCTCAGCACCCTCCTCCTCAGCATACAATCCAGCACCATGACCAAGCCTATCACAGTCTGGATGACCCGTAAGTCTTGATTTCATTACAACAATCTACAGAGCTTACTCTCGGTCTCAGCTCCCGGTCCCAACCCTTGGAAGGTAGATTACCTTGACTGGAAGCCCGCCACACGAAAGTACTGTACTGACGGCCCACTCAGGTCGTCCTCATCCTCGAAGAACTCCAAGTCCCCTACGAGATTCAATCCTTCCAAGTTCGACGATATTAAGAACCCACCCTTCGTCAACATCAATCCCAACGGCCGAGCCCCAGGTAAGACCACTAGTTATGCATACCCCAATGCGTATCCCATCACCCACCTGCACCTCCTTCGATCCACCGTACAAACCTCCTAACCACCTCTTTCACTAGCAATCGTCGACCCCAACCCCAACCTCACTCTGTGGGAGTCCGGCGCCATCATCCAGTACCTGATCGAAGTCTACGACCCCGAGAAGAAACTCACCTACACGACCCTCCACGAGCGCCACTTACTAAACCAGTACCTGCATTTCCAGATGAGCGGGCAGGGTCCGTACTTTGGTCAAGCCGCATGGTATGTACTGTGCCTACCTGACCTCCTCACCTCCACTGCCTCCATCCTACTTCCCCTAACTGACCACGACACCTCTGGAAAGGTTCAACGTTTTCCACCCGGAGAAACTCCCCACCGTGATCGACCGCTACGCCAACGAAGTCCGCCGGGTCCTTCGCGTGCTGAACACGGTGCTCAAGGGCAAGACCTGGCTCGTGGGGGACAAACCGACCGTTGCGGATTTGGCGTTTGTGCCGTGGAACGGACTGGTGAATTTTCTCCTGCCGGGGGAGGATTACTGGACGCCGTATCCACATGTGGAGGCGTGGCAGCGACGGATGGAGGAGCGGGCGTCGTGGAAGAAATGCCTCGCGTTGCGGGCACCGTTGATGGACGAGCAGGGGTTGCAGCCGAATGGGATGCCGAAGGGGTTGTCGAATGCTAAGGAGTACGATGAGGTGATTGCGAGGAACGCGGAGGAGCAGAAGAAGCAGTAGAAAGTGCGTTGGGGGGCTTGATTTCTTGTTTTTATTGTATCGCACGAATGTCACTCATAGCTATGTATGCATCATGGCTAATCTGATATTCAGATGCAGATGGGGGGATTGCTTAATAATTGTCAATTGCGTGATGTGGAGGTTCGGCGAATGAAGGATATCATGTCAGCAGTAAGCAAGCATTCTTCTTGCCACTTTCACATTCACCGAGTAGAGAGTTTGCCTGGGTAAGAAATTCAGTTCAGACACAATGCAGGCCAAGGGAATATTCCCGACACACTTTGACACCGGTCCTGATGATGTGATGGGATCTGCTCCTGTGCCGGGAATTGCTTGGTGATGTTGATTGTTAATCCGCATCGCTGGTGGCGTCATCCCCGCACCCGCTGTCCTGAGTTGTTGTCTTTATATACCGTCCATCCCATCAACACCACAACCTCATCTGATATCCAACAGCACACTCAACCCATTCAATCCACTGCAAGAAAACAAATCTTAATAGCAAATAGTTAGCCGCATCACAATGGCAGCACAAGGCGACGTCACCGCCGAAATTAACTTCTATAAAGCCCCCGCCGACGGGTCCGCGCCCTTTGTCTACGTCGAGCAACCCCCCGCCGGCCAACCGCAACAGAACTTCTCGCAAATCACCCACCAAGTGCCCCTCACCGACATCCGAGGCCACGAGGACGAATACTCCCTCGCCAAGGATGCCTTCCAAGTCGTCCGCGGAGTCCCCTCCGCCATGACCTACGCCCAATTCGACTCCGACGCCGCCGTGCGCGAGATCTACTACCCGGAAACCGAGCGGCTCATCCTCGAGCACGTCCCGGACGCCAAACGCGTCGTCATCTTCGACCACACGGTGCGCAAGCACGATCCCGCCGCGACTCGACGGCCGGTGACCTACGCGCACGTCGACCAGACGGCGGCGGCGGCCGAGGCGCGCGTGCGGCGCAGCATCGCCGACCCCGAGGAGGCCGAGAGGCTGGTGCAGGGCCGGTTCCGCATCATCAACGTGTGGCGGCCGATCAATGGGCGGGTCGAGTCCCTGCCCCTCGCCTTTGCCAGCGGCAGCTCCACGGATCCCGCCGATCTGATCCCCGTCCAGCGCCGCTACCCCACCTTCACCGGCGAGACCATGAGTGTTCAGTACACCCCCCGCCAGCGCTGGCTGTACTGGTCGCATGTCGATGATGATGAGCGGATTCTGTTGCAGTGCGCCGATAATCAGGAGGGGGCTGTGGCGAGGGTGCCCCATGCGGCGTTTATTCATCCGCGCTCCCCGGCGGATGCGAAGCCGAGAGAGAGCATTGAGGTGCGGGCGTTGGTGTTTGGTTAGGAGTGTGTTTTGCGATGATACATTGGGATGATCTCTGTTGTACTGTGCATATGAATAGCGAGCGGCCATAGCGGTTCAATTACTTTACCATGATTACCAGGCATCCAGGGCTTAGAGCATGCAAACTACCGTCCCTACTGGACTGTTAGACCCAAGAGTAACTAAGTTACTACTAATTAGCAGCACGCAGTCTCGGAGTATTATGAGTAGGATTGCATGAACATCAGCACGTCCCCGAGAGCCTGCCACCACGAATTCACCCCAAGCACAAGAGCGGACCCCAGCACGCCCGCTGAGATGACGCTCAAGACCATGGTCACCAAGACCTTCTTCTTCTCCGGACGCAGTATCTGCTGCACACGCTTTCGAAACCCATTCCCAGTGTTCGTATGAGGGAACGGTTGGTCGGGGATCTCCTTGTCCAAGAACTATTCTCAACCATGCATCAGCCACCACAAACCCATGCACAGTACAATGACCGCATAAACCACGAGCGCCAGACACACCTCACACAATCCCGCCCACCCATCCTCGACAGTCCATTCCAACAACCTCTCTGGCGACACCAATCCCTTCACCATCCACCCATGCTCCCGATACACCCTCTTCCCATGCCTTCGCAGCCCTTCCCCCGTCGTCCTCCCCCGAAACAACCCCGGACAGCTCACCACATAATACAGCCGCCACCGCCAAAACACCTCCGCGCTGAACCAATGCAGCAGCCAGTAGGTCCAGCTGTCCGCCCCCTCCGTCACGAACGCCCGCCACGCGCTGCGCTGCCACGCGTCCAGGTCCCGGCGCGTGTTCAAGATGACCTTCGCTTCCGGATACGCCTGGATCATCTCGGGCGCGAACAGCGCGGGCGCGGTGTCGAGGACCGCGTCGCAGTCGCCGGCCAACAACGCGTCGAAGTCGGCTCGGGTGATCGGCGCCGCGGAATCGTCCGGGCTGGCGTACTTGCGGTGGGCGAGCGCCGCCCACGCTTGGATGTGGGCGGCGGAGTCGAAGAAGATGTCCCAGCCGTGGAAGGTGGTGTAGCCCAGTTGGGTTAGGGCTTGGCTGAGGCTTTCGGTGCCGGAGCGCGGGAGGCCCACGCAGAGGAGACGTATCGGTTTGGTGCGTGTGCGGGGGGGTGGTGGGGGGAAGCTGTAGATCATGCTGGCCAGCGTATCCATGCTTTTTCCGTTGTTGAAAGGTGGTGTGGTCTTTCTGCGTTGTTGGTGTGGGTGTTGATGTTGAAAGGGGGGGGGCGGGTGGTTAGGGTTGAAGGCAGGTGTCCTCCGGGTGAAGAAGCATCCTTGACGGGCGTATTGTGCTTAGGCCTAGGATAAACTTTCCACAAACTGGAGTCGTCTCTCATTTTGCTTGGTTTTGGCTCTCATACCTGGAGTTATGGTGGCTTACTCTACAACCGAGCGTGCGAGTTCAGCTGGCTAAGCTGGCTAATTCGTGTCTCTGACTTTTAGTTGAACCGGGAAGAAGCATATTTTGCTCATCTCGAGCAGGATCTTGAGCCTTTTCAGAAGGCTTCTTAGTCCTCCAGAAGTTGATGACCCGCTGATGTGTCTTGCTTTGGCGTCTAGACTGCAGTCTACCCTGCAGGATATTCACTGGGCGATTCCCTCTATCCGATTGAAACGGTCACTCCTTTCGTCTACCAGATGTCACTTAGGAAAGATTCCCGATTGACTGGCCTAATCAATCAATCGACTGGGGGCTCATGGCATCTTGGGTGGCCATGATGCGTCAATCAAGTTGTTCTCTCCTTCGGAAGAACGAATTTACCTCACATCGCCAAGGTTTGATCTGCCCCAAATGGTCGACATCTTGACCCGGCTGGATCTCTCCTCAAGCTCCAGTCAGTGGTTCTCAAGAGCAGCCTGTGGAGATACACAGTAGGTATGCAGAGTGTGTCCAGTATCCCGTATCCCCCGGGGATGCAACGGTCGGAGCATCCGCTACCGCCTGCCAGCTGCACCCAAGCTGTTTTGCCGGCAAATCAGCTGCCCCAGTTTCAAGCGGTGTGCATTTCCCACTCAACCCCCCTCGCAAACTGAATCAAAACCCCCCTACCAACCTCACCATCCTTAGCAACAACTTGAGGGGAGCCTCCTCTTGTCCTTGATTTGCAATCCAAATCCAAATCCAACTTCTTTAACATGACGTCCATGCCAAGCACCCAACAACGCAAACCTTGCCCAGCCGCGAACGGCCCGGGATTGATGGGCAGCAGCCGCACTCGTCACTGCCGAGCATATTGTCTTGGAGATGCACCCAATCGCGCACTTGCAACCCTCCCGTTTATACTTCTGCTGGAGCGGCTGCGTATCTCGGTGGCTTTCGATGATAAAAACTCTAACGATTCCCACAGGATTGATAGCGCGAGAGACGCCCGGTTATGAGGAGATGATCCGCGCCATGGAATGCGTCAGCCCAGCTCGGGTGTTGACAACAGACTGCGACAATTCCGGGGCTGACATGTGCCTAATCTTTGATTCTCTGCTTGGGTAGTTATTGCAATGACTGTTGTGACTAGCTGAAAACTCACCGCTCAGAGCTTACAGTTTGAGTGTGGTGCTGTTTTTCCGCGCGCGACCTGGTCTGTGTTTCCCGACAGGAACTCGATCATTCCACCGCGCGGGAATCCCCGCCCAGCATCTGATCTGAAAGGCTGCATGCACAGTCCACAGCCCTTCATTTCTGCGACTCTGCGTACGTTGCAGCGTACGTCATGACACGGATAGATTCCGTTAAGCGAGTAACTCCGTGGAGTCGCACTCCGTCTGAAGCGACGGTAAATAGGGTCCACGGCGATGGGATTTCCCTGTCGGGGATGTTACTGCAACCGGAAGGTCACCGCACCCGTTAGGATGGAAATGGATGCCGTGATCTGGTGAGATTGAGATCCACCTCTTCACCCGCGGGTTGTACACCACACCGCCCTTGTTGGACTGTCTCATCGGGGAAATGGTTGAGTCAGGGAGAAATCCCATCAACAAATCACAAGGCAATCGGAGTAGGAGCCCGACGGGAGTTTGCCGACCGTGATCTGATCCTTATTCACCCGAATCCTAAGGTTGACCGCACAACAAGTGCGTATCCGAGTGGCACAGGAGGGCGAGAATGATTGGATGGGCTGAGTCAGCGGGCAGCCGCAGTCCTATTTCATTAGTCATATAGCCACTAGTGTCTGTGGCCCAGCAGGCGGTCAGAGAGTAATACGTTCAGGTTGCAGATTCACTGAATTACCTAGGTACTTAGGTATTGAGTAAGACTAAGTAACCCACTTAAAACCTAAGGTTAAGCAGGGTGTCCAAGATGGAAGTGGAGCTCCAAGACGGAACGGATGTGGCTTGAAACGAGGACCACGGTGCGGCTCATTGCTTCCCTCGGCTTCTACTTTCTTGAGTTCCCTTGGCGCACGTTTCTGGCGTGCAGCTCTCCTAGGTGACATACATGAACGGAGGGAAGGATGGGGGTCAAGAGACAACTGAGATCGACTTGACTGTCCCTGTCTGGGGTGGGGGGTGGAAGCGGCATCGGACTATCTGTACTGTGTAGATTCCGGGGTTGGTGGACAGAGGAACTCCGAAACACACGTGCTACTCTTTTTGGATTTGCTGAAATGGGTTTAGAGCATGTGCTGATGGGCAATACACAACACGACAGTCTCTGGTCCTCTAAGTATTGGTTGGAAATCCATTCATTGGTGCATGGGTTTTTTTTCAGGCGATCCCACGCTAAACCTGCGATGGAACAGGCAAATACTACGCCGATCCACTTTCAGCAACAGCCCACTTTTCGAGGGGAAATCCACGAATAAGCGGCAAGTACAGCTGGAGGGACTCGGTTGGGGCAGGTATCTCGAGCCATCCGCACGGCAAAAAATGAGGGGGAGAGACGGGGATGGATGAGACACGGCGGTGTTCTCGGCTTGTGAAAGGACCCCATGGTGGTACATTAGCTAGTAGTCCATTAGGCTGAAATTGCCGAAAGAAAGAGAGAGAGAGAGAGAACGAGACATGAGGGGAAAAACTCGGACCTCTCCGTCCGTCCCTTGCGCAACAACCCAGTCTCCCCGCGGACCCGCAAAAATCACGGTATGGGGTATGGGGTCCGCCAACGGATGCCTGATCATCTAATGCCTATTCTGTGGTCCCCAGTTCCCCCCATTCATAGGGTTCAGTGTCTTTTTTGGGGCCTACTCCGAATTTTCTCGATCTCGGTTAATAGCCATGCTAGCTATCCTTGTGTCAGGGTCCTACCCACATTCCCTCATATTCATCATATCCGGTGAGTGTAAGTTGGTCTTTCTGACGGCCACTTTCATGTGATTGAGATCGACAGATCCGGGGCGTCACAGCCAGGAAGCTTTAGCCTTCCGGCGCGGCAACCCGGGTTTCGGCGGTTAAAACAGCGAGAGGGTCAGCAAGAACGGGAAATTGAAACGAATTCGAAGGATGGTAATCTCGGCCGGGGCAGAGGGACTGTGGACTGACTGACTCGTCCAACTGAGGAGAGACTGCGGGCGCAAGCATGAGAGCTGGAGGGAAGCAGGTGGGATGAAGTGGTTCCCATTAGGGCAAGGAGAAGGGATGATCCTCGAACTTTTTGCATCGGGAGTGGAGCCACCGGTCCCTTGGCCAACTGGTCTGTTTTCCCACGACTCGCGCCGGTTTAGTCCGACCCTCCATGTGTGAGACTGTGAGACTACTGGGTACTGTGTACTACTGCGGTCCTGGTATGAGTATCTCTTCGCAATGGAAGGGACTACGTACGTGTTGACAAGAGTTCCCAACAAAAAAAATGCGTGGCCAGTAGCCACGCGGGCGATGACTGCTGTCATCCCCGTCGGCGATGGTGATTGCTCGAGATTGCACATTCCACCACCCACTCTCCCCGCATCAGCAGATCTCGATATCCAAATCCAGAGAAAGATGCTGAGACCACCGTGAACATGGCGGTCGGCATTCTTACTCTTTGTGGGAGCAGATGGTGCCCTGAACCACAGACGAGTGCCAAGCAGACAGTCGCAACCGGCGTAGTGTCGTATCTGAATCCCTGACGTCAATGGCGCCCTGACCCCGAATTGAGCTTTTTTCTTTTTTCGCGGGGCCCCAACTGATCTAATTGGTCTTGCCAGAAAGGATTGGCCCCAGTGGTCCCCCTCTGGTCCTCCTCTGGTCCTCCTCTGGTCCCCCTCTTAGTTGCTCTTGGCCCCCTTGGCGGCTCGCGACACATGCCCTATACCTCTTTGCGACTAAAGTCTGATGTTCAACTCTCAGCATTTACTACCTTACCATAGCATCTCGAAACATACATAAACCCTCTCGTGCTGCTCTTGCCCGGAACTGGTGATCCTTTTCCTGCTGGTCAACCTTCCATCCTTTGTTTCTCTCCGCCTTGTTCTTGTCTTTTCATCTGTCACACCCATATACAGTTGAAGGTTGAAAAAGACCAATTCCACCCAGTCACCATGTGGACAACAACATGTGGCTTGCGGGGCCGCAAGCTCCGCCTGGCTATCACCATCACCTCCGTCCTGGGTTTCTCGCTGTTCGGTTATGATCAGGGTCTGATGTCCGGTATCATCTCCGGTGACCAGTTCACCAGTGAGTTCTCTGCTCTTGCTACCGGTAATGGCAAGGATGATCTTCACGTCTCCGTGCTCCGTGGTGCGGTCACGGCTTGTTATGAACTCGGCTGTTTCTTCGGTGCCATCTTCACTCTGATCTTTGGGGAGCGGATTGGGCGCACTCCGCTGTTGGTTGCGGGCGGGATTATCATGGTCGTCGGTGCTGTGATCTCCACTGCCTCCTACGGAGACCATTGGGGCTTGGGCCAGTTCGTCGTGGGTCGTGTCATCTCCGGCCTGGGGAACGGGATGGACACTGCTACCATCCCCGTCTGGCAGTCGGAGTGTTCGCGTGCTCACAACCGTGGGTTCTTGGTCTGCTTCGAGGGAGCCATTATCGCTGTCGGTACGTTGGTCGCCTACTGGCTGGACTTTGGTCTCTCGTATGTCAACACTTCCGTGCAATGGCGTTTCCCGGTCGCCTTCCAGATCATCTTCGCCATTCTCGTCACCCTGGGTGCCCTGATGCTTCCTGAGTCTCCCCGGTGGTTTGTGTCGCGCGGCCACGACAACGAGGCACGCGAGGTGCTCGCCGCCCTGAACGATCTCTCCCCCGACTCCGACCAGGTCTTGGCCGACTTCAACCTCATGAAGGCCGACCTGAAGGCCTCCAAGGACAACAAGGCCAGCTTCAAGACGCTGTTCACCTGTGGCAAGACGCAGGAATTCCAGCGCATGATGATCGGTTGCTCCGGTCAGTTCTTCCAGCAGTTCACCGGTTGCAATGCGGCCATCTACTACTCCACCCTGCTGTTCGAGACGAACCTGCGAATGGATCACCGTCTCTCGTTGGTGCTGGGCGGTGTCTTCGCCACGGTCTATGCGCTGGCTACCATCCCTTCCTTCTTTATGATCGAGCGGGTCGGTCGTCGCAAGCTCTTCCTCATTGGTTTCCTGGGCCAGGGGCTGAGTTTCATCATCACCATGGCGTGCTTGATCGACGACACCACGGCCAACTCCAAGGGTGCCGTGGTGGGTATCTTCCTCTTCATCGTCTTCTTCGCCTTCACCACGCTGCCTCTCCCCTGGATCTACCCCCCCGAGATCAACCCTCTCCGCACTCGTACCATGGCTGCCGCTGCCTCGACCTGCACCAACTGGATCACCAACTTCGCCGTCGTCATGTTCACGCCTGTCTTCTCCGCCTCGAGCTCCTGGGGCATTTACCTGTTCTTTGCCTTGATCAACTTCATCGGCATTCCCTTCGCTTGGTACTTCTACGCGGAGACGGCGGGTCGTGACCTCGAGGAGATCGACATCATCTTCGCCAAGGCCCACATGGAGAAGAAGTGGCCTTACCAGGTCGCCAACGAGCTGCCCAAGCTCTCTCCCGAGCAGATTGCGCAGATGTCCGCCGAGGTGGGTCTGGATATTCCTGCCCACCAGGTTGCCCACGAGTCCGAGAAGGCCGAGCTGGCCCTCAGCAGCGGCGAAAGCCAGGAGCGCAAGGAGACCTACTGAGTTCTCAGCTTTGGTGCCAACCTTCCCAACAAGACCATCATCATTCCGATACCCCTTCACCCTCCCTCCCTGCATCTATACATGTACAGTCGGAGCCGTGTTGCTTTGAATTTTTTTTGATTACCCCGAAGGAGGTCTCACCGTTTTGGGCGATGTGCGACCGACCGAATACCCTTCACTGTTTATGACTTTCATTCTGCTGGCTTTTTTTGGTTCGATGGTTCGATATCACAAAGATTCTCCGCATTGGCTATAGCTCTTTTTTTCTGGACTGATGGGACCATGTGTTTTTATGACGACTCCTCCACCGGCCCGGTGGGCCGACTTTCATGTACGAAAGAATTATGATTCTTGTGGGGTTTCTGTTTCAGTGTTTCTGGGGACGAATTTAGATGGTCCGATAGATATCCTGTGTTTGTTGATAGCGGAGGAGAGAACTATCGGCAACTCAATGCATTTGTGGCTGTGTGAGTGTGTGTTTGAAAGAAAACTGCCGTTTTCTTGTAGCTTCTGGGTAGAAAGGGGACATTTTCCGTTCTCTCCTCGTAAGGCTCCACATCCGAAGTCGAAGATTTCGTCCAGGCACGCTCGGTCTGATGGGGAGCAATTCTCCGGTGCATAGAAGAATGTCGTCCCGAAAGAGAAGTTGAGGTGAGTGGGGCGTCTTGGCCCGTTGCCACCAACCGCTTTTTTGATTGTACAGTAAAACTTACAGTATAGATGGTATAGAAAAGCCCTCAGCAGGAATATAAAACCTCAAATCCTGCCCCTCGCACTGCAATCCTCCTCTCTCTCTCTCCATACACGGACACATACACCATCAAGATGTCCACCTCACTACCCGCCCACCCTCTCCTCGATGCCGCCCACATCTCCCCCTCCATCTTCACCCTCCGCCCGGACTACCGCGCCCTCCTGATGATCGTCGAGAATCTTCCCCCCGGTCCCAGCGACGAAACCAGCGAAGCCCTGCTCCAGGATGCCGAAACGCACATCCGCACCCTCCTCGCCGCCCACCCAGAGACCCCCCAGATCACCTCCCTCCCACACATCGCCGCCTGGCGCGCCACCTACACGTCCTTCGGGGCGAAACCCCAGAAAACCCGCAACAGCCTCGAAGCCCTGACGCGACGGGCGGCCACCCCCGCCGGCCTGCCGCGCGTCAACCGGCTCACCGACATCTACAACGCCCTCTCGATCAAACACCAGCTGCCGTTCGGGGGCGAGGATCTCGACGCGTACGACGGGGCCCCGTTCTTGGTGCGCGCGACGGGCACGGAGCCCTTCCAGACCCGTTCCGGTGGGGAGCTGCAGACCGAGTGGGCGGAGCCGGGGGAGCCGGTCTGGTGTGATCGCACGGGGATTACCTGTCGGAGGTGGAATTGGCGGCAGGGGCCGCGGACGGCGTTGACGGAGGGGACGACCAGGGTTTTGTTTATTGTGGATGCGCTTGGGGAGGTCGTCTCGGAGGAGGCCTTGGAGAGGGCGGCGGACGAGTTGGAAGAGGTGTTGAGGGGGCTTTCGGGGGAGGTGAGGGTGGCGCGGAGGGTCATTGGGAGGGAGCAGGTGTGAATGTTCGTTGTTAGAGCAGGATAGATAGATAGATCGACATAGATCAAGTATGTTTTGTAACTATGACTACCAATGAAGACTGTCTCTGAATGAATGATGCGGCTTGAGAAAGCTCATTGACTACCTAATTATCAGGGTTGTGGGTTTGTCGGGAGATGTTCGCGCTGTCTGCGCGACGGCTATACGGGGGATCTTCCCACCAAAGCAGTCAACTTTGTTTTATGTCAGATTCGGTTAGTTGTAGAGGACCGTCAAGCATGCTATCATTGTTGTCTGGGTATAAGTAGGTCATTTCGAAGGCTAGAAGATCGCATATAAAAGCTTGCACTTTCATTCGGGCTTGTTGGTCCATCTGATTCACCCATGACCGTCATCAGATATTTCTTTATGATGTGAGTGAATATGCGTACCATCAGTCCGAACATTCTGCCACGTGGAGTGAACAATACGATGGCACTTTTCAGAATTAATTTGACATGACATTCACTGAGGCAGGGGAGCTGGTAGAGTGCTTTCCCCCCAGCTTTAAAAGCCCAAATATGTCCCAATCTTTCTCTCCTTTCCACATAATCGCAAAATCTCCGAGTGAGAAACTTGAGATAGAAAGAGTTGGGGTGCGAGAAAAGTCCACACTTCGAAGGTGCAGGCCACTTTGAAACACCGCTGCATCAACGTCTCCAGCAACTTCAGTATGGCCTCGTTATCAAAGGCTGAGGCGATGAGAGAGATCACTCATGTCATCGATCCAGATGGCGAGGTGATCTTGCTTCTAGTCACGTCGGACGCACCATTCGCTGTCTTGCACAACGACCCTGAACCCGCTTCTGCACCCGTCGCGCAGGGGCAGGGCGTCAGAACAGCTGGCGAAGCTGGCCCGGTTCCTTCTAGGACCACTCCGACGCGTGTCCCATTTATCAAGGAGATCCCCGAGCCAGCACTTCATCGCATCCGCGTATCCGCCAAGCACTTGACGTTCGCCTCGGTCGTGTTCGAGAAGACACTGTCCGACAAATGGAAAGAGGGCGCGGAACTGCGAGACCAAGGATGGGTTGAGATCCAGACTCCGCATTGGGATCTGGATAGCTTTCTTCTCCTCCTTCGAATCATCCACGGCCACAATGACAATGTGCCGGTGAGGATGAACGTCGAACAACTTGCCCGGCTGGCGGTCATCGCAGACTACTACGACTGCCGCCGCGTCCTAGGGTTTTTTTCGTCGGTCTGGATTGATTACTTGGTGGGAAACACATTCACCACCTATCGCGATGTGATGCTGTGGTTGTGGATATGCTGGTACTTCCAGATCGCGGATGAATTCTCCGAGATCACACTGTTCCTCATGAGACGGAGTGACCGTCCGATCGAGTCACTGGGGCTGCCCATTCCTGATAATATCATCGGTAAGCTGATGCGACCCGTGCAGATTGGCGAACGCAAAGCTAAATAAAACCCCGTGCTCGAAGCGCAGTTGAACCAGAAACGAGATAGTAGCATTCAGCTACTTTTGGATCTGCTCTACGGACACCTGGAGTATTACAGGGACGGTTGCGGTGAATGCGGCTACGCGCGCAACTCGATGATGTTTGGAGCCCTCGCGAAGCATTTGCGGACCATGGGACTCGTCCTGACTCCCCCGAAGCCTCCATTTCGAGGCTTCTCTGACTCCTCTCTCCATGACTCGGTGCGTGCCTTCCGGCTGCCTGAATGGCACGCTGCAAGGGGCGATACTGAGAAGCATGAATGTGTCGCTGTCGGGTCTTCGAAGTCGCTGATGCGTTTGAATTCTCTTTCGATGTGGGAAGGTCTACGTATTCCCGGGTTGCCTGATGAGGAGGAATCTGCCGACGGATCTGTCAATGGAGCTGCTGGGGAGCTGTCGGATGGATAGAGGCGATTGGCTGTGGTGGTCGTCCGATCGAACTGTCAGGAGATCAGGGAGCTTGTCATGTTCTGGAGTCACGGGCGTTGAACGCGCCGATGGAAATTTATGAAGCCTAAGTAGTGGACCCAACACCTCTTTGTATAGGGCATGCATGTAGGGGATTCACCCCGATGAGACAAAGAAACTGTTGGATAGAAAAACCAGTGAAATATGGACTCCAAGAAACCTCTCGGTCAGTCAACGAATTAAGGCTTCCCGAAGATAGTAGCGAGTAGTACACACGCCACATTATAGAATAAACATTAATACTCTAGAAACTTACTGTATAGAGAGTCTTTTCTCTATTTAGCTGAAGAAAGCATATCTATCACTTGAAAATAACCTAATATATTTCAATATGAGCTGTCGAAGGCTTATAAATATATGGCCCCATTGGTACACCATAATAAATGCTGTCTCTAGTGTATAAGAACCAGCGGTGTATACGCTACTGATAGAATAGCAGATATTGTAAAAGTGGCTCTCGACAGGATTCAAATTGTCCTGTTCAACGAATACCTGGCTTCTCTTCGTGATACCGTCTTGTCAGGCTCCAAGAGTTCACAGAAAGTCTGGCTGCAACCTTATGACTTGTGGACAGTCACAGTCGTCTCTGTCATCTCTAAGGTTGTGACAGCCGCTTGCGGCATGCTGGTGCGGTCTGACATGCAAGGGATATCCCCTTACATCGCTCGGCTTGGGGTCACATTCCTCAATCTCTGTGGTGACAGCTTCGTATCGCAGTCCCTGGAGCTTAGATGATGGATGTCGCTTTCTTGAGTCAACAACAACTCAGTGCAAACAAGACTCAAAAGATGTCACGCCTAAAGAACCCCGAGGCCGAAGAGATCCCTCTGCAGACGAGGAACGAAAGCGACAGCGATGTGAATCATCAAGCTGAATATAGCAAAGACACACTTGTGACTGGTTATAAATTGGCTGTCATCATAGTCGGACTCTGTTGTTGTGTGTTGTGTATCTCGCTGGTGCGTCGATGACATCCAAACCTAACGTCCAACAGACACCCAGGCTAACAACAATACCTTATCTTTGTCAGGACAACACGATAGTTGCAACCGCCATTCCGACAATTGCCAAACACTTTCACACATTCAATGATGCGGGTTGGTACGCGAGTGCTTACCTCCTCACCACCAGCGCGGTGACTCTGGTCTACGGCCGGCTGTATACCTTCTTCCCTATCAAGTGGGTCTATCTGGGAGCGCTGTTTCTCTTCGAACTCGGATCTCTCGTCTCGGGGGTCGCCCCATCCTCTCCCTGTCTTATCGTTGGGCGAGCTGTCTCTGGACTTGGAGGTGGCGGCCTCTTCTCTGGCTCACTCATCATTATCTCTCGATGCGTCCCGCTGCGCCGGCGCCCGATCTTCTCGGGGCTCATCATGGGAATGTACGGCATTGGGAGTGTCATCGCGCCTCCGTGAGTTCTTCTGTGTTCTAACTGCTTGGTGGTTGGTTTGATACTGACGGGCTTGTGCTCATCAGTCTCGGCGGAGCATTCACCGACCACCTCACCTGGCGATGGTGTTTCTATATCAATCTCCCCCTCGGCGCCGTCACTGCGCTGGCAATGTTCTTCACGTTTCTGGGTGGGGAACCCGTAGTCGAGGCAAGCTGGCAACAGAAGCTGCGGGGGCTGGATCCGCCAGGCATGCTCACTTTTCTGCCCGCCATCGTCTGTCTCCTGTTAGCCCTACAATGGGGGGGCACGACGTACCCCTGGGCAAACGGCCGCATTATCGCCTTATTCGTCATCTTCGGCGTCCTCCTGCTGTGCTTCATCGCCCTTCAAGTCCGCGCAGGCGACCAGGCAATGCTACCGCCTCGACTACTCCGCAGCCGCAACATCTGGGGCTCCGCACTCTTTAGCTTCTGCCTCAACAGCGCCATCTTCATCTTCGTCTACTACGTAAGCCCACATATCCCAATCAGGCCAGTAACTCGAATCCCCCTCCCGTGACTGACGTCTCGACAGCTCCCGATCTGGTTCCAATCCATCAAGGGCGCATCCGCCACCACATCCGGAACCATGAACCTCCCACTCACCCTCACCAACGCCATCCTGGCCCTCCTCTCCGGCCTTCTCGTGACCGCCGTCCGCTACTACACCCCACTGATGCTTCTCAGCGCGATCCTGGCCTGCATCAGCGCGGGCCTTCTGACGACCCTGCACCCAGACTCCCCCGCGTCCGCCTGGGCCGGCTACGAGGTCTTCTTCGGCCTAGCAGCCGGGCTGGGCATCCAGCTGCCCGTCTTCGTCGCGCAGACCACCCTCGCGGACCACGAGGTTCCTACCGCCACGGCGCTGATGGCCTTCGTGCAGGTGCTGGGGGCCGCGGTGTTTGTGTTTGTGGGCCAGAATGTGTTTCAGAATCAGCTCGTGCAGGGGCTGGTACGGGATGCGGCGGCGGGGCTGGATGTCCAGGCGGTTCTGGCGGCGGGGCCGGCGGGGTTGCGGGAGGGTGGCTACTCCGGGGACACGATGGCGATGCTGCTCGCGGTGTATAATGATGCAGTGGTGAGGACGTTCTATGTGGCGGTTGGGTTGGCGGTGGTCTCGGTGCTGGGGGCGGCGCTGGTTGAGTGGAGGCCTCTTGGAGGGAAAGGTCAATCGCAAGTTGTTGGGGAGTAGGGATTTTTGATTGGATTTATTCTAGTTGCTGGCCATTGATATCGATTGTAACAAACAACTGCAGATGGAGTTTCACCACACACCCATCACACGCGAATCCTCCAATGCCACTTATAGTCCAAACATGCCCACCTGGCCGTCACGAAAAGCAACATCGCCAGCACAAGCACGCAACCCAACCAGACAATCACAATGCGCGGACCGACCTTCTCCAACATCTCTCCGCCAATGGGAATAGAAATCAACACACTAGATCACAATCAGTCATCGACCAGGATATTCGTAGATTGGTAAAAAAGACTGACGCAAAGCTGACCAACGCGTAACAAGTCCCAAAGCGCATCCCAATCTCTTTGCCGGGGGAAACCTGCCGGATGCAGACCGGAGACAGGCTGAGGAAGGATCCCGAGCTGAGGCCGTACAGAGCGCTGAAGAAGTACAGCGCTGTCAAAGAGTGGCTGAAGGGATACAGGATGACGAAGATGGCCAGAATGCCAGACGTCACCAGGACGAGAAGGGTGTTCAGACGGCCGTATTTGTCGCCCACTCGGCCTGCGAGAAGACGTCCGACGATTGAGCAGCTGAAAATCGGTGACTTTAGTACCCCGTCTTGCTTAAGAGAACGTACAAAGGGAAGATGGGTTCTTACACGTTCAGCACGACAAGGAGGTTCACGCTGGCGTTGACACTAAATCCCAGCGCCACCACGTACGTCGGAAGGAGGCCGAGGAGGGCGAAGGTTTCGAGTTCCAGGACTTGATCAGGAGTCAGCGAGAAGAGCCACCATAAACCTGAACTGATGCATGCAAGAACCTACACCAAATGCCCATCGTCAGCAAGGAAAATCTCGAATCCCGGAAGCACCGCGCATCAATCGCCGTCTTCAACTTCTCGCCCTTGGGCAGCCGCGCCTTCACCAGAAACGACCCCAGCCCGCAGGCCGCCAGGATCACAAATCCCAGAATTCGCATCCCCCATCGGAAGCCAACCCTCGCGAAGGAGGCCTTCAACAGAAACGGGAATACGACTCCCCCGACGCCTGCACCGACCAGCGCCAGCCCCATCGCCATCCCGATGCGCGCCTGGAACCAATGTGGCACGCAGGAGATCGCGACCGTGCTCACCAAGGCGCCACCCACCCCAGCCAGTATGCCGAAACTGAGGACAAATTGCCAGTATTGCGTACACTCCGCGGTGAAGAATATGGCAGCGACGTAGATCGCAGACCCGGCGCTCACCAGTGCCTTGGGGCCGTAGGTGTCAAACAACGGTCCGACGAAGACCCCCCCGGCTAGCAAGATGAACATGAACAACCCCGGAACCCAGCCCACCGCGCTGCTGGTATAGTTGGCCAGCTGGTGGGTCTCGAGGTAGGATTGCAGCACTCCCACCGAGTTCATGAGGCCGTAAGTCGACGTGATCAGCAGCGAGGAGCCGAGCACCACCAGCCACGACCTGAGACCACCGTCGGGAAAGTGCTCGTGCGGGTCGGGTCGGTGCATCAGACTCGTTGTCGAGGTGTCAATAATCTGGAGCTCGGTGTCGATGCCATTGTCGTTTCGTGCCACAATGACGTTCTCGATGTCTGCCACTGCGATACCAGAGCGCGCGCCGCAGGTGGGCCCTTGAGGGTTGGTTGCTAGCTCCATGGGCCCTCTCTGAGCGATCTCAGCCTATGCTTTGTCCGAGAGTATGCAGAAACCCGTTGAGCCTCTCAAGCCTGATATTGATGCGAGGCATTCGACGGGGTTATAAGTTTTATAAATCTTCTGTTGTTGCGGGGTTCACATCCGGGATCCCGATGGAGGATAGTCGGTCTTCCCGATACTGTCGGGTGAACTTCCGATTGGCAAATATCGCCGTAGAAATCAATCCATTCATTCTGCGTGAGTCATGAAGAGACGCCCTGAGGAATGCATGCATACCTGATCATATCAAAAAGAAAAAAAGAAAAAGAAAAAACAGCTTTACAATCACATACTAGACATTAAATACCCTATGACCATTCCCAGCCCTAACCCATTAGATCAACAGCAACAACATCCATCATCATCCCGCTTGTTATCGCTACCCCCACAGCATCCCCCACAACACCCATCGCAGCATCCATCGCAGCACCCATCGCAACACCCATCGCAGTCCCCACAGCACCCATCCCCATCGTCATTCTTCTCCATCCTCGGGGGCTCGGGCGCTTGATACCCTGTCTGCTGCGCATCATCGCCATAGGCCATATCATTGGTGTCCACGTATCCACGATTATCATCGTCATCGCCAGACCAGTCCCCGTCGTTCCGGTCGTATTGTGCCGAGTCTCGGGGATAGTTGTTGTTATCTTGTAGCTCGATCTGCTCGGTGTTTTGGTTCCATTGCTCGTAGATCACCGTGCCTCCGACCCCGGCTGCGGCGCCTGCTGCTGCTGCGCCGGCTATTGCGGGGGCTCGGCTGTGGGGCTGGCTGGTGTGCGTGATGTGGGGAGTGCGCTGCGGGTGCGGAGCGGCATGGTGGGCGACAGAATGGTGTTGTTGGGGAGGGTGAGCCGAGTGAGCTACCGGATGGGGATGCGCCGCTGGATGCGAACGTGCACTCGCAGCGTGATGGGTCGGGGGATGACCATGTGCAGCAATCCGCAGGCCGCGGGGCTGGGCGTGCTGCTGCTGCTGCTGGCGATGCTGCGGGAGACGTTGATGCTGGGCCTGCTTGGTGTGCGCGGCTGCCGGGCGGTTGGTGTGGCCCATCGCTGCGCGTTGTGAGGGTATGACACAGGGGTATGTGTCGAGTGGGATAGTCTCTAAAGACTGCCCTGATACGTAGTGAGGAATTTAGTGGTTGGTGGCTTAATGGTTGAGCTGTAAGTATGTCTGGACGGAGCAGAGTTAGGGCAAGCCGGTACTTGGGAGCAGATTGGCCTCGTGGGCATCAGGTCTATATAGCAGCCCACTGCTCCCCCTCGTTCTGCACCACTCCCATACCGGCAGCACCAATGCTCAATGCTGATGAATCGTATCGCGGAGATTACGATGCACAAATGTGCCGCTTCATCAACCACCGGACTTGGCGCTTGCCACCCTCAAGAGAAACCCAGGCTGTGCGAATGCGCCAAAAGCCCAGGAATTGTGATATTGTGGCTAGCAGTGCAACCCTTACGCGGTGGAACACGAGACAGGCGACCCTGCTTGCCACATTGCAGGGACTTCAGGGTCATTGTCAGAGGTGCGGCTGAGAGACGACCCCGTAGCTAATAGGACTCAACCTCGTATCCCGGCACGGGCAGCGGGAAGGATAGTACTTCGGGGAGCAAGCCACAAGCGCCCATTCACGGTCCAAGCACGAATGGAGGCCGTCGTGATGGGTCTGGCCCGATGTCAGGGACGGAATGAGGGTGTGTATCTTACCACGCCAAGAAACAATGGTAAGGCATCCATGCAGATGCGAAGTCACGGGGGGGCGAGTAGATGCTTTCGACGGATAACATAATGCTTGATAAGGAGAAGGTACACTACAACATTCCGCACTTGAGTGAGATGGATTGGAAATCAGAAAGATGGAAAGGGGCTGCCCCCGGGCGACTCGATTGGATGGATGGATGGGTTTGACTCGTGTCAGCTTGGTGTGATAACTTTAGCTATGCGCAGCCGTGGTTTGAAAGCGTGGGATGAGTGTGTGGCTGTGGTGCAGAAAAGACGAAGTATTCCGCCAGTGGGTCATTGATTTGACTCCGTGCAAAATAGCAAAACAAGATAGAAAAAGAAAGTGGCGCCGCCCGGAATCGAACCGGGGCTGGCACGGCCACAACGTGACGTCATACCACTAGACCACGGCACCTGTTGTTGTGACAGCTGCCTCCAGCTGTGATTTTATATACACAGAAAATATTATCCCAGAATTGAAGAACTCGTCTCGCAATCCTGCTCGATACATCAAATATATCACTTCATAGGGGATTGTCGAATGGGAACAGACATCTGTCTGGCAAGACTATACATCAGCTGTCTTAGTAGTCTGTATGCGTTGGTGCGAGGTTGGTGTCAAAAATGTTCCTCTGAGGGATGATATGCCTTGGATATATATATCCATCTTGGTTCCATCAGCAGATATGATGCTGGTGAAGCAGTTCGACAACATTGGGGCACCCTGAGCACTAGCGTTAATGACCCGACACACGCAGCTGCTGAGCTGAGTTTGAACAACAGTATAATTGTCTTTTTTATAACAAATCATCATCACGAGAAAGAAACAATCGCAGACCGGACTCACGTGTCGACGATGGGACAAAGATCGATCCTTGGAGAAGAAAGAGGATGCTATCCGGGAGTTACTTTTAGGGTTAGAATGAGAGTTGGCATATATCGATCCTACAATTACCACAACAATATCTTTTTCTGTTCTCATGGGATTCTCTTTCTAGGCGCAATCCTACCCGGCGTACACTACCGCACCCCGGGCGTATGACACCCTCTCCAGCCATGGCAAGACAAAACAATCCATAAACACCCCAGGCAAACCCATGCCAGCAAAGCCGAAGACGCGATAAGCACATAAGGAAGATCACCCCATATTCTCGAGACGAGTGTGGGGAAGGAGTTCCATTTGATCTCTCATTTGCACGGGCCGCTACGACAGCACAATCCCTGATAGGGTTGGCGCAGCCACCTCATTCAGTCAACGGTTTGTCCGAATGGTTCAGTTCGGGCATGCACATGCATAAAGAACTTCCAAAGTACGAAGAAAAATGCATGGAAGATGGTTTACCGTTACTTGGCGTTGTCAATCAGACTTGGAGACATACAATCCCATACTCGAACTTTGGACTTTTGCTAATCCACCCCCGTGTCGAGCTTCTTGCTTGTATGGAAAGCCTTAGTCAAGAATTCTAGTCGACAATCAGACTCAGTACGGAGACCACAACAAACCAAGGCTCGCCTACGCTTGTCCTTTATCAAGTGAGCCTCAATTGAGATGGCATGAGCGGAATTCAAGCCACCGGAAAAGAAGTGCGCCAGCAGTGCGTGCCTTGACTTTGTGCGGACGATGCAGGCTCCGATGCAGTCATAAGCCACTTCCAAGCCGACCTTAGGCTGTACAAGCAAACCAAATCCTCCGCGTCGTAATGTGAGCGGTGATTGCCGTGAATAACGCATTTATCAATCGAATGCACGCGTGTTGCGCCTCAGTCAAGCGTCGTTGTGGAGGCAGCTGCCCCGAGACAGTCCCTTTGTGTCTGGCGTCTTGAATATGCAAGGTCATCAGCTGGGCGATAGGTCCACGAAGACCACCACGAAACGCTTCTCGGAAAGGCGGGTAGCCCAGTTCAGCTGGACCATGAGGCTCGAGGGGTTTACTTGACGATAGATTGTGCTCGCTCGAGCCCAGGGAAATGTGTAGGAGATCCCCTCAATCCCCCTCCCTCTCAGAAGAAGCAACACAGCAACAGAAAAGCAACATCTCTAGCGACTTAATCAACGCTCATACGATCCTCCACCCACTCACGATACCTTGGCTCAACGATCTCTACGTATGCCTCCTCGGACCCCTCGATTTGAGCTGCAGCTGACCCCCAAGCCTGTGTATGGTGAGCACGAGAGCCAGAAGCCCAACAACGCCATTTGGTGGTCGACCACAAGAACCACGACATTAACGCCGGATTGGGCGGCAAGAAAGTAACCCTGATCCACTGCCACAGCCGTGCCACGCAGCGTTGACCACCTCAGATACGTCTGGCTCGCGGCCAACTACTTCGACCACTCCGAGCACGGCATCGCCGACATCAAGGTGGTGATCACAGGCTAAGAATAGGCATAAGAATAGGCAGGCCGGCTAGATTTGGCCAAGGGGCCGGGAGGGGAGTACCGCTATCTGTAGACCTCGACCAGAGGCAGTTATGGCATCCTCAACCTGAAGCTTCTGCGCCGCGAGGGATTTCAAGCGGCGGGTCATCGTGGGTGGACTACCCATATCAACACAGGTCGGGGAGGAGAAGTTCTGTACCTGGATTGGACCCAGATTGTGAGCTGTGGATGGTGAGATCGTTGGAAGATTCGTGTGCTTTGCTATACTAATCACATATAGGTTTGGATACCTTTTCTCCTTACACCGAGTAGGTGGTATGGCAACGAATGTGCTGAGGAGACCAGATTCGCTTCAAGGGTTGGTCACCCAGATTCGATGCTCGATTGTGAGACCGTGACCTTTTATTCCATGCTTTGCTCAACCGGTTTCTGAATGGTAACTTTGATGAGGCCTGCATCTTGAGAGCCGGATAGAAGTTTCCTTCAAGGTGAGGCCAAAATAGGAGGCTTAGTGAGTTGAACAACTGTACGGGAGTAGTTGGACAGTGGGGTGGACAGTCGATCGATCACTTTAAACCCCTTTGGGCGGATTGTGAGACGGAGAATGTCGGAAGGAGGCGGCAGAAACCCTGCCTCGGATCCACCCTTTCCGGCTCTTTCTTTCCTTCTTTCCCCCACCACCACATCCCATCCCATCCTCATCTTCCCATCTTCATCTTCAATCATCATCATCCTACTATCCTCAGTCTGTTTCCTTAATCATCATTGTATTAATCATTATCACGCCATCTTTTCATTCTCACCGTGAAGGTTTACTCAACACTTCCATTCACTTTCAGGTGCAGAGCTGATCCTGGTTGACGATAGTGTTCCCCGGAAATAGCATCAGCCGCTAGTGAGGCTCGCCGTTGTTTGAGGATCCCAGTTCTCAGCAACCCCAATTTTCGAGTCTCATCATGAAACCCCACCGTTCGCGCTCTGGGCCCCTGAACCCCCAAGAATGCGCTTCCCCCTACCTCCTATGGCTCAATGCACCCTCAATCCAATTTTCCAATTTGTGATGGACCAATCCAGTTCTCGATAACAGGCCCAAGATCCACAATCTTCTCTCCGCGGGAATTTACTCCGTATTATCCAGACCCTCAGGGACGACGCACCGTCCGCGAGACCCCTACCAGTACCATGTCGGGAAAAACCCCGAAGCTATCGAACTCTCGATCAAGCATCAAGTCCTCGACCCTCTTTCATAGCCAGCTTTTAAGGTTTAGCCCAGGAGGCTCTCCGGTCGATCCACTCCAGCTGCATTCCTTGATGCGATAGGCGGAGTCTGTCAGTCTAGTTGAGAAAAACTCTGTACTAAACACGCCCGACGGGCTTGGCCCCGAGGCCCTGAGGCTTCTCGATGAGGAGATCTATTGTCCTCCAGACTCCAGAGTCCAGCCAGACAAATTCCCTCGAATTGAATTTCTTTCCGGAACTACTAAGAATAGCCATTCGAACAAGGTCGGCCATGAACTCCGACCATCTCCAACTTCTGCCCCAACCACGGTTACTCTCGCTCATCCGCCAGATATTCAGGCACAACTCATATTGGCTTTCCCCAAGCTGGTGTCATTTGACGCGGCACTGTCAATCGCAATGTAGACAAACTTCAAGCCAGACAACACCAAGCATCTCTCCCTTTCGTTGCGATTGCCTCGAGAATCGATATCTTGTAGTCATTATGTCTGGACACGGACATGTTGCGAGACCCATTCGGGATAGAAGCAGCATCTGGATCTCTAGCGCGTTTCATTGCGACGGATCTGGATACTCGCCAGCCGGTTTCTCTCGCTCCCTGCTACCGCGATTACTATTCTCCATGGCATGATGTGCGTGCGCGACCACTCGGCCTTTGGCCGCCATCACGCAAGATCATACTAGCCTACACTTGGATCACATCTTGATCTCGGCGCACCCCAGTGTGAGACCTCTCCGGTCTGAGAACCACTGTCGAGGGTTCACTCTAAATCGAGACGACCGGACACCTTACCGAAAGGGTCTTGTCGACTGCTGGAAAACTTACTCCCGCGCCGTGATCCAGGTCAGAGACTGGTACCCTCCTCGGGACGATCACAGACGCTCAAACGTGAAGGGTTTCATGGGTGATTCTCGAAATAGATCATCTCGAACCTCATCCAGCCTCGAGAGGGTGAGAGGATCAAGATAAAAGGCGTCTGGGTCCTCGCCTTTCTGTTTCTTCCCATCATCATCCTTCAACCACTTCTCTCTTTCTCTTTCTTTCCTCTCCTCTAAACCCCCAAAACAATTGCTCTGGTAGCATTTCCTTCGTTCTCACGATTATCGAGTCATAATCGTTTTCCTCATCTCGCTTCTTCCGTTCTCACTTCTGTTAACTGGTTTCCCCATTTGGTGCGTATCCGACGAGCCATGACTTGCAAACCTGGACTAACATTTCTAGAATCACGATGCGTGTTTCTAAGGTTTCTGCTGCGACGGTGCTCGCCTCGACCGTCTCGGTCAATGCGATTCCCATTCCCTGTCTCCTTCCCTTCCTGAGTGGCGCTGGTAGCCTCTTCGGTAGCTCGGGTCTGGGTGCCAGCTTGGGCGGCAGTGGCAGTGCTGATCTGGGCGCCAGTCTGGGCGCCGGTGCCAGCGGCAGCGGCAGTGGAAGTGCCGGTCTGGGCGCTGGACTCGGTGGAAACGCTGCTGCCAGCCTGGGTGCGAATGCTGGCCTGGGCGCTAGCCTGGGTGCCGGTCTGAGTAGTCTTCTCGGCGGCAGCGGCAGCGCCGGTGTTGGTGCCAGTGGCAGTGGAAGTGCTGATCTAAGTGCCGGAGCTGATCTGGGTGCTAGCGCCGGTCTCGGTGCGGGTGCTAGCTTGGGTGCTGGTGCTGGCCTTGGTGCCGGCGCTGCTGCCTCCCCCTCCGCTGGTCTTGGTGCCGGTGCCGGTCTCAGCGGTAGCGCCGGTCTTGATGCCGGTGCCGATCTGGGCGCTGGTGTTTCCGGCGGTGCCTCTGGTGGTGCCTCTGGTGGTGTCTCCGGTGGCGCTTCCGGCAGCGGCAGTGCTGGTCTGGGAGCTGGAGCTGATCTCGGTGCTAGCGCCGGCCTTGGTGCTGGTGCTAGCCTCGGCGCCGGTGCTGGTCTTGGTGCCGGTGCTGCTGCCACTCCCTCTGCTGGTCTCGGTGCCGGTGCTGGCCTCGGTGGCAGCGCTGGTCTCAGCGGTAGCGCCAGTCTTGGTGCCGGTGCTGATCTCGGTGCTGGTGCTGGTCTGGGTGCCGGTGCTGCTGCTACTCCCTCTGCTGGCCTGGGTGCCGGTGCCAGCCTCGGTGGTAGTGCTGGTCTCAGCGGTAGCGCCAGTCTTGGTGCCGGTGCTGATCTCGGTGCTGGTGCTGGTCTGGGTGCCGGTGCTGCTGCTAC